GAGTCTTGTGGTCTGGAGTCTCTACCCTGTCTTGTGGTTCGCTAAGACTCTCTTCTGTTTCTTGCTCCTGGCTGAATATATTCCCTTACTTGCTTTAACTAAGTATCTTAAGGAATCTCACTAGTCTATATAGATATTTGTGGCTTGGCACTTCTGTCAGTCCTGACCCTACCATGCCATTTTTCTTGCTCTGTGAGCAAGGACCTCTGGTCCCCTGTATCCACAGCATCTCTCCTTTCCTCTCTCAGCTCCTTCGTGTCACAGGTTTTTGTGTGTTGGTCTTGTAAGGCAGGAAAATCCTCTCCACTCCAAATGCTTCAGAATTAAATTGATGGCAATTTTCTCTTTAGTTTCTTGGTAGGAAATTAGAAGGGATAGGATTAATCCAAATAGTAATCAACTGTGCTCTTTAAAGGCATTTCCAGATTTTTGGCATATTCAAAACTCTCAAATGCTCATCATAACAATTTCTTTCATTTTCTACAAAGAATAGGCAAGTCTAATGGTTTCAGACCTGGAGTCCCCCTTTCTTCAACTTTAGCCAATTGTTGTCAAAGACATGCTGTAATCCTTTCCGTTTCTTGTATTTCTTAATCACATTTGATAACTTAGTAACTTTCGTTAACCAGAGCAATGTGTTAAACTTTTTTTTGGCTGCTGCAGAGTATTCTAAACAATTTTGCTGAACTAGGTTCCAGCAGTTTTGGTATGTAGCCTAACACCATATATTGTGGTGTGCAGAGAAAAACAGTTCTCCAAAAAGAACTCAATAGCAGTATGGACCTTTTGCCAAAAATTCCTAATTTTGGGACAGTACCAGGAAACTTGTGTGGGTCCCATTTTGCTCCTACTCAATTCAAAGGCAAAGCTCCCCCCAGTTGCAGAGGGATAAAGCTCAGGCTCCAGCACTCAGCCTTCACATTCCCATTTCACACATTTTCCTTCAAATTCTTTTTTTCCTTTATTTTTAGGCTCTGGAAAAACCCTTGCACTCTCCGGTATATTTTCTGGAAGGCGAATCACAGATAGAAACCCTTTCCCTCATCTCTCACGCTGTTTAAGAGTAGCTCCTGTTTTGTGCCCCAAAGCACGGCTGGAACTCAGCAGCTGTAATCTGGAGTGACAGATGAGCAAGTCAGATCATGAAAGGAGGAAAAAGCTGCTGGAAAAGGAGCAAAAAACCAGAAGGAAATCTTGTAATCGTATTAGAAAGGCAAGGAGTGATATCTCAGAAAAATTAATTTTGTATTTCAGTAATCCCTGAGTTTACTTGGAAAGATGATAACTGGGGATAGGCTGTGAACAAGCAGGAGATAGCAGATGTGGAAAGATGGGATCTTGGGACATTTGCCATAGGAAATGAAACTTCCAGCATCACTGTGTTGCAATAAGTGCTAATAGGTTTGGAGCTTGAGCATGTCTTAGGTGTGTGTAAGTACACAGACTGCTAAATATAGCTCTGGAAATAAACACATGTAATCTGATAGCTTTAAACATAGTTGGTTTTCTTATTAGACTCTAAGAACACTTGGAAGAAGCAAGTATAATAATAGAACTAATACTGGGTTTTGCCATGAAGTTTAGAAGAGAAGCATTTCTGCAGGGTCCTATTATGGAAGGAAAGCAACTGAGGTGCAGAACAGCATCAGCCACTTCTCAAAAAGCAGGAGTGCAAGAGCTTCCAGGCAGAAGGACACAGGGAAGGGGAGAAGGAACATGCCTGGCACATTCCTGACCCATCTGTGGATACATGACTCAGAGATGTGTGAGCTGTGTGCGGTGAGGCAATGGTAGGGCACAGGTAGCCCTTCTCCTGGCCTGTGCCTCCCCATGGCCAAAGAACCTGTCCAAACAGCCTAAAGGCTGTGTTCAACCCCAGCAGGGGCTGTAACAGGGACACGAAGAGCAAAGGGCCAACAAGAGTCCTACGTTGTGAAATTAGTTGGGTAGTTTTGAATATAGAAAACTGAACAACCAATGCTAGTTTTTAAACTTTATGCTGTCTTATGGAACAGCATAATCAGGGTCAGCAAGCTTCATTTACACCCTGTGTGTGCAGCTGGCAAGAATCTCAAATTGTGCCTTTTTCAGTGCTAGTGCTGCTAGACAGGGAGATCTCTGCACAAAATATCCCCAGCCCATCTCACCACGTCTTGCAGGATGGCTCTTGTAGATGTGCATTGCAAGGGCAGGATTTATCCAGGGTCATTCTCAGGGAAGCATTCTCTCCATAATATCCCTAATGCTGGTGCTAGAAAGTTAAGAAAACAACTATTTGTCTACTTCATACAAGCCATGTCATGTAAGAGATGGATAGATTTCAGGGAAGGGCACCAAACCCAATCAGTAACGTTCTGTGGTAGTTCATTGTAATGCTGATAAACAAAACCTAATAAAATACAATACTTCTCTTGTTGGAAGCCATTAAAGCATGATTTAAAACAGAAAAGCTGACAAATACTGAAGTGTCCAATATCTGCCTGGGCAGGCACCATGTTCTCTTCAGTGGAAATATACATTTTCATATTTAGCTGTCAGTATGGCCAACGTAAGGTACAAAGATAAGAAAGTAAAATGCTGTCAGTTCTATCTTTGGCTTTCAAAAAGTGAAGTAAACAGGAAATCCCATTGTAGTCTGTGAAAGTATACAAGTTTTGAATTATTTAAGATATTGAAAATTAATTTGAATTTGAAATCAAACACTCCACTGTATTGCCTGAAAATAACTTTCCCCCCCTCTAACTTCGGGTTCCTATCCCCAGTAAAATTCAGCACCTTAGGTTTGCTGTTGGTTCCCTCAAAATTCCCCCCCCCCCCCCATCTTTTTGCCAGTTCCCAGCTACCTGGATCACTCAGAGAAGTCCTTTTCAGCAAAGGGGGGCACCCTCAGTGACAACAATATCCAATTTTTATCTTTTACAGCCTTTCTTTTTGTTTTAGCACTTCCATTATTTTCTGCTGTTTGGGAATATCTTTGGTTTTATTTCATGACATCTTTCTTCAACTTATCTGCAACTGGAAGGTATTTGCTGTATGTCATGAAGGTATTTGCATGATGTGAAAACTTCATTCTTGTAGCACCCAGAAAGAGATAAGCACCATAACCCTAACTCACATCAAATTTCTTCTGAAGCCCATGGAAGTTTTGCTTAAGTAAGGCTGCGGGACTCGACCACGTGTTCGGTGTAGAGCGTGTACTGCAACGTCTGGTATTGTTTAACTCTACCATGTTTGTTTTTAGCGACAGTTTGCATAAAGACGTCTTATGGGATAAAGTTACAAATAGGCTTTGTTCTGGGGACAAGGTAAGAAAACTGGAAATTAAAACTAAAAAGACCTTTGTCTCTCGAGGAAGACAGTGAAGGGTGTCATATTTCTTCGGCACTGTAATGCTACTAAATTACATCTGCTCCTCAAACATTTTTTAGAGGGAGGATTTCTAGACCCAACTCCAATTATCCTGGAGATAGAAAACGTCCGGCGCACTCAGCTTTTTGTGTTTAGATCATTTCATCAACTCTCCCCGCCCGTCCCAAATTTTAATTTAACTTGCAGCTTCCTGCCGAGCCTCCCCAGCTGGAGCCCAGCGGCAGCCGAAGGCTCCTCTCGCCCTCCGGCTGCGCTGAAGGCATCATCACCTGTCCCGGCGCTGCGGCCGCACCTGGGCCGGGCGGGGCCGGGCTCGGCGCTGCGCGCCGGCGGCTCCAGGCTCGGGCTGCCTGCCCCGGCTGCGGGCCGGCTCTCGGGGAGCGGCGCGGGGCAGCGCGCACCATGCGGGGCCGCGGCCCGGCCCGCCCCGGGGGCCGCGTGTGCTGATGTAATCGCCAGGCAGCAGCGCTGAAATTCAACACCGCGGCGGGCGGGAGCTCCGCCGGTGCCGGGGCAGGCGGTGCAGCGCCGCTCCGCCGCCGGACTCCGCGGGCAGCCGCGGGGCGCCCCCGCCGCCCGGCCCCCGGCGCCCCCCCCCCACCCGCCGCGCCCGCCCCCGCGGGCCGTACGCGGGCCGGGCCGCCCTCGGGCTTGCGCGGAGCTCGGCGGAGACCTCGGGGCCGGCGGGCTTTCATGGACAGGAGCTGACCCTGCGGCGGCGCGGCGCTCGGTTTTCCCTCGGATCTCCGCTGCCCGGGCAAATGCATACAAATGCATTTGAGAGCCGAGAGGACAAGGCGAGGACGCATCTCTCCCGCGGCGCAAACGTAAGCGGGAGCCGGCGAGACGGGGCGCACCGCACCGCCAGCCCGCCGCGGGGCCGGGCAGGGGATGGGGCTGCGCCTCGGCTCCCACCGCGGGCAGGGCACGACCACCCCGGCGGGCAGCGTCCCCAGCTCTACCTTCCGAGCGCCAGCCCTAACCCCGCGGGGTCCCCGACGGACCGGCAGGGTGCTGGCTGCTCGGACAGAGACCGCCCGTATCGCTGGCTGTCCCTGTCCCTCTCCTCCGCACCCCCGGTGTCGTTTGTGGATGTGCTCTATCCCGTCCGGCACCCTCGTCCTTCCCCAGCCCATACCGGGCAGCCTGGCTCTGGTGCCCCGGGGAGCGGGGACAGCGTGACCCGAGAGCCGGTGATCCCCGAGGGGGAGCGAGGATCCCGGGGCCCAGCGTTCCGCAGTAACCTGGCAGCTCCTGCGCCCCTTTGGTGCCTGGCTAGTAAAACGCGGCACACAAGCAAACGCAAGAGCGTTTAGAATTTACGCTAAAGAGCTAAGGGTACTCTCTTAATACCAGAGATTGCCAGATGAGCTGCTCTGTATTCACGTGTTTTTGCAATTGGTGGAGGTATTTCTGATGCATTCTCACCTGTGCTGCAAAGGTAGAGCTCTGTTCCCTGCCCTTTATCTAAAAGCAGCCTCGGTAAAATGACTGAATTTATAGTTGTAACGATATTAGAGAGGTTACTTGCATGTGTCTCTGTAAAGGGCTGATTTTGTTCTGGCTGTGTCTTAAGTTTACTGAGCGTTCGAGCAGGACAGAAGAATTTGTTTAGTATTGTAGTGAGGATTATGCTGCTGATGTATAATCCGGGTGTACTTGTGAGCAGGTAAGGGGTTTCCCGAAGGTCGCCTTCCTAGGAGATCTGTTTTTAATGGCTGTGTCTTTGGGACTTCTTCAGGAATTGTCTGAGTGCAATTTCAAAGAATGGTTTTATTTTAAATCTATAAAGGGGTATTGCTGATGGAGAAACATAAACTGCATTATAGGAAAGAGGCATAGTAGCAGAGATACAGTTTACTCAAGTTCAAAATATGACATAGCTTCAGAATGTGTCTATATGCTTCTATAATATTTACCTCATTTACTTCTATAGAGAGCAAGCAACCTGGTCACTTGCCTGTATTAAGAAATCAGAATTCCCCACAAAAGGATCAGGTTTCCTTAGCGTATGTCAAACCAGTAAATCCCTTGCAACTTCAGCCACCTTTTCCTTGAAATACCATTAGGTCAGGCCTGTGTAGGGATGTCTCTGCAGGTTAAATAAGTAAAACAGCTGCATGACTTCTCAGTCTCTCACCCCACTTATTGACAGAATATTTAAAGTATGAGCAGCCTTGTGTCACCCTTGTTTCTTGCAAGCACCAAGTTGTAGTACATTTGAAGAATGATCTACAAAAGATACAGAGAGAAACCCTTTGAAAGAAGAATATTTCACGTAAGTAAGAATACAAGTTATACACTTCATACAGAAAAAAAAAAGGTGTGTGCTCTCTGGAGAACTAGTGTAAGTAATCAGAGATTTACTCATAAAACTGTTCTAAAATCATGTCTTTTCAATTATATTTTTTTTCTTTTAGAAATACTAACAGAGTTGACTGCTCTTCTGGATTTGGTAGTTTCTCATTTCAAGCCAGATGCTGTCCAAAGAATGGGCCACCAGGCAGGGAGTTTCCTCTCTCTGAACCCCAGTCCTGTTGTAGAACTCCTCTCAGGGCAATGCTCCTCTACCTCTCTTGTCATCTTGTATTTCTCCCATTTTCCATTCGTTCAAGTTGTGAAATTTGGCAAAGAATTCCTTGATGGCTAATTGGTGCTGCCTGTGACCAAAGGGCCGGTGAGTGTCACACCCAGAGAGGTTTTGCAGGCTGTTGTGTCCCCTCAAGCTGTGTTGCTAGTAGGTCTTTTAAAATTTGGGAAGCAGCACTGGACCTGCTGGCTAATTTAATTATACCAGCAAAGAAAGTTATATTTCTTTTTATATCTTGAAAGGTAAGCTTGAGAGTTGCAGAGCATCTCTGTCCACAAGGTGCTGTGACCTTTCCAAAGCCCTTCTCAAGCTTGATGGACCCAAGCTGTGCCATTCTCCCCAGGCAGATCCAATGAAGGAACAAGTGTGGGGCAGGTGCTGATGTTTAAACCATCGTCCCTGAGGCGTGCAGGACTGAATGCACCTGTGGCAGTCACGCTGCAGACAGGTTTACTTGTCCTCCCTAGCAGCCAGCTGGTGGTATTCCTTCCTTTAAACTTGAGATTTAGGAAACTAGGCTGGAATGAAGAGGATACTACTGTGCACTGACCAAACCTGAGTTCTGTATGCTGCTGAGTAGTCTTCAGAGGGTAGAATTTTTCATTGTAGCTTGCCACAACTTGCTTTGAAGCTTATCAATTTTCTCATCCCTCCATCACCCCTAACGCAAAAAACCACCATGGATAGTTGCTGTCCACTCTGTAGGAAGAGGCAAATGGCCACAAAGATTATCAGAAAGATAAACTCAGATTTTTTAGTGGTACAATAGCTCAATCACATTTGGTAGTGCCTTCCTCCAAAATTATTCAATAGTGGTCCTCAGCATATGCTTGCATGTACAATAGAGCAGATGAAAAGGTAGAAGAAGGGGAGGAAGTTTGAGAGACCCCTTGGCTCTGCCCTAAAACCAAGGTATTGGAACAGCTTCAGGTGATATGTTAAATGGGGAAAAATAGCCAGCTTTTGGGTCAGCTGAAGTCTTCCGTGCTGCATGATTCTACATTTTTCTATTGGTGTGTCCCAACATCTCCAAGAGCTGTGGACTCAGCTGAGAAAGGAGCCAAGCTTCATGCAGCTATGGCAGATGACAGGTCAAGCCACATACACATTGTCCATGCCTGGAGCCTGGTGTCTTAGTGGCTGTGCTGGTGTGAGAGTGAAGACTGAGAACTGACTGCTCTGCAAATGTACAGAGTGGTGATCTCAACCAAGAGGGAGGGTTTGCACGGATTAGGTTGCACATGGTTTCATTTACAAACAATTTTCCTGTGAAAAAAGATAGAAGGAAGTCTCACTTTTCTCACGCATTAGAGGACCCCCAGCACTATGGTTGTCTCTGGTCCCTGTTTTTTCTCTTAGTTGATAACTCATCTGTTCTTGACATTAGCTGGAGAGCACTGTGTAAGCCAGACATTTGTCTTTACTTTTCACTAAATGTTTCTTATATTCAGTTACATCTGTGTAATTTACAGCCCTGGGAACATGTTGTAATTTCTTGCTTTCCTAAAATGTTTGCTGGAAGTGACAGAGGCAGGTACCTGACAGACACAGCTTTATACCTGTCTGGTGTAGTAGAAGAGGCTGTTGTAATTATTAGAGGAGTCATCTTTGAATTTTGGGCTCTGGGGTTCTTTGATCATCCTTATTTCGTAGCTAGCTAAAGTGTTTTATGTGATTTTTAATGGCAAATCCATTTTGCACCTTTGAAAATAATAAGGGTCAAATAAAGGGTTGTCCTGAGTTTTAGCTGATACAGTGCAATGCATGGACTTTGTGTCTGGCACAGCTGTCTCTGTCACTGAGTTTCTCATTTGATCAAAAGATGATGCATTGTGTGATGCAGAAACTTTGAACTTGAATTCTGAGCTTTAGAACTCTGAAAAAATGAACTGAGTGTCCTGTAGTGGACGAGCTGTTTGGAGAACAGTTGGTGTTAAGTCCTTTTTAGGAGTGACAGAACTGCTCCAGTAGACATTTCATGGCTGTAGCAGGAGAAAGCTTGAAGGGAGGAATAGCTAGGGATTGTAGTGGTGGTTAATTAGAGAACATGCCCCTACAAGCATTTTGGGATGTGTAAGGCATAGTTTCCACCTTTCCCTCCCTCTGTGATCAGAGCTAAAGCATTGATGCATATTTTTGAATATCCTATATGTTCTATGCATTTTCTTCTGAAAGGCATGCTGTATCTACCATTTTACAGTGGCAATGACGACTATTATGCCTTATTGTGCTTAAATTATTAATTTGTTCTGTTTGCCAAAATTTAAGCTCTCACAATATACAAATCCACTCGACGAAATCAGGCTATTGCTCTGTGGTTTTCATGTACTTGGATGTTTCTGAAATGTTTGAATTCCAAACCCTTTGAAGAATTAGTAAGACTTTTCACTAAATACTGCTCTGTGTGTATGCACATGTACTTACATATATTTTCTTTCTGTTTAAACCATATGTTCCTGTATAAAGAGTGGTAGTGTTTTCTTCCTACCTTTTTTTTCCCCATGTGAAAATCTGGCTAATTAGCTGGCAAAATTAGGTGACATGAAGTTATATATGTTTAGTTGCAGCTATGTCACTTTCAAGTACACTTGAATCCAGATACTCAAGTGCTCTTTGACCTGGTCCAGGAAACTTTTTTAGTCACTCTAGCATTCCATATTATGAAAAAATGCTGAGATTGCGAACATTAACGAGCAAGAGGCTTGAGTGTGACTTGATTAGTTAGTGTCAGAACTATATTTCTGATATTTTTGAAATATTTCTTCTTAGAACTGAGTAGATAGAGGTTACTGTAATTGTTACACGCATCTCTGCCTGGTTGTCCAACAGTAACAGAAAACAGATTTCTCATTTATTAAGAGATTCAGTCACTGATAAGAGAGTGGTTAGATGTTAATCTGGCTAAAATGATAATTAAGAAACAGCAGACAATCTGTTCTTAATCACAGCAAAAATGTAGTCTGTACAACATTCAACACTTCTAAAGTGAATTTTGAGCACATAATCTAGACCAATCTTATGTATGTTTGTTGGAAAAACTGAAACACCAGTGTGCTATCAACATTATTTTCGTACTAAATCCAAAACACAACACTCAATATAGCTATCAATATGACACTCTTCTACCTGAGCATGGACTTGTAAGTTGAAGTGTGATGGGATTTTTTTATTACTTTGTGAAGATCATGACTTATAGCATGATAAAATTTTATGATACAAGAACAAAAGTTTGACACAACATTTTCACTTATGGGAAGATGATGTGATCTAGTGAGAAGATTGATAGGACATCAAAAGTATCTAAAGTATCTAATGATCTCTACAGGAATTAGCTTGTCATTTATTTTATGGGTTTTTTATGGTCATGTTTTTTTTCTTTCCAGGAAGAAATGTACTATGTAGCAGCATCCATATTTGAAAGCTGCTGCAAGAAAATATAAAGCAGATGCAGTCATTTTATTAATAAAAACCAGTGTAAAATATATGTGCTATGCATGAGGGCATACACAACCTGGATCTTTGTGTGAAACTCCTTCTCAGTATCAGTAAAGTTGTACAGTGTGATGGCTTTGATTCAGGACTTGCTGAAGTCAATGGTACTCTGCCATTTGGATCTTGAACCAGGTTTCTAATTCCTTGGAGTTCTGAAACGGTAGCTGTTTGCTCACATGTTTTTTCCCTTTCTTTCCCTTTTAGGAAAGCTCTCCTTTTCATTGCAACATGTATATCTGTGGGTGTTGCACAAGTACCCAAACAAGGTGAGAATGCTTTGTTTATAATAGGACATTTGTGTAATATGTTAGTAGATGAAAAGAGTAAATGGCTGTTGTTACTTGTGACCTTAGGTTCAGTTCATTAATTCATGTGACTTAAAGAAAATACCAATTACAGCATAATGAGAGCAAAAGTTTAAAGCACCAGTTTGGAAAAGATGACCTTTCGAAAATTATTCAGATTTTCTGTCTATGAAATTGCTTACATATTTAAGCAAACTCTTCATAAAAAAGAAGCCTTGTACAGTGAAAAGGCTTTGATTGTGTCTTCACTGCAGTGGGTGTCCTTGGGGGTGGCGAGCTATGACTGAGTTACCTTTGCACTTAAGGCAGGCAAACTATGGCATATAATACAGGCTGGCATTGCTAAAGCAAAATGTAAAATTTGGTATTCATTTGGCTTTGCATTCAGATGCAGATGTTGTGAGCAAAAAGGGTTGTCTTGTTTTTAGTTTCTTTTTTAATCTGCCAGCTGTTATAACAGCACCAGATGTGCAACTTGCTCTGGAGACTGCTGTGGGAATGATAGGTCCCAAAGTGGTGGTGGCCGATGTGCCATTTAGCCACTTCTTATTTGCCATGAGAGTGGCAGCATCAGTTCTCTACCATCATCCTCTGCAGTACAGGTGAAGCATGAAGCAGATCATCCTTGGCTGGTGAGTGTGTAACTGCAAATACTCATCTGAATGCAAACAGATGGGTTGCGTGGTTAAGGCAAGACTCATTCCTGATAATGTTTTGCTAGAGCCCTTTGGGATATCTCAGCAGCCTCCCACCATTATTCTCACCAATGCGTTTTTCCTGCTTGTCATTCCCAGAGATTGGCAGAGTTTGATTTTCCCTTCAGTTGTGAAGTTCTTGTTTTGCCTCGCCCCCCGCCCCGTTGCCTTTGTAGTTTTGCCCTCCAGTGTTGCCCATTTCTTGCCTGGTAAGATTGGTTGTTGATTTTTCACATCCCGCTCAATGGGGGCCATATGCTTTTGTGATGATGGGATTTTCCCGGATTTTTATAATAGCTGAGCCAAGTTCTCACTGGAGGAGGGGCAGCACTGTTAGATGTGTGTGGCCTGCCCTGCTCCAGGCCTGCAGGGATGGGAAGGGAAGAGGCAGTTTTAGGAAGGCAGTTTACAGTTTCCCGGTGTGGTGGGAGCAGGTGACAGATGGCAGAGACAGATGTGTGGTGACAGTTTGAGTGTCTTCATCCCTCCAACCCACCCTCCTCCTCCTCTGCAAAGAAATAAACCTTTTTTCCTCACTCTCATGCCCCTCAGCCTGAGAATTGCTTTTCCCTGACCCTTCAGGTGAGGACAGTGAAAGCTGCAGGGCGGGGGGTGCAGTAACACAGGGGAGTGGGTGGAGACTGTTCTACCTGCCTCTTGGCTGAGAGTGCCTCCATGCACAGAGCTTTGCAGAAATGGAGTAAAGCCTCTGGTCTCAACATGCTTATATTGAATTATTTTTTATTTTGTTACCAGCAGATGAAGGAGTTTCCTTTTCTTTTCTATTATTATTTTGTTGTTATTGTTATTACTGTTATTCAACAGCATTTCTAGACAGCCATATGAGAAGCCTTATTGAATGGAAACTCCTCTTCATCCTTGATGCACAAGTGCCATACATGACTTTATTTTCTTTAAATGCTTGCTTGGGATCAAAATGATGCATTGAATCTTGATGAAACTTTCTTCCCATGAGTGGATTAGTTTCCTCTTGCACTTTATTTGCACAGTGTGTAAACAAAGTTGGAAAAAGCAGTTCAGAGAAGGAAACCTCCTCAGAAAAAAACATAGAGCATTTCAAGTATATCCTTCAGTTTCAGTATATAAGCTACAGAGTTACTTTATTACATCTGTGGTGCTTAGTCCAGGAACAGGATTGCATGCCCATTAGGAACATGTTAGCACCTTGGTTTTTAAACTTCCTTGGCAGTGGTATTTTGAAAAAAGAATATTCTGCCAAACATGCAGATGCTAGCTGATTAACATGCCTTCTCTCCTGAGCTGAGGAGACAGCCTCAGCATGCTTCATCTGAGAGGATACACGTTGTTCAGTTTGGTATGCTGCTATAAACCATGTTCAGGGAAGTACTTGTAAAGATACAGTCTCAGACTTTAGGAATAATACTTTGAGTGGGGCTCAAGGACATGCAGAATTAATGTGTCTTGCTGGCTTTCCTATGCCAGTAATTGATCTGGCATCCAGGAGAGCATTTGTTGCAGCCAGGTATCTTAATATACCCAGTTGCAGATGCATCACCTAGAAAATTGGCCATCTGATGAGAAATTACTCTTGGTTCTGGTGGAGCTGATTGATGAATGGCCCTTTTCTTTTCCCTTACCCACACTGGAAAAGGGAAAGGGAGAAATGTGTGTACTAAGATTGCTGAAACAGGGAGAGCATCTCCGAGATCCTGCCTTCAGAGTAGCTGTGAGTATGGAGCAATGTGGAAATGAGCAAGAGGGACTGAAGGGAATATGCATGTGAAACAATCCTATAGTCAAATCCCTTCATCCCTCCCCAGTTCCTTTGTGGGGTTATTTTTGTGCCACACAAGGGTCAGAAGGCTTTTTGCCAAAGCTGGTGTAAGGTTTTGCCTTACCTCATGATGCAGTAAGGCTGTGAATTTTTAAAGATCTCCTAGAAGGTGGAAGGAAAACACTTGACACCAAAACCTCAAAACAACCTTTCCTTCAAGAAGTTGAGCTGTTACAATTTGGGGGACTAATGGGTTGAATAAGCAGTAAGTGAAGACAGATGTTTTGTAGACATGAGTAAACAAAGAAAACTGACAACTGATAGGTAAAGCAAATAGTGGTTGTCATGCTGGAAGGAAGAATGAGAGGGTTGCCTGCTCCCAAAATCCAGTGTGCTGCCAAGAGCTTCTGAAAGCCTTAAAATAAAATAAATATGCATGTTGGACCAGAAGCGAAATGACTGGCCAAAAAAGTTTGGAACAACCTTTTGGCTTGACAGTGGGTTAACACACAGCAAGTCAGCAAGGAGTAATTCCTTTATACTTACTTTTTTGATGTCATTTTTCACACAATATTTATTTGCATTTAGCTCTCTCAAGACCTGCCATTGTTTGCAGAAATCTATTTGCAGGATAGAAAAAAAATCTTATTCCTCTTCATGCTGATTATTTTCTTTAATAACTTTTAAACTATGTGCTCTTTTCAAATCAGAACTGCCAAAAAATTGACCATTTTGCTTGCAGTTTGCCTTTTATTAGTGATAGGCTTGAATGTAATTTTTAAGCTGACTATTTTAAACCAGTTTAAGCTTTTTATTTTACACTTGAATTTATAATACTTTGGATGGATCACATGCATTACTATTTAAAATAAAAATATGTAATTAAAATTTTTGTAAGTAAAAATGCAACCACTTGCCCAGTATTTCAGGTTAGGATGTGATACTTAGGCACAACCTTAGGTTAGGCTAGCAGCTGTTCTTGTGCAGTCAGCTGGCCCTCCCAGTGCAAAGAGGTAGTGGAGCAGTGCATTCTGCCTTGGGGACTATTTGCATGTGTAAGACTGTGTTGCCCAGAGCTCAGGACCTGTGTTTCTTCCCAGCTTCCCTCCTCAAGGGCAGTGCAAGCACAGCTTTCTCCTGCAGAGCTACAGGCAGACCAGGCAGGACGGGGTCCTGGCAAAGAGCAGTGGTTCATTAGCAGAGGCACTGTGCTTTGGAGCTCTACTAGAACCTGACCTCTGTTATCAGCCTGACAGATAAAAATACAGCCATGGTGAATTAATTGCTCTGAGGCAAAACATCTTGAGAACTTGGCATACACAGGACTTTCTGCAGAAATACTCTTTCTCCATACCTCCGTCTGCACTGGCTGCTCGCCAGGAGAGTCTTGGCCCGTCCGTGAATCTCAAACATGACTAGAAACACTACAAGGTGTGTAATTAATTTTCAAGATGTACAGTGTGTTCAGGTTGATGCTTTTGGTTCCAACTTATAAATCACTCTCAAGGAAATCTCAGGCACTTCTCATAATTTAGCACTGAAACTAAGCCAACATCTGTCTATTCTTAAAGTTTGCTATGAATACATTCAGTAAACAGAGAAAGGGAAACTGGGAAAGGAGACCTTTTTTCCACTTAAAGCGTAAATATCCATTTGTTTCAGTGGCTCTTTTCTTTCAATATTGTAGCAAATCCTTAACTTTTCTTCTTTAAGCTAAATTTTTGTTGTGTTTTATAATAGTTTTATATACTTAGTATAAGCATGCCCACAGCAAAAGTAGCCTCAGCAAAATGCTATAGAAAGTGCCTGTGTCTGCCCAGCCAGCCTTATTTGATCAGTGCAACTATTAGATACTACAAGTAATTTTTAATATAGGTGTTTCTCTGAAGTTGTTCCCGTGAGAGGTGGAAACAGATGATATCCTATGCTGCTGTGTAATGCTGTTTATGAAAACTAGTCTTCAGGTTCCCCTTGTGAAAAAAAAATCCTAAAATATGGGTTAAGGGGACCTTGAACTCATCTGGTCCTAACTCCTGCTGAGGTCAGTGTCAATGAGGGTGGAGTCACTTCAGGTTGTTGGGTTCTGTCCAATTGGTCTTTGAAAATCTCCAAGAATTGGGATTATCTCATGTCTCTGCCTCCCCTGGTCCAGCACTTGACCACTTTTTTGGTGAGACTGCTTCTTCTTTGTATGGAGCTGAAATTTCTTGTCCTGCAGCTTGTGTCTTACTCCTCAGCTTTTCTCTGTTTTCCTTATGGCCTCAATTCAGATAATGGACAATTTTATTTAGATTCCCCAACCTTCCTGTCTCTAGACCAAGCTAATGTTTCTTCAGCCTTCTCAGTATGTTTTAGCTCCCAATCTTCTTGTTCCATATTTCTGTGACTGCATTTTGATTCAACATCTGCAATATTTCTGCACCTTTCACAAACTCTCAGGCAGGCAGTTTTACCAATGAGTCTATCAATGCCATAAATGCTATCTTATTTTGAGATCCTACAGAAAGGCTCTTGAGGGTCTGTGGTTTAGCTCCTAAGGAGCCTTTGTAGTGTTTCAGCTGCATCATAAGGGATGTATCTTTCTATTCATCCTGAAGGAAGTTGTCTATGCTCACCAACTCCAACTTGCCCAAATGTGATTTAGGCAATAAGAAAAATTAATTGGGTCACCTTCAACTGTTGATTTACCCAAAGGTGGCGTTGATTTTTTATCCCAGAACAGACAAGATTTCAGTTTATCAGGATGATAGATAATTGTGTTTCTACCCATTAAATGAAGATATTTAGCCAGGTAAAAGATGGAGACACACAAAAGATGTGTGACCCAGACTAAGGGAAGGCTTAAAGGACATAGCTCACATTGAATGAGAAACTAGAGAATCCAACACTGAATAAACCACTGCCCATACTTCTATAGGGAGATCTATCCAGATTTCTGTATGTCAAAGCCAAATCTAGAAAACATCAATCAGTAGGACAGCTGGCTGCTTTGTCTCCCTATTGTCTTCTGCTGTGGAGAGCATTAGTTCAATGTCTTGTCGTGGTGGCTGCAGCCTTGTGCACTTTAGGGGGAGAGATGAGCCAGAAGACAGGAGCAGTACCCCTTGGGTCCTGGCAATTCTTCTCTTTCCTTGCTTCTCACCACTTCCACTGCTCCAGAGTTCACCTTATCCATGGCTCTAACAAGTAAACTGTGTGGAGGGGAAGGAGGCAGTACTGTGCTAACTGTGCTATAAATAGCTTTCCTTTCTTATAAACTAAGCAACCCTTCCCTCAAATGCTTTGACTTGAATGTTTTAGATAAAGAGCAACAGCATGGATTTATTGCAGAAGATTTTTTGCAGAAGAAAAAGTTTTCGAAAAAAAGACTAATTCTCTGCTCAGAGTGGACAGGATTAGCTTAGTAAATAAGGAACTAATGAAAGTGTATTCACTGATCACTGGAAAGTTTGAAGAGAGTAAATGAGGATTTTTCACTTTCATAAGTGAATTAACCTACAATGGGCAATTTGTGGACCTTCCTGTGTGTGTGTTTGTTTAGCTTGGTTGGGGTTTTTTTTAAGATGGAAATTTTGCTCTGGGTTTAATTACTTGTTTGATTCATGTGAAAGATCAGTGCCTTCCAAGGGGGATTTGGTGGCCTTACTGTGTGAAGTGTACATGCTTTGAGAGGTAGAGATTTGTGAAAATGTTGTGTGTAAATTTTTTTTATATGGATCTGAATGTATGAGCTTGTAAATTAAATCAACAGTGTGCCTTTATTTCTTTTTACAGCAATAGATGTTCTTCATCAACTAGGCCTTGTGAAAGATGTCCAAGAGCCTTCAGAGACAGCAGTGCCCTCACCATCCTCTCTGTTACCTCAGGGTGTTCGTCTAACTGCATCAGGAGTGGTGCTAAGCGATGATGCACATATTGAGTCCCGTGTCCTTCAAGTCATACCATCAAATCTAGGGCATCAGTTCACCTTATTGGTTGGGCTGTACTCTTACAGAGCCAGTAATGCTTTTCTTTTCAGTGTTAGGAACAAAAGCAGGTTGCAGTTTGGTGTCCAGCTGCTACCAAGAAAGGTAGCAGTGTACACCGGAGGGAAGCAGCCCGTGTACTTTGATTATTGTGTTCATAATGAACAATGGCATTTGTTTGCCATTGGCATTGGGGACAAGACTGTCTCACTATTTGCTGAGTGTGGAAACAAGTACTACAGTGGTGAAGTACTTTCTAAAGTGGAGACATTTGATTCAGAGGGTGTATTTACCCTGGGAAGGAAGAGCTCTCACTCTGTCAGCTTTGAAGGAGTTATATGTCAGCTGGATATTATTCCCTCTGCAGAAGCCTCTGCAAACTACTGTAAATATGTGAAACAGCAGTGTCGCCAGGCTGAAACCTATCAATCTCTGCGTGGGGCTCCACTTCTGCCACATGGGCTGGATGCTTTTTCAAAGATGATCACTGATGAGGAAAACCTGGAAGATATATCAGCTTATAGATGGAAAGAAGTATCAAACATGCCTGTTACCAACGTTGCTCAGATTCACTTTTTACCAGACCACTTTGAGTTAAGAAATGCCTCTGTATGGGAGTTTGCAGAGACCAAACCTCTGTTGCTGGAAGCTTGGCCTCAAACAGAACTCCAGCAGAACATAGATCTGGCTCTTCAGCAGCAGGAGATGAGCAGAAAAAGAAACATCACTAAAACCCCTGCAGGATCGTATCCAAATAGTTCAGCTAATACCACAGAAGATGCAGACAGACATAGCGAGCCTTCTCTGATCTCCCCTGTAAAACAGAGTAAAACTAAAAGCAAGGGAATGGAAAAAGCAAAACAGCATTTAGATGAACCAAACAAAAAGCAGCAAATCTTCAACACAACTCTGTACAGTTTGCCTGCTGAACTCCCTCTGGATAATCAACTCCATCCGGGGCAGGAAGGTGCATTTGATGCTGATGAGACTTATCGTACAGAAAGCACTTATGAAAATGGTATTGATAATTATGCTTATGACTATGAAGATCTTGGCAAAATGTTTGAAAGGGGAAGTGTCAGAGGTCCAAAGGGGGAAACTGGACCTCCTGTAAGTTATCTTTATTACTCTTTTTACTATATTGCAGCAGCATACATTTAACAGAGGCTTTGAAAGAAACCTCTCCAAGCATGCCAAAGCTGTGACTGCAGTTTCTCCCAGCTGTATTGTACAAATGTTTGTCTGCCTTAAATGTGTCTTTTTCTCACATGTAATTTTCATGTAAGTGTAATATACTTTTATTTACTGGAAGAATATAAAGACATCCACAATATTCACATTCTGGTGAAGTGGTAGGCAACCCAGGCTTCTTTAAAATTTGGAATGCAGGTGGATGTTTGTAACTACTAATTACAGAGACTGATCACATAATAAAACTGCAGGCTAATTTAATGCAGTTCACAAGTATGGGTGCTGGTCCATAAAAAGAACAACCAAGGCTACTTGGAAGACTGACACAGTTGTCTTGGTTGAGCAATGCTGTCAAAATTTATAGTTGTAGAAATAGATCAGCTGCAGAATCCAGTCTGCAGGCATTCATAATCCAAGGTTATGGGGTTAAGCAAACCTGCATGGAAAACATTTTTAGAACAGTCTTACAAGGTTTTGAGGTATTTTTTCAGTTCACAGGGTAAGTGATTTTTGATAAAATTGCAAATGCACAGTAGTGGTTTTAACAGAAACTCATTTATCCTTTCTTATTGTGTGCAGAAGTCTCATAAGCTTTTTAATACATAGAAATGTGCCCGTATATATGAAGCTACAGATCAGGAAGAACATCAGTTCCTGCTTAGCCTGGGAAATATGATAGATCATGCTTTGTGCATATGTGAGATTTTGGTTAAAATTTTAAACCGTAGTTTATAAACCACTTGCTTTTTTTGTTTGGTTGGTTTTGGTTTTGTAAGTGTTCATCTGTTTGGTTATTACTGGAAAGCAATTTGATATGTGTTAAGCAGCTCCTAATATATATTTAAATATGGCTATAAATTTATTGTATCTATTCTTTCAGCACTGAAATATTTTTTTCTTGAACTAGTTAACAACTAAGAACCTATTCAAAACTTCACTTTTTACTCTAAACAGGATCCAGGCACAAAGTAATTGTTACACAATTGAAAAATGTGTTAACAAGTAATTCACACTACTCCAGAAGTGCTCTTGCTTAATCTTTTTCAATTGTGAAGTCAGGTTTTTTTTCTCTCTTTGTCTCTTATGATAGCATTCATGGTGACATGTCACTAAGCATGTTGCTGTCATCAGCATGAGGTTAATTTCCATTTTTGGACCTTAGGATGTTTAGTAACTACTAATGGAAGGTTTTAATTTTAGCCTGTAGCTTGTTTGTTGTGATTTCAGTCAGTCACAGCCAAGAAAGTTAAATCTGCTCTTTTTCACGTGTCAGAAATGGCTGCTGATAGTGTTGGTTGTTTGCATTACTAAGAAACTCCAAGCAAATGCTCTGGGTTGTTTTTCTAGACAGTACACAGAGACACTACACATACAGTGGCAAAGTGACAGCTGACTTGAATGTTCAGAGGTGTCTGTTACCATCTTCAATGCTGTCTTATGGACTGGGGATAGAGAAGATTGTCTTGCTTGGGAATGCACACTGTAGTCTGTAGGGAATATGGTGCATTTCTACTGAGGTGTTTTGCTGGGTTAGGATTTAGATAACGTGCCCAGGGTCTTAAAGATCTGTGGTAGAGCTAGGAAGTTAATCTAGACCTTTGTGGGCCCCAGGTTGGCAGAAGGGACCAGCAGCACCTGCTGGAACAGAGGCAAAGCTGAAACACCACTCTCCCAGAGAGGCTGACACCAAAGGGAGAGGAGATCTCTGCATGAAACTAAGCATTGTGCTCTGTGGAGATTGTGTGGCTCTGTATCTGCTACTGCTGTTGGTCTCAGACTTGAAGAGATGATCTTGGTTTGCTTTTTCAGTCTAGTCCTCTCATGCAGAGATGACGAGAATTATTAATGCAGAATTAATTCTATATGTGTGGCTCTAACACTTTAGTTTATATGTACTCATGGAGTCTGCAATGTGGAGCCTAAAAAGCAACACTGAAGAACTTGAAAACTTCCCTTGCAGCAAAATGTCCTGATGAGGCATGAAACCCCCTCTTTTTACTTCTTTTACTATGTTGTGGTTGGTTTGAATCTTCTTTCAAGATTTGAACACAGAAGTTAATGTTCGTTCTATTGGAATTGACAGGCAAGAACTAGCTTTTGTGGTTCTTAAACTACTCAGCTTCTTTTAGCTTTTAATCATCTACCAGAACTGATTCTTGCCTTGTATAATTAGGCCTCTTATATTCCATGATCCCACAGCTGTGGAATTCCCCTCCCGCTGCAAAGCAGGACTCCAGAATTCAGGCTTTCATTTATGGATAGGGTATAAAAAGGGAACAGCTATTTTTTCAAAACTATTAAAACCCTGATTAAAATTCTAGCAGCTGTAATGACCAAACCCCCCCTAAAAAAATATAAAGTGAGTTTAAACTGGAATAGTAAGATTTCCTGAAACACTTCTTTCAAGGCAATGCTGCTCTGTCCATCTGATGAACCACTCCTTTTTGGGACGCAGAGGGTGCTGGCAATCTGTAAAGATTACAAAAATAAATGTGGTGTGCATTTTTAACTGTTTAACTTTCAAGCTGATATTTTTCATTGCACAATCTAAAGTAGTTTGGAATAACATGGGGCATAGTCCCACACAGGAAGAAGGAGAAGCTGGTGTGAGCTGAAGTGCTGATTTATGTTACTTGCTGGTAGGTAATTGCATCTTCAGGCTATCTGCACAGGATGTGGCCGTCTAAGAGTAAGAGAAATGAACTAGGAATAAATTTCCTCTATTGGAAAAGTTTTTCTAGATTTTCAAGATACTCTGCCAGAAGGAGGAATGGTAGAAGACCAAATGGTGGTGTTCTTTCTAGTTGGTAAAGAGAAGCAGTCTGGAATTGTTGCCAGGAGGAAGGGGAAATGGCAAGCCCTGCAATGAGCAGAATTGAGTCCTGGAGAAGCTGTCCTATTGCAATCCAGAGGTGTGAGAGTAAGAACACTGAGAAAGCAGTTCAGAGATCCCAAATGTTGTAGCTTCTCTTTCACACTTAGCTTATTTCATTTATTTTACTCTCAGCTAACCTTTCATACTTCTGCTGATTGCACTCTTTGCTTAATTCTCAGTTGAACAGAATTGCCTGTTGAGGCCCCCCTGACCACAGGGGATATATTGGTCACCTAATCCCTTTCTTGCATTTCCCTGCCCAGGCTGAGAAATCTCAGTACCTAATGATTCAGATAAAGATTTGCTATATGTAAATGAAATGTTTCCTATTACCTCTGGATAATAGGTCAAATTTAAAACACATGTAACCCAAGTAACATAGGGTTCAGTACCTAGGAAAATAATGTAAGTTATTTCATGTTTAGGAAAGTTCCTTACGTTTATTCCAGTGATCATTGGAAAGGCTGTGAAAATTTCTGGAAGAATAGCATCTACTTTTATTTCAGGATTAAACAATGAATATTTGGAACTTGAGCTTTTTTGCTTAATAGCTAAATGAAGTTTTTACAATTCCTAAAGACAGTAAGTTGTAGTATCTTTTTAAGTTACAAATGATCTGTTTTGAGCAAACTGATTTTGTTAAACAATTTTAAGTTAGCATCTGTAATATTTATACAAAGTAACTTCCTTTTGTTTTGTTTGATAGTGGTGGTCAAAGTGTCAAATGCTAAAAATCAGATTGACATTTCTAATTGCTTCAGATTTGTTTAATTACTGTTTCCAGTAGTTGGAAGAAAAGCTATTCAAACAAGTGACTTATTCCTTGGTTTAAGAGAGATTGGCTCACTCTCAGATGTTGATTGCTGTGGTTTACATGGATGCCTGAGAGGCTTAAGTAGCTTCCTAGCAAGTATAAAAATAGTCAATACTGATTTTGTAGTTGCTTTCCCAGATTGTAGAAATACATAGGACAGAATAATGTGGAACTGCTCGCTGGGAAAGCATGTTCAGGAAGCCTTAGGTGTGCTCTGCTGAAGTCTGCTCTCAGCAGAGGTGTTGCCTGAGTTGTAGGGAGGAGTCTGTGCTGGAGGCTAAAGAGTAACATCCTCCGGTTAAGGAGAGTCCTTTAATATTTTAATCAAACACCTGGATGGCTGGGGCTGCCTATTATTGTGAACCAGAGACTTCATCTATCACAGCTGACTTTGTTTTAAAATGCTCTGTCTGCCCAGTTCAAAATTTTGCTCCTTCTTTTAGGGGTTTCTGAGGGCTTAGTTGTGATTAGATTTTCTTTTTTTTTTTTGTTGTATGAAAAGAGATAGTTATGTTTGAATTAGAGTAATCACAGTAAGTGTGGGATGGATTTGGGTGTTTATTTGTTTTCTGTTGCAAAGGAAGCAGATAGTGTTTAAAAAAATTTAGAAGCCACATAGGGAAAAATGTTCTCACTGCCCTCATGCAATAAATCAGCAAGAAACATCAGGGATCTTAATACTCAGTTCCTATTAGGAAAATGGTGGAGTTTACCTATTCATGTATTTTTAAGGAAATGTCTGAAACAGGGATAGAGAAGAACATAAATCACAAAAGAATGCACACTGGTTGCAACCATTTCACTTAACAAAAAATATGTTTTCTTTTGTAGTCCCAGGATAATTATCTAATCAAAAGGCATCTCTTAACTTACATTTTGAGAGGAGATATTAAAACATACTGCTTCAGCAGGGCAGGGTGGGAGCTCTCTGTGACCTTTAAAGTGGATTTTTGAACCTGGACAAGAAAGCCAGGTCAAGACTTTTCCATGTATCTCCGTTACATTTTTTGTGCTATTAAGCAAGGGGTCTTTCTACTTCAGAAAATGAGGATGTTAGTGAGAATTTGTGCAGTCCTAATGAATAGAGAATGTCCTATGCTAAAAGCATGAGATGTTATGGTTTGATCTAAAGACCAGGGGAAGTGCAGGTATGGGTTTCAGCGTGACTTAATGTAGCATGTAGGGACATGCAGATATTCCCAATTACATTTAAACTCCTACATTTATTATGATTAATTGAAGAGGAAATAATTGATACTTTTAGTTCCTTAGAACGATGGTGGTTTTCCCAGAACTGTGCATAAGTGATCTGTATTCTGGCCAAATTAATGTAATGTAGCTTGATGATGCCTAAATTCCATAATCAGCACTGTCTTCTCTGCAGTGACATTACCTTTCTAAGAAAAAAAAAGTATTACACAGAACAGGAGGTTTTCAAAAATCCAGCCTTTGTCTTAATGAAATGTTGCTTGCTAATAAAACCCTCAAGGCTGTTTTTCCTTCCTCACTTCCCTTTTTTATCTCTTCCCTGTTTAGCAAAATCTTCCTGTTGATCATTTTGGCCACCATAATGGCCCTTCTGCTTTTGCTGGTATTCCTTTCAGCCAGTTTTCAGCTCTGTTGTTGGGTGGTGGGCAGTGTGGCACTCAGGGTTTTGCCTGGTGTCTCAGCTGAGAGGATGTCATGCACCCAGAGCAGTGTGAGGGAGCCTGTGTGAAAAGCAGGCTGAACCCCCAATGCTGTCATCCACTGACCTCCCTCAAGAGCTCTGACTCTCCTGATGCCCAAATGCCCTTGCAGAAAGTACATGGTTACTGCCACAGCTGGGGCTTGCTGTGCAGCCATGTGGATGGGGGTGAATTCACCCTTAAGAACAGCCCATTCCTCTGTAGGAATTTGATGTATTTCCCCTAATTTGATAGGGGAAATATAATAGAAGGTGGTGCAGATTTTAGTTTAGAGCACTCGTTTGTATTTGAGTACAGTGAAGTTGATCCTGGAGTTTTCAATCTGACAGCAGTCATTATATAGAAAAGGAAAGGTTTCTATGTTCAAAACAACCAGATATGCAGGGGCTGTTACACTGTCTAATATGGTAACTAATAATCTAATTCATTTGCAAAAGATACATTTGATCATATACTAGCATCCTAAAAAGTCTGCATTATCTTTAAAGAGAATTATATTAATTATATAGAAGGGCAAATGGGCTACCAGTTATCATAAGTAGCAGCTTTTAATAGGAAACTGAACAGTAATTGGTCCACATTTATTTTCTTTATTTGATATTTGTAATTTCTATGAGGTGATATCTTATTTTTTCACAGTTACCCTAACCTTTCTGAAATGTCTGGCATGCCAGCAAGCCTATTGGAAAGGCTTAATAATTATTCTCTATCCTTTGTTTGGAAATACATTGCACTTGCTTTCTTCATCTAAACTTTTCTTCCTTCAGTACAAATACACCTGAGTAGAAGTTACTATCCAGGTTTTTAGCTCCAATTTCTCTGACACAAGATACTTTCTAAACAGAAATCTGATTTGCAGTCAGATTAAAACCACTTTCTTGTTGTTTGGAATTGGTTTTCAAATTGGGGAGGTAAGCACGAGCACAGGGTTGTCAGTTAGCAAAACTGGTCTCATCTAGAGTTGTGATACTGTCCTTGTGTCAGGTTTTAGCCTCAACTTCTTTGATTTTCTGTCACCAGGGTCCTCCAGGTCCTCCAGGTTTACCTGGTCCTTCAGGGAAGAGAGGTCCTCGGGTGAGTAAAACAACTGTGTTCTTCTGCACCTCTAGGCAGGTCACCAATAATCACACTGGAGTTTGCATAATTTTGGTTTTCTCAACTTCATTCATATGCTTAGTGATTGTGTGAGGTATGCTTATGATGAAAGTGTTATGATTCTGAACATTTGGCAGATAGGTTAAAGCAAGACAAACAAACAGTTTCTCCTGCTATGAGCTTCCAGCATAATTAATTCCATGTATGGGCGCATACACTGGGCGTTGTTATATTTGTACCTGGCTTTTGCTGCTCCCAATATTAACTTCTGGTTTTTCCATGCTGCTCCCATCTGCTGCAATCTAAAACCACATGCATTTGTTTTGGAGTGAGGGGGAGTGAGCAATGCAGCCTCAGAGGAGCAGGCACAGATACAAAATTAACCACTGCAAGACAGAGTGGGGGTAAAAAGTAATTCCAAAAATCTCTTTTAGTCTCTTGAGCTTCAGCAGCTTGATCCTAGGTTGCCATCAGGGTGCTTTGCTAAAGAAATGAGCTACAGTAGGCAATGGTTGGTTTTGTGTGAGTGGGTGCAGCCCAGCAGGGGCTTTGCCCCAGTGACCCTGGGGACAGAGCAGGGGCTTTGCCACAGTGCCCTGTGTCCCTCTGCCATGCACGGGGGAGAGGCCTGTGCTGTGCCACTGTACTGATTAATTAATGGGGCAAAAGAGGCTGAATCTCTGTTTGTGCAATGTGTACTAAAACCATGTGCTGAGCAGTCCCTGAGGTCATGGCTGATCAGAGGGGTTTAGGGGAAGGGCAGCTGGAGGGAGCAGGTGAAGGTTTGGTGTGGGGGTGATTTCAGGCCATGGTAGCTGGGGATGTGAATGGTTGTGGCTGCAGTCAGCAAGGCAGATGGAAAGTGGGAGAAAAGGGCTCACATCTGTGGGCTCAGCAGATGTGTGGGAGGAGTTTTGGTTCAGCCTTTGAGGAAGGTTTAAATGAGATGCTGCTCAATAGCCTGTTGAAAGCCAGCACAGCACAGGACGTTCTAAACTTGGCCTGATGGGTGGAAACTCATGGCACTGGTCAAAGAAACCAAAAACCAAACTCATGTTTCAGAGCATTTTGGAGGCAAGGGAGGAGAAGAGACACATTTAAAAGTATAAAATGAAAAACATTCCTTCAAATTCATCTCTTCATGACTTTTTGGATCCTTCTGTGTAGGAGCTGACAATTCTTACAACTCAGATTTTTTATGTTGCACACTGCCTGTGGCAGGGATATCTCTGGAATCAGAGGCAGGATCTCACATATCCAAGTAGATCCTCACAAGTGGGAAGTTTTCTTTGTTTCAGAGGAGGCTGTTCATATGTTTAAAGCCATGCCTGTTGCTGAGATTGCTCTTGCCCAGCTGCAATTTGTTTGGGCTTCAAGGTCTTTTTAGAGGCATAGAGTACTTAAAAGCTCAGTGCTCTATTGGGTGAGCAGTAATGTGGATAAATTATTGTGTAGGATACGCTTTCCAATGTGAAGGGACAGCTTACTCTAAGGGGTGTGGAAAAGTATGAAAATGGCTGAGATGAATATTTACCAGTTGTTCTGAGTTTAAAATATATTTATACAGGCCAAGCAAGTCTATAAAACTATTTGATAAAAAAGAAATGGTTTTGAAATATCAGTGTTCTTTACTTTGTACAATACTCATAAATTCAGGCAGGTGCAGGTAGTGATGATGTATGTTATGACAGGAATTTTGTGAGCCAAAATGCCTGTGAAAACTTTGACTCAAAATTCAGTTCCTCATCCAGCAGCCTGCCCTGTGACGTCTGTTTTCCTTCACATGAGTTGCTATTTGTGATCCTGAAATGTGACTTGAGTTGTCAAAGGGAAACAGCAGAGTGCAGAGCTGCATTGCCTGGGCCTTCATCAGAGTGTGTGTCCAAAGCTGATCCTGACAGAGATCCACATGGTTGGGACACTTGGGGCATGTGTGGTTCATGGTTAGAGACTTCCATTGGAAACTGATTTTGATCCCTGCAATTCTATGGTAAAGAAGTTCACATGTGACAATGTTTTCTAAGTGTCTTGGCTTGTTCCAAGTTTCTTGATAATGAAATCTCAATGGTTTCAGAATTAGTGATGACATGAAACTCCTCTGATGCCTCATTCCATGAGAATCCTTTTGCACTTCTGTGTTCCAGTACTGTGCCCCAAGACAGTAACACTGCAGGCAGTGAAAGCAGGAGCCACTGCAGCACTGCTGGCTCTTTCTATTTGTTTCCTTTCTCCTAAATCCCTAAGAGTGCCTCCAGAGTTGCCAGTGTGCAAATTAATCTCTCAAACAGCACGTGGGATTAGCATTTCTGTGGGGTTATGTCAACATGGTCATTAGTGAGAGAGGGAGCACTTAAGAGATGCAGCTCTCAGTGTTACTGCAAGGTGTCATTGGTGAATGGGGCCTCGTGTGGTGCAAAGACAAACACTGAGTTTATCTGTTGTTACACCACTGAATATACAAGAAAGTTCAAAAGTATTCTTAATATATTTGGTATTTGGATTTTGGAAGAATTTTTGCTTTAGTGAATTCAACAGAAGCTTTGTTGCCAGTTTATCAGGGACAGATTTTCACCAGTTTGGTCCTTCAGCACTTGGAAGATGAATAGCTGCTGACAACCATTGCAACAAATATTTTCCCTAATGTGCAATTTTTCAAGGAGTGAAGATTGCTGAATGTGTTGCAGGAATGGACATTTATACTGGAAGGCCTAGATAGTCTTGATAGCTTATTCTGTTCCTGGAACAGTGAAGTTGAATTATTTTAGTAAAAAGTCCATTTTCTACACTGGCTGTGGGAGAATCAGGAGAATCTGTGATTTTATTTTTTTTTTTAAGAATGTGGGATACATTGCTTTGAGACATTTTTAACTCACCAGGAACTCATCCACTCACTTTTCAGTGTGTAGCTGGGTACCTCAGAATGGGATTTTACTGATTTTATTCCATGCCTTCAAGTGTTGTAGCTGGAGAGCAACATTGCAGTGACTATGCCAAACCTGTTAAGAATTACCTGGGAAGACAATAGAAACTGAGATTTGTAATGAAAAAGGGGATACTTACCTTCACTTTTAATTTTTGGAAGATGTGTATGTTTTATTTCTTGTGAATCCTTTGAAAATCCTAACCAGTGATTCTAAAAGCAGGAAAGATGCAGTAAAATTATTCTCTGCAATCCATTCACATTTATTCAGTGGTGTACAGAGTAATCCCAGTTGTTGTTCTCCTCATTTGTTTGGGGTTTTTTAATAGGGTATTCCAGGACCACATGGGAACCCAGGTTTGCCAGGATTGCCAGGTCCCAAGGTGAGTTTATTTATCCATGCTGACATGTAAACACATGAAATTTTTAATATTTTTGGAAGCCTCAGAACTGTTTCCTATAATAGAAATAATTGACCTTCTTTTGTTTACAGGTGGAGACTGCTACTATAAATATATTTTAATTAAATGTAATTGATCAAATTGAACTTCAGATCAAAACAAAATAGCAGGTTATTCAGTGGAAAGAAAATCACCTATGTGTGCAGAATGATGACTTGAGAATGGTTATCTTTGCATGTAATCTGTACTTCCCAAGAGAGTTCCTGTAAATCAGCTCAGCCTCTGATAAACTGAGGTTTAAATGCTTAATTGCTGTAAACTTTTGCTTTGCTTAAAAAAAAATAAAAAAAAATGTAGACTGTAAGTCCCTATAAATTGCTATTTTATTGCCCATGCCCAAGCTTTGCTACTTAAATATTCTAATATCTTGGACATTATTATTTATTAATATGCTAGAATAATTTTCTGAAGATTTATGGAAGTGATATTTAAAGTCAAAGACAAAATACTGGACTTAAAGCTCAAATAACATTTTCAATCTTGTGTAACATAGGGCCTTTAAATAGATTTGACAGATTTGTGCAGTTGCAGAATGCCTTCAACTCATATTTAGTTTGAACAATTTGATAGATCTGTTAGGAAAAAGGCAGCACCATGATTTGTTTAGCATGATTCCTAATTGCAGGAATCTGACATGTCATGACAGGTGCTAAAATCTGCTTGAGGACATAAAAAGAAATTTAATAAAGCTTTCAGTGCCAAGTGCTGTAAAACCAAGTGAATCTGGTTTTTGTGTGTTTTTGTTTTTATCTAGCTCTATAAGGACAGTTAAAGATTCAGAATTAATTTTTACTCTATTTATGCTGGCTATGTAATAGAATACATTTCTAGGAAAATAATTAATTGTAACCAATTACTCCTAGGCTTTGTTTTATAATTTATTTTCTCCATTGACTGGATGATAATTTTGATCAGTTCTGTAGCTCTGTCCATTAGTTTAAGAATAGAAGGAATTGTACATATGTAAATGTACCTATATATATTTTATTTAAATATCAAATATACATATTACTAGGTGCTTAGTGATCTCTTTAATTTCTGTTAAATTATAAGTTATCTTTTTGATACAAGCATATTCTGAAGTGGTTTTCTCTAAATAAAAATTAACTGGGTGCTCTTGAAGTTTTGTCTGTGAAGATCCAGCTGACCACACTGAAACAAACACTCTTGTTTGATACTAAAACATGGCAGATGAGCTGCAAGAATTTTCTAGCAGTAAATGAATGCAGAATTTTATTCTATCTTTAAGATGCATGAATGTTTCCCTCCTGTGCTGAAGGATCCTTTATGCATTTGCTTCTGAAACAGGCACAACATGAATATCCTTGCAGCAAAGTGTCCAGCCCTGAGTGAGGGTCAGCAGTTCTAAGCAATGGCCAATCCCTCAGCATTTATTCCTGAGAAACAACTGGGGGTGTTTTTAAAGTAATGTAAGGGTATCCATGAGGTTTGGCTTTATTCTTGGCTCTTTGGAAAATAGATTAGTTAAGAAAATTTAATTTTGTGGATTCTGGCACTGTGGGAAGGCTGAGCCTGAGGAAACCTGTACAAGGTAATGGTTCATGCAGTAATACAGCCTGATAATCCTGCACATTGCCCTGAAGTGATGGACACAGGGGCAGAGCAATTTGGCTGGAGCATCTGCTCTAATCCTGCTTCGATTTACCGAAAAATCTGCTTTTCAAAGTTTTGTGACTTTACAAAATTTGGAAAATGTAAATCTCATTTCAGTATGAACCTACACTATTTTATTTTTTTCTTAATTCTTTAGTGAAAAAATTATGAGAAAAGTATCTATAATAGGAAGCACATTTATATTTTTTTCTGCTCTTGCTGTAACAGTTGAGAATACTTGTTTTAGCATATATTATTAGAAATCATCTCCTGATGGTATTATTGAGCTTAATTTCTCTGTGACAGGGCCCTAAAGGAGACCCAGGATTCTCTCCAGGACGGGCAAAATGTGGAGAAAAGGTATTATTTTCTTAATTATAGAAAAATGTTTTGTCTGTCCTATTCTTTTGTGAAGTCTGGTTTAATATTCAAATAAATTATAACAGCAAAATGTTTTGTATTTACTTTAACACTGGTGTATTTTAGCAGTTAATTATGTTAGACTGACTACTGTAGACACAGGTGACATAATGAATCCAAGGCAAATTTAAAAATGTATTAAAAGTTGAAAAATTAAATTATATATTTGATTTAACTTATAAAAATAAAATATAAGGACTTTTAGAACAATGAAATTGGATTAGATTCACACTGATATAACAAAGTACAGATTCCAGTTTCCCTTAGTACCTTGCATTATTCCAGAAAGTTGTGTAAAACAAAATTTGGTGATGACAAGCGCACACATTCCTGCTACTGCCTCCTAAGCAACTTTAGTCAAACTAGTTGTTGCCTTCTCTGCCCAAACATTTGAATATAAATATTCAAATATTCCATTCTTCATGGAAATTTTCAGTGTGAAAACTTGTGATTGTTTCATTTTCAGATTAACATAGAAGTTTCATACACAGTAATGTGATAACACTTAAAGTGTAATTGAATGTTTGCATTCTAATATGCTAGCCTGTGCTGTATGTTTAAGAATATCTTGCATTTATGCTAAGTTCTTTTATGAGCATTTACTAGTAGATCAGTTTTGGAATATTTGTTCCAAGTAGGAAGCACTGTAAGATTTGAGGACTACTCTCTGTTATGAAAAAGCATTAGGAAATAACTATGGTTTACTCCCTACTGATGTGTACATAACTTATTTTTTTAGTGCATCCATGCTGTCAAACCCTAAAATTCACAAATATATGTTGTCAACGTTGATGCACCGATGCAAAATTGAAGTGCAGCTCCTACAGAAATATTTTAATCTAGCCAGGTTTTGGCAATCAGATCATAGTGTGGTGAGCTGTACATGGCTGCCTGACACTCAAGCTATGTTCTTTGGCATGAGCCCAAGCAGCCACAGAACAGTCTAAAGCCCACATTTGTATGACTATCCCTAAATACATGTAGAGTACATCTATAATCCAAAATTGTGGGATCGATACGCATTTTATAGTTCTCGTTATTTTGTGTTCTTAATTTGCTCGTTCTAATTAATAGACTTACATTTACTTGGACAGTAATTCACTTCCAGGATGCAATCCTTGACTTACTGGGTTTGAATTCAGGCACTAATCATGAAAGAGTGAATCTCTTCACTGTCAGTCCTGAGCAAGAAGACTCTCCTTCCCCATCTGCAACAACCATGAAAATTTGTGTCTTCTTTCCATCTCCCCAGCATTTGAGATTTCTGATTCTTATTGCCGTATACCATTATGTGGTTGTGAAGTTTAAAGAACCTGAAGAGAGCAGCAGTGTTCCCCCAGAGCCTCTCTGTCCATATGCACCTCTCAAGCTGTCTTTCACAGAGATCAGATTTATGCAGATTTTGCACATCACACCCCATAATGGTGTCCTGGCTCTTGGCTGCAGATTGTTGGCATAACATTAAAACAAACAATACACACTAGTGGTGATATATATGTATTAATTTGAGGTGAAACCACTTGTTTCTGAGGAAAGTGTTGCCTCAAGAGCTGTATGGCTTCTTCACTCCTGTTTATGTTGGCTAAAAGTAAACGTTTTGATGCTGTGAACCAGGTCTGTTCCAGCCATGATTTGGCCATGTTGCAGGAGCAGACATGTTGCACTCAGTGGTTGCAATTGAGGTACTGTTGCTTTTTCCATTTTCTTCCTCTAAAAACGTAATAAAAATCAAACAACATCAGCTAGTTCTCCATACCAAATGTCCAAGAGTGCAGACAAGATATTAAGTGCTGCATGTTTATAACCCTGGGTCATGTTCCAGTGAAACATATTAATTCTGGATGTTTTGTTGTACAGGGTGATCCAGGCCCCATGGGCTTTCCAGGCCCACCTGGAATCAAAGGCCAGAAGGTAAGGTGCTGTTTCCATTCCCATGTGACTCATCCTGGCTCAAATCAGTGCCCCCCAGGTGGGTGTCTGATGGTCCAGAGGTGGTAGAAGAACTTTAGGCTTGCTCTTGGCACTGTGTCTACTGTGCAAAACCTCCCCTTACAACAATTCAGTGGGATCATCATAGCAGGATGTAAATCACAGCCACATGAAAGAAACTGCAGAAGAATCAAATATATCCTTTTGCTTTGTACTCCAGCACTGCTGAGAAATTATTTTATATTAATATAGATTAAATTATCATAAAATTATGTAATTACATAAAATAATAATATACAATTAGTTACTATAAAATTCTCATATATAATTATTGTATTTAATATAATGATACTATTATATTTTGATATACAAAATATATATTGAATAAATAGCATATTTCCAACATTTCTTCTCATCCAGGCAAGAAAAAAGATTTTAAAAGTCTTACATATGAGTTAATGGTGTCCCTTTTTTTTTTTTTTTTTTTTTTTTTCATTTTTAAATCAGCACTCAAAACTTTCCTTATATCAGTCTGGAGATCTCACAGGGCAGAAGGCTCCCCTTTCCCCTGAGTGGCCCCACTTGGCTGCACAGAGAGGCCAGTACCTGCCCCTGCAGCCAGGGCCCTTGGGGTGGGTTGGCACCAGAGGACAGCACTCCTGGGCAGGGGCTTGCCTGAGTCCATGGCAGCACCTGAGAACCTCTGCAGTGCTCTGGGGGTACAGGTGCTTTGCAATGGCTCTGGGAAAGAGCTGTACCAAGACTGGCTACAATTTTTGCTCTAGTTTACTCCCTATTTGTGTGTGACAGTAAATCATGAGAATCTGGGTCTATAAAATCCTGATAAAATTTGCATACTGAAGTAGAGCACGGTAAGAAATGTGGAAGGAAAAAGCTTGGTTTCAACCTGAGAAGGGCTCCATATTTCATTTTTTCTTTACTCTGGCATCATGTAAGGGTAAGGCTGATGAGCAAATTTCAAAAGCAGTATATTTATGGTAAGATCAGCATTATTCTATTAAGTGTCATCTTTATACTACTGAGTGTCTCCCAGTGCTTCTTCTACAGAATCCTATTTTCCTTGAGCAGAAGGAAACTCCAGTCCTGTAAGAGAAAAGTAGAATTTCCATTCCTTGGGATATTTGGGCTGAGTTGCTAGGTGAAGTCTTAGTTGTGGAATAAAGATCAGCAAACAAGATAGACAAGATAGAATGGAACCACTAAGGAAAAATAAAACAGAGCTGTTTTCTGATGAAACTTTTGAAAAAAAGTCAGCATTGTGAGAGCTTCTGACAGCACATGGGAGTCCTTTTATTTGCTGCACTTGCTTCCTCTCTGTAGCTGATGGTTGTAGCATTAGTCACAACACTTTACCTACTGATTTTTACAGGTTACAGGAACTTCCTGGCACTCTTCTGTAGTTGCCAATGATGTGCTAGGTTTTAATTACAAATACCTAGAAATTCTGGTAAAGCACAAAGGGCAGTAGTAAAATGGAAAGTCATTTGTTTAAAAGAGCACAAGTCTGAAACTGCCTTTAAGCATACTGATGTCTTGAAATTGTCTAAACTGCCAAGTTTTCTTACTTCTTTTCTCTAGCTCAGTTTTCATGAGCAGCTAAATGTAAACCATACTAACTCTGCAGGCAGAAAAATCTGGATTTTTTTCTTTGATGAAAAGAGAATAGAGTAGAAAAAGAAGGTCTATTTTGTTTGTCTAATTGTGTTTGTCACAGATTTCTTTCTCTCCCTGCAGGGTCTTAAGGGTTACCCAGGACTGCAAGGGCCACGGGGTGAGCAGGTAAGGGATGCAAGCACAGAGCTCTGTGCTCTGCAGATGAACCATTAGGATAGGAGAATGTATAATCCATTAAAAGTGTTCAATATAAGCAAGCTGTGTAAACTGCTTAAGGAAATATTGGACAAGTTTTGAGCAAGAATTCAGATTGTGTTGATATCAGTGTGGTAAAGAATTAGTCTAAATGAAATGGAAAAGCTTATCCAGCTCATTTTTTAACTACCACACTAACTGGGAGGATGTTGATGTAAAATTCTTATAAGAGGCACATTTCAAACCTCTACTGATGCATTTTACATCTCCTAGCATGTAGGATATGAAGTAGTTGTTCAGCACTTTTTTAAACTGCCCTGTCTGTCCAGGAAGAAATCTGAACATGATTTCAAAGATCCAATTGCTAATGTCTCTTGTTAGCATTTATGATGCCCCTAAAGGCAGAGTAGATGGACGGAATCTCCTTTTGAATCACACTGAAAAGGAAATGGTGATGATAACTGATGGTAAACCCCTGAAAGGAGACGAAAACTCAAGGACATAATTGATGACTTTCCTGGGTTTTATGCCCAAGCCTTCGCTGAATGAGTGGTGATTTTTTATTACAGTCTCACAGTATGTTTTCTGTGATGACTGTAATCTATCAGTGAGATAGAGATAACTAGTGAGGAAAAAACAAAGTTGATTCTTACTATCAGAAGAAGGTGGAGACAATTGTATGCATTCATGATTTATCCAGTGCTACATTGACCTGATTCTGAAAGAAACAAAACAAAACTTGGCTTTGTAAGGACACGAGGATTTTTTTAATGGAAAGTTTAATGTATTTGTTTCAAATACATCTAGGACCACTGCAATTACCTCATTGCCTCCAATAGCACTCTTGAATTATTTTTGAATTATGGAAATAAAGCATCCACTGTTGTATTTCACAAAATCTTACACACTTTTAAAGGATATATGACTGTAATTGGCAGAGTTACTTATGTATGATGAGTCAATTTTTGGGTGTTCTGTGTAGCTTGCTTAAAGAGTAATTTTTCCATGTGCTTAAGCTGTGTCATATGAGTAGATGTTAAAAGAGAAATGATAGAACAGACTCCAAACCATGACATGAAACATGTTTGTTGTTTATTTTCCTTTCCTTTCTTCCTTTTCCACTTAGGGAATTCCAGGAATTGCTGGCAGTATTGGGGCAGTTGGTTACCCTGGCAGGCAGGTGCAGTAACTATACAAATGCCTTTGCATTTTATTTTTTTTCTCATTTATTCTTTTCAAAAGTACCATATATAACTCTTTTGAAACTACTAATTGTAAAAACGTATTTGTTTACATCCTGTCTTTTTTCTTTGAAACAAACCTCATTCTCTGGTAGTGACTTGGAGGGAATGTTGAGTCTCATGACTTTAAAACTTGGATGTGAATACTTTACACTTCCTTCATAAAATTCATGTTGTTCTGTGTGGTTTATCTTCTTTGTATTTCAAGTCTAGAGGCAGAGGCAGTAGGAGACAACCTGTTCCTCCTCATTTTTCACCAATGTGTTTATTTCACTGCTGAAACTATTTCTTCAGTCCATTAGGGAAGGGGAACATTAAAAGTTTGGTGTTTTATTCCCACTTGGATATTTTAGGACAACCAATAAAGCCAGAAAGCAGCTTTCTTTAAACAGAAGTACTTATATAAATATTGATTTATGTATAAAGTAATAGATACCTCAGTGCAGTAATACAAATAAGATAAAAAGTAGAAATGCTCAGCATCTTCCTTGTGTAAAGGTATGTGAGCCAGTTGACAACAACTGACTTTGGTTTTGTATCTGCTTAAAGGGTGAATTTCACCAATGCTTCAGTGTTTGTTGGATTAAGTTTGTAGTGGCTATATATTTCAAAGTTCCATTACAATATTTTATACAGTAATGGATGATAACATTTTTTGTGTTAAATCACATAAAGTGTTCAGAGCATTTGGACCACATATGCAATTCTGACACTAGCTTGAACGTAATTGAAATGTGTCCAAATACAAATGCTCGTAAAAAATCCTGTGAAATTATGTCACTGTAATGCCTCATCACTGTGTCTGGAAAAAAAATTTCTCCCAGAAGAAATAATTTAATGTAATGGAAGTTTCAGTCATGATCTGTGTTTCAGCCATGCACTAATGGGAGACCTTTCTGAACAAGGTCCCAGGGGATTACTTGATGACACCTTCTTCAATCTTAAACATTTCAAGAATGTATTGCCAGTTTACAGTTAACAAATGTTGTTGCAGTTCTTTTACATAGAGCATATCTGGTTGTTTAAAATTAATTACAACTCTCTTTTTGTAACAGGGCCTAGCTGGACCGGAAGGTAACCCAGGTCCTAAAGGAGTAAGAGTAAGTAAGCATCATAAGCATTTTGATATCCATGTCTAGTTTTACCCATACAGTAGGTAAGAAAGGGGGTGAGGTATTTAATCCAGCTGTGCCAGGGTATGCCTGCAGAACCACACTGCTTTTATAGACCCTACAAATGGGAAAACTCAGAGTTTATTATTTTTCCATGGTGAGCAGCACAGAGCAGTTTTCCATGGTTGCCCTTCCTCTCACTTGCATGCAGGAGAGAAAAGAAAGCCATGCTGGGTGTGAGGGCTGAGTGGATGTTTCAGGCCTGAAGCATTATTTCCATAATGGAGGCTTTCAAGAAGGGAGACAGATCTGACATTTGCAATCTGTAACAGCTAAAGAAGTAGATAAAGGGCAACAGTCTTGTCACATAAAAACCATGAAAGGGATCTTTAAATTTTAGACTGATTCAGTCATAGTTATATGTATCCCAGGCACTGAAGGTTCTTAATGCTCCATGCATTCAAGGTTTGGTTTTGGTTACTCTTGGAAGCAAAATAGATTGGTTTTTATTCCTGGCTGGTTTGGGGTTTTCTCTCTGTGCCTTTTATCGTGCTCTTTCTCGGTGGTTTGGGTTTTTTTGAGGGTTGTGGGTTTGTTGGTTTTTGTTTTGGTTTGGTTTTTTTGGGTGGGTGCTGTGTAATTTAGTTTTCTTTGAATAGACACATGAGCATGCCCACACATGCTTGTGCATGGATAAGTATTTCTTCAGACTGACTCTCACCATCAAGCAGAAGGCACAGGTTTCCAGAAACCTTTATGTTGCTGGTTGCATCTGGGATTGGAAGGAGGCTTTTGGTGGGTGTTTTCAGGCCTTCAGCTCATATACAGGTTGCTCAGCAGTGTATTGTGTTCTCAAGTATCAATTAATATAATCTTACTGTGTTGCAAGAGTTGCTTTTGTTTTGTTTTTTTTAGTGTAGTTACTAGAAGCCTTTACCTGCAGCAGCTTCTCAAACACATGTCTGGGAGTTTTGGAATTTTTTTTTTTTTTATGCCACTTTTGATTACGGTGATGGGAAAAATTAGTTTGGCAGAATCAAGTGCCAACAGATATTGCACCCTCAGGGATTGCTTCTTTTATGTTTCTTCAGTTTATTTTTGTTCAGATTCTCATCTGCATTTTGACTTGTTCTGCCTTCAATGAACAAGGCATAAGTGATTCCAGTCACTTCCCTAAAAGTGTTTACACAAAGTTAAAAATGGCCAATGCATGAGTAATTTAGGGGAAAACACCTTAAGGCTAAATCTTGTGTATGAATTCTAAAAGTAACTTCCAGTAAAAATGATGACACAGCCCTCCTGACACATACTGCTGTGCCATGGAGGTGTACAACAACAGGATGTGAAGTATCTTTAGAGCTTTAGGTTTAAAATATTCCTGTAATCAAACTGTGCTCTGCTTCTCAGCTGTTTTAAGTAACTGTAGAAAGTAGAGGTGCCTTTGTTTTCCTTACTCTCCCTTAGGTCTGGATAACAAGGTAGGTACCATCTTCCATAATTAAAAAAAAAAGATCAACCTCCAAGAAATTAAATCCTACTCACATTTAAATTTCTAGAGCTTCACTGGCAGTTTCAAATGAGCCTGAATTTAATCCCTGTGTCATGAGCCTTAGCTGGCCAGTACTGAGGGACAACCAGCCTTGAAATCAAGCACTTTTCTTACATTTTAGGGTTTTATTGGACCTCCAGGTGTGGCAGGACAACCAGGACCTGAAGGAGAAAGGGTAGGCCTAATGGAACATTAATGAAATGTTGATGTTTGTGTGGTAATGCAATATGTTAGAATGGGGGGAAATGTACAAGGTTTAACCATTCATTTGTTTGGATTGTTTTTTTTTTTTTGGTTGGTTTTTTTTTTGGGGGGGGTGGTTAAAAGCAAAACTGATTTGAAGAAAATAAGATGAATAGGACATACCCAATTAGTCTAATCAATGAAACGCCTTGGTCCTAAAGTAAAATGGGGAGCAACTCTAAGGTATTATTTTACTTTCATCTACAGCTGCAAGGATTAGGGTTATTTTTTTCTTCAGTAAAGTGTGAATGAATATTGTTCATTTAAGCAATTTCTTTTTGACAATAACTAATATTTGTCTCTTGTTGGATGATCTTTGCAGTAGAACCAGCCATGGAATAGTTAATCTCTATCACTGTGCTTGAGCCTTTTCGTATTGCACTTGAGCCAAAAGGCTGTCTGGACATGTAGTGTGATGGAAGCAGGACAAGGCCCTTTTTCACAATTGTTCTGGTATTGCCACAGGAAAGATGAAGTTTGTCTTTCTGCTCCAGGACATTTGCTCTATGATACTTTGCTCAAATATTTTTTTTTAATGGTGCTCCTCATACTCTGTTGTTTCCAATCAAATGCAGGTTTAATTGCTTGAATTTAAGTATTGAAGAAAAGAAAATCTATTTATGGTGGGTTATTTCCTTCTTAGGGTATCCCAGGCCTCCGTGGAAAAAGAGGTCCTAAAGGGAGACAGGTAAAGATTCTAATACTTGTTACAATTCCTGCTGCCACTGTAAATCCACCTGGAATTAACTCTGTAGCTTTAATCAGCTGAAAAATGTTAGTTTTATTTTTGTCCATCAATGACTTTCTATCACTTTCAATTAGTACTTTTCAGAACTGCAGATTCTGTGCAGGTTATAAGCACTAAAGTGTGGAAGACTCAGCACTGTGAGCTTTGTGGCAGGTTACTGATATCAGCTAGGAGGAGGGTTGGAAGGTGACAGAAACACACAAATACATTGTGTAGAATTGGTGTTAGCATGAGGTGCAGCTATGATGCAAGCTTCATAAGTCTGTTGTTGGCTTGGATGAAAATCAGGTTCTTCTAATGTCTGATATTTCTGGACTGTAGTAAATTAAAGCTGTCCTCTTCTTAACATGTATTTCTACAGCTGAGAATAAACACAAATCTGCCAAGTACACATTATCAGGTTTACATATTTCCTGTGGTGTCTTCAATGTCAAATGTTTTGTTTTCTGTTGCAACCACATTATTTTAGGTCTTTGAAGCTATCCAGGAGTTTCCAGTTTTAACTTTCTTGTGGTTTGAGATTGGAAAACACCATAGGGCTCTCCAGCTGTGCAGTCAGTTGTGTTCAGCAGTTCAGATGATTTTCATCTACCATGTTGAACAAATTTGTCCAGCAGTAGTATGATGATCATCATTTGGCCCTTGATCTATGCTATGGAAGTCGTAGAGGATTCTGTTTAATTGTGTTTTGTTTTCTGTGTGATCAGCCAAAAAAGTCACTAGGCTACAAAAATTGCTTTGATATAAAGAAAAGCAAGCAAAATTACATTAAGTCTGTAGACTGCTCTTTCTGGAGCTGCCATGAGAGCATACTGCAGTTTGCATAGAATCTGGGTGAAATGCTGCTCTCTGCATCTGAGTGTTGGGTGAGAAGGGCTCTGTTCCATCAGTCCTTGCAGAAGTTGGCAGTGTCTTGTGCCCCTGAGGTACGGGCAGCGTTTAAAGGGGCCAAGAGCCTGGATGGGAATCAAAGGCTGGTGTTTAGTGTGAAATAGGAAGTTCAGGTGACAGCAGTGTACACTGGAGCACGTTTTGCCTTCTGCCATCAGTCTCTGTGGCAGGTTTCAGTGAGGCTTCTGCCTGCCAATGAAGTGGTTCTTGTAGGATTTGTCCCAGTCCATAGCAGTCTGTTGGTGCTGTGGTCAGCAGTTATTTTCCATTTACAGTAAGAGCAGGGCTTCTGTCAGTGCCAGGCTATGTTCTGTAAGGACTTTTGTTTGCATAAATCTGCTCAGAGAGGATTCACATAGGTGCAGAGCACCAAAAGCACCTCTGCAGGATGTCTGTGATTACTTTCATTTAGTACTGATTTCTTTGTAATGTCATTAATTTCCTCAATCCCAAGGTTCATTCCAATTCCTTTCTATGATCTATAAAGTACTTATTTGACTAAAGGCTACTAATGTGAGACCAGCCAGGAGAGAAATCACATGGGAACCTGGCTTGAAGTACTTTGCTGGATCACAGGCCTAGAGAAGACATGTTATTATAACCCCCTAAACAAAGATAGCTGTAATGACAAAGTTTTTTGGCACAGTGCCCTAGAGTTAACAAAGCTTTGGGGTAGGGCACTGTCACTAAAAGAAATTTGCCATGGGAATTCTACAGTGCCTGAAGCCAGGATCCTCACCTTTTGTTCTAGGGTACAACTTATTTTTTTGGACAAAACTGTCCCTAATAATACTTGTGAAAATTAAAACCCTGTCTGGCTGGCAGAGGTCTTTTTGAAAGACATGAGATCTGAAGTATAATCTCATTTTTGGAAAGCAGTTTTAAAGAATAGAAGTGGATCATACAAGGGATTGTAAACATTTTTAATTGACAAAATGCTGCTACTTAGTAGGTTTATTGAACAGTTGTTCATATTTGTAATATTTCTGGCATATTTGAAATGGAACAAAATATTCAATTGCCTGAATCTATAGAGTGAGGATTTGTTTTAATTTTATATTTGTTTTGCATACAATATCATTTAAAGGAAATATTTCATGGTAGAAGTATATGTGTTCAATTTCTTTCTGTTGGCTAGCTCTGCAGTATTTCTAATGCATTTTCTGTCCTGTTAGCATGATGCATTTTGCTTTTATTTGGGGGAAGATTTTTACATAGTTTTCTATCTGTGATTACTTAAAACCAGTTGTCAATGTGTCAGAACAGACCTTGTAAATTTTACCAATAATTCATTAATCAAATCCACTGTAACTGTAAAACCAGTTCAGGTTCTGTTTTATATTAAAGTTATGAATAATCATCCTTTGTATGCTTAATAATAATGTTAAATGATAATATTGATTTAATAAAACAGTTGTTGCACAGTAGTTTTATTATATTGCTTCTAGTTTTATACTTTTGTGACTGTTGCCTTTGCTTTCATTTTTCTACTTACTAAGATAGATTTTCAGTATCAGTTCAAAAATGCATGCTGTTGAGAATGTGATAATAATGACTGTGGGTGATCTGTCACTTCTGTAACCCTTGCTATGCTGGGATTGTGCTGAATCATTTGTGATTCAGTGTGGTTGGTAAAACTGTCCCACAGCATCCTTCATTTCCCCTTTGAGGCCTCATTTGTAGTTTCAAAAATAGACCTGTTACGACAACTCTGCCTCTTCCAACACCTACCAATAGTAGGCAGTACAACCCAAATATGCTGTTTGGGAAAAGGTCATAAATTAATCTTTGGCTTCATCCTCTTAGTTGATAGCTTTTAACAACATAGTCACTCTCAAATATCCATTTTGTTTATGTAAAATTGTACACACATTTTGACAGCTGGGAAAAAAGAACAGACTAATAGTGTACAACCTTCAGAATCAATTAAATCTGCTTTATTGACCATTACCTAAGAACCTCTACTTTTTAAATTATAAGGTGGCAAAAATATGTCAGATCTTTCAGCTGTAGATTCTTATTTGTGAATTCTGTGATCAGATGCTGAACAAAAAATTCATTGTAGTGAGAGGAGTTCCTGTGTTTAGCTTTTCTGAATTAACGTGAGAAAGCAGAAGAAATCTCCACCTAAAAATCAGCCCAAAAGATGCTACAGAAGGCTGTCTCAGATGACTTCATATATTGTGCACGATGATGAGAATTAATAGTTATTCAGTTGTTTCAGCATATTTTGGCAGTGTACATGCATACATATATATATATATATATATGCATAAAATGTTGCTTTCAATTTTATAAAAGTTTGGCTTGCTACTAAAGCCAAATATGGCTTAACTACTATCAACTACTTTGATTTATTACATGATTTTTCCATCTCCTTGACACAGTTTTCATATTGTCTTCCTGACTACTGTTGGAATACTGTTTTATGGTGATGCATATTCCCCAATTCATTGAGGAAAGACACTGCTGCAGCAAGTGCTGGGCTGGGCAGCTGTGTGGATGCCCTCTGAACAAAGCAGCTTTAAAAGGCCAAATGAGCTGTAGCTTGGAGCTGCAACAGGTTTGAACATGGTCTCACTGAGGGGAAAGGTTAATGCCTCCAAGTGCTGTTCCTGGTACACATGGAGAGGTAAAAAGATACTGAAACACTGAGAGCACAAAGAGCATTTCAGATATTTTTGTTATTTTATTTTATTGTTAAGGATGGGATTCTACCCCTACCTCCCCCTAAAAACCCAAACAAAAAATCAAGTAACTTTTCCCCCAGCAACTTATATGCTTCTGCAGTGGGCAACATCTGAAAGAAGTAAAGCAATTTTCAAAACCCTAGCAGGAAGGACGGAAGATTAGAGCCAGCAAAGTGGTGGAATTCCATTCCATTTTCTTTTTGAAGCAAGAAATGGAAATTCTGTTTTAAGCTTCAATGCTTGAATTGGCAAATCAGATTTCTTTCCTGTTCTGATAATCTAGTCTCTGAAGTTAAAACTCTCATAAAATAAATGAGGCTTTACTATGTCTTGAGTTATTGTTTGTGTCTAGATGCAGACTCAGGGAAGTGTTCACATCAGTTAGATGAGAATTCTGATTTCTAATGAATAGGAGATCTCATACTGAGATGCTAACCATTAATATTTGGGGATGAGTTGAGGAAAGGACAAATGTTTTAGTGAATGTTGAAGCTAACAGGAAAAAAAAAGAGTTAAGAAATAGGAAAACAGGCTCCAAAAAAACAGTTCAAGTAATACTTGTTTAATATTGCTCTGAAAGTAATTCAATTGTTTGCTTTTTCCATGTGTTTGCATTGTGTATAGTTTTATCATTTTGGCTTTATGACTTTAGGAGGCAAACAAATATCACTGTTCTGTTCATTTGAACTGTGTAGCTGAAACTTCCTGCTTTTTCCATTCCTTCATCACACTCCCTCCATCTATTTATGATGTCTTAATTCTCCAAATCTATAGGGATTCAGTGTCCAGACCACCTTTCATGTCCTGAATAATGAAGAACAGGTATTTTCTATTCTGCTTTAGGGTTTTCCAGGTGACTTTGGAAATAGAGGCCCCCCTGGTCCAGATGGAAGTCCTGTAAGTATTGAATTGTGTGTTGATTAACATGATAAAATTTGTAAAACTCGATGTTAACTCCCCTCCAAAATTAAAGGAGACTTTTGCTTCAAAAGAAATGTCTTGAAAGCCACAGGAAAATTTTGAACTTTTAACTTTCCCATGGAAATTACTAGGAAACTACTATAATAAGTATAAAAGAGAGGAAGAAAATATTCAGAAAGCTGCCGAGAGAACACATTTTCCACTGCAGCATGTGCTGACTACCTTGAGAATCAGATCTCTTGCTGTCCTCATTGCATTGAGTGATGAATGTTCTGTCTTCCAAAGTTCTTGCATTAGATGACTTAGTGTTGTTTTTTTAAACCATTATTCTAAGATCACCTTAACAAAATAGGATTTGGCCAGCATGTAAAACCCCAGCTTTTGTGTGCTTGTGCATTTGATAGTTGATTTCATCCTTTGAGCTGGTACTGAGCACAGTTATGCTAGCCTGTCATTTAGTGCATTGTAATCAGTGTGATAGCAGCTTTGTCCTTGGCAGTGTGTGCCCTTGCAGTGTGCTGTCCAGCCTGTGCCACGCTCACGTCACTTCACAGGCTGCCCTCAAAGGAGCTTTGCTCTCTTGCTCTATTTGTAGGGAAACTCTGGCTGCAGACTCCAAACTCAGGTTTCCTTCGGTGTCAGAAACCAGTGAAAGGCTTTGGGCAAGAGAAGAGAACAGCAATAAGTGCTGGGTAAAAGAGCAGCTGATTTAAATCATCTGGTATTGTTGGGTGCTCCTTTGGAAACTGCTATCAGTTTGCTTCTAAAGATATTCCTGATGTGGAACAGAGTCATCAGCTAGGCAGAGTTTCTCTATTTTCTGAAGATCTGCCTTAACACCCATCTTAGAAACTTATTTTAGAAAGCTTACATGAATTTTGCTGGTGGATTATCAATGTTTGGTGTCAATATTTTGGAACACAGGAAAAAATTTCTTATGCATTTGTGGTCCCTAAGGCAAAGCTTCCCTTGTTGGAATGTCAGGTGATATCAGTATGGTTTTCATCTTGAAAACCCACTGAGGGCTTGAGTGTCACCAGCTGCTTTGCAAATGATATTAAAAGGTGAGTTCTTCCTTCCCCTCCTCGTACTCCCAAGTCTCCCTCCATTCCTGATAAAGCAGATATTGTCTTTCCACCAGATCTGAAATTACAAACTTGCCCGTTACAAAGCAGCCCGTTTCACTGCAAGCATTTGCAAACAAGTTCCATCTAATCTGCCAAGACAGCTGCTGATCTTTCTGCCTTCTTTGACAGGCAGCAGCCCCTCTCCCCTCCTCCCCCGGGCTCACCCTGCAGGGCTTGTTCAGGCAAGGGGCCAGTGCTGCAGCTGCAGGGTCTGCAATGCTAATGGCATATTTACAGAGCCTCTCTGGGAGCTGGCACTGGAGACCAGGGCCTGCCTGGGAGGCCTGTGGCAGCAGGAACTTGAAGGGAAGACATTTCTTCCCATGTGCTGACTTAACACTAATGGCATTTGTCTCCATGCCTAATTTCTTCTGCTTAACTGCTTAATGCCATCCTTCATTTCCACAACGCCCTCTCCATTCTCTGAGGATGTCAGTCTGCCTTGGAGGATGTTGCTGGAGCATTCAGCTTCCCCTGGGGATAGTTTAGAGCAGGTTGGGGAAAGTGTGAAGGCACCTGAGGAGGGAGGGGAGCACCAAGGTGTCCTCTGGGCCGTGTCCAGCAGCCGTGCCCGGTTGGACCCATACAGAAAGGGCTTAGCTTTGCTTGCATAAAACTTCCCCTTCCCCGTGGGTGCCAGCAGGCTGCAATGGGCCCTGTGAGTGTTGCCCACTGAGGAGCAGGTCCAGGTGCTGGCACAGCTTGCATGAGACATGGAGACCTGGAGGACTGCAATACCTGTTTCACGTAGGGCAAAGAGACCTAGCAACTCTTTTCAGCAGTGTTTTAGCCTCTTCTCAGTTTAACTGAGATGGTGTTCTTATTTATTTTTCTAGGAAATCTTAATAAGTTTGTTTTTCACCCTTAAAAAATTGATTTTTCTTCCTTCCACTTTAACTATCATGGTAAAAAAAATCCCATATTCCTATATTAACAGCAGAAATGTTCCCATGATGCTAATATCTGGTGATCTAATTCTACAATTCAGGGATTTTACTAAGCATATTTCTCTATACAGTGATAAGCTGTCACTCTTTGGAAACTGTAAAAATCAAAACTGATTTGCTTTGTAGGTCACTTTTATCTTAATTCTAGGATTTCTTTTTAAATGGTAAAATTCAGATAATCTAAGATTAACTTTCTTTAAAGGGAATTGTTGGTGGTGTTGGTCCTCCTGGATTTCCAGGACTAAGAGTGAGTATACTTTTATTATTTACTTTGAGATGGCTACATTACAGCATTTGTCGTGTGTTTGTGAAATAATAAAAACAATTATGAAAATTCAAGTATTTAAACAGCTTTTGTTTTAGATAGCCATGATTTTAAATAGTATCACTCTACAAAACTGCTATCATGTTGGCAGCATGGAGCACTTCTATACTTGGTGTGGATTTGTATGCTTGTTTCTGACCCAGTATGTTCAGGTCTTTTATTTGAAATTTATTTGAAACCAAGTTTGCTAGTTTATAATTTATTTTACTAAAGCCAGTGTGAAGGGTGCAATAATCTCAAATATTTTAATGACAGCAGTCCTCATTGGTTCCTGAATATGGCTACCAAATTCAAAGCAGAATTAATTTCTAAGAAAAATTACTTTATCATGTTTACAATATCATATTAATTTTTAAAAAATATATGTAGAATAAGGCTGTTATGCTCACTATGGAGTTCCATGCAGTAGTTGTATCTATCAATTGTGCCAGAGAAGCTCTGAGTCCCACAGAAGGTGGGAAAGACTTTCCTTCTGATTAGTCTCACTCCCTTATGCTTTTTAATTCATGTATTTGCTCGTAGAGGACCTCTAATTCTTGATGTTGTCTCAGTCATGTCTGGCTACAGGGCCACATTCTTAACAAGGGAGAAACAGCAAGTGTTTACACTTGAGTTAAGAAAGCCATGATTGTCTCCAGTGTTTGCTTTGTGGGTTTTTTGCTATCTGCAGATCTGAAACATTCTTGATAAGTTTATATTTTACACTGATGATCATCTTACTTTTCCTTTGAAGCACGACAGTTGAGTTCAATTGTTACCCTTCCTAATTATATGTTCATAACAAAAAAAAAATCCTGTAAGTCATCCCTTGCTGTCTGATTAGGATTGTTATGGCATTGCTATGGTGAAAACAAAAGCTTGGTCAAGAAACCTCTGTCGCTTCCAGCCTTCATCATGCAAACATGACTTTCTGTGTCCTTCAGGCCAATTGACACACTCGTGAGACTGGAGCTTGCACTCCTGAGAATTTGCTTAGAATTGTGGTTTGCTTTTCTCTCTTACATGACTGTCTTTGGAATTTACTCTCAAAGACTTCAGTAATTGTACAAATGTACCTGAAGTTTTTTAAAAATATGTCACTTCCAAAAAGATTGTTACTGATTATTTTGACTAAAATTTAGCAGTTTATCCGTGCCTAGAGTTTGTGAGCATAAATATTTGCAGGATCAAAGCTGCATATGCCTTCTTGCTGAGTTGCATTCACTTCCAGAGAGATTGAGTGTCAATAATCTTTTGTGAAATAGAAAAATAATTATCTGTAACTAGTCCAAAGCTTTTGCCACTTGTACATAGATGGAATATAACCATAATTAGAGCTATTTCTTGGGGGGAAAAAATGTTTAGATTTGGCATGTTTAGATTTTGAACAGCACAAAATTAACAATTGTTTAGAGTGTGAGCTCCATTTGAGTGCCCTTCTCGTGTTTATGTGTGGGACTCTTCCTCATGGTTCCAGTTTATGAGTTAGTCTGGTTTCCTCTTTCCCAGTCAGATAATTGGAAGAGCTGTGCTCTGTTCCAGAGTTTCTTTACAAGGGACCATTGCACTTTTTAATCTGCAGCAGAATTTCACCAAGATCCTGGGGCAGTTGCAGGTGACCTCAGCAGCCCTGCTCCTCAGCCACCCCTGCTCTCCAAATGGGTCTGTGCTCCCTGGCCTCAGCTTTCTCTTGTCCAGGCAGATGCTAATGGTCAACCAAAAATGAGCAAAGAGCTACAGCCCTCAATGTTTGCTTTAGAATACTTAGTTAGTAATAACACACTATACTACTACAAGATGCAGTATTGTACATGGGATTAAATATATTTTTCTGGCAGAAACCAAGAGCATTAATTCAAGTAGCTTGTCCAGCCCAGCTGGTCAATGTCAAGAGTTAGTTGTATTTTTGTCTTTGTTCATGAGAACAATGGCAAAATGAGCAGCATCAGCAAGCTGAGTCCAGTAATTCCTTCCATCCATGATTATTTTCAATATACAAAGCTGTTGCCAAGTTCAGAGTTTTGGCTGACTGAATAGTCAGTCTTTCAAGACTTAGCAAGGCCATGAGTTTTAATAAGATGAAGAGTTGTAGAAAATTTACTGCTAGATACCCAAATTAGTTTTTAATTTTTAATTTTTTCTTCCCTTTTAAAAAACCCACTTAACGCTAGGAAAACATTAGTCTTCCTTTTCTGGTATTTTATCTTTTTGCCTGGAAAAAGCAAGTTGGTTTTAGTTTCACTTGTCACCTAGAAATGTTGGAAAAGGTACAATTTATGTAGCTGCAGGTTTTATTGATCAGTAAGTTTTGTCCAAAGTGATAAGCCTGTCTCAGGTGGAGAATTACTAAAAAACCTGACAGACTTACTAATTCAACACTTGTTCAGTTTTATTTTTGTGCAGTTCCTGTTCTTTGCTGGTAATTAAGTCACTCAGTGTATCTGGAGACTGTGACAGGTGTTTAATGAACCTGAATGTTGCAAAGCTGTTTTGGAATTCCTTCCTGTTGCTGTTGTAAGCTAAATTTCCCACCTCAGCATCCCTCTGTGATTTTGCAATCAATGCTGTTGTTACCATAAGTGTGCATTTCAACATTCAGTATCATGAATGCATAAATGCCTTGCTGAACTAGAATGTGGAGCACAGCTCAGAGACAGCAATGTAAACAATTTCCTTGATCAGCTAGCATGGCAGAATATATCATTTACGCAGTCATGGAAAGCTAAAGCAATGTAGAGTGGCAATGCTCTTGGGAGCTCTACCAAGCACCATTAAGACACTAAGTGAGTGGTCTTGCTTTTTCTTCACTGAGCCATAAGTCTGATAGTGGCTGCAGAGAATGTGGTTGCTAACATTGCTAAAGAGTCTCCAGAGAAAAATGAATGTGTGCTCAACTGGAAGTGCACAGATGTCCATCTCATCTTTTCCATATCAGTCTCAGCAAGAGGCAAAAGATTTCTTTATTCATATGTGTTGTTAAATTTCTTCATAGCCATAGAGATATTACATTTTGGGGATTTTTTGGGGGGGATTTTTTCACCTGAGCTTGAATTGGCAGAAAGTAGATTGACTTCTCCCTTTGTAATATAGTCTTAAGTATTCTGAGTCAGGTCTTATATTTAGCTCATGCGTTTTCATTAATATTATTGCTGTGCTGATCTTTAAAGATTCTTAATTTTTGTGACTCACTTTTTTTTTTCCTGTCATAAAACTGCCTAAATAAATCCCAGAAAGAAGAGTTGCAGTAAGGACTTTAAAGGTACATTAAAACAGAAAAGGTTACCGTGCCCATGGGAACATAGATTTGATTCTGCACATGTGGTATTTAGAGTCACATCTCTTTTTTTTCTTTTTTTCTTTTAACTCATAGAAGTCACTGATAGATGAGAAATTGAGTAAAAGGACCATTAAAAAGGCTTCTTTTTGTGGCCCTACTCATCATAGAATAATTTCTTTAAGCCAAATTTGATGCCTACAGAGAAGTGCTGTTATGTAACCCTAAGGACAGCAGTGATGGCCACTGAATTTGCAGCTGCAGTACAAAAGAAAGCTTCCTTAATTGGCATTGCCTAATACACTGAGATCTTCTCTTGAGTTTATAATCTACAGGAGAAGAGGCAAGTTTTGTTTCTCGTGTTTCTACTGATGATGTTGGGAACTGTAAACATGGAGGGCTTATGATACCAATACCTTTCTTTTTCCCTAAGAAATTAACCTGAAAATATTTTGGTTTCTCTCTGTGGTGCAGAAAAATGCCACATTCTGTTAAGAGTCTTTAGGTTACTCCATTTCACCAAATGCAGTCACCTTTCTTGCTGTTTGGCAGGGAGACATTGGGCCAGCAGGACCAAGTGGACCATCAGGAATTCCAGGGCCCATGGTATGGTATTCAATCATTCCACAGCCAGCTGCTCATGCTGCTTTCCAAATTATAGTCAAGCATTGGATTTATGGTTTCTTTACTTTAACAGGGTTTCCCAGGGAGTGTGGGACAGCCTGGAATGAAAGGTGATAAGGTGATTTAAATATTTTCATTATCTTGGAGATACATAGTTCTTTCAGGCTGTCTTCATTAAAACTTGACCATAACGTGCTTGGTAAAGCTTTCCCTTTTTCCTTTTGATTTCTTTGGTCTTCTGACTTTTATTTTTTAAATTTGTGTCAGACTCATGATCTGGTAGTTTAGACAAGGTTTTTTCAGAACAGAACACTAACTACTGAACATAATAATATCCAGGTCTGTGTCTTTAGACTTTCCTGGAAAAGATATTTCAGTGCAGCACCTTGCATCTTGTCAAAGACCTGTGTTCATTTTAAATAGTGAATATTGAATTAATCTTTCTCTGTTTCTGAAAACTATCCCATTTTAAGCCACACACATATGTCTGTATAAAATTATATCTTGTTTAGGGTGAACATGGCCTTGCAGGAGAGCCAGGAGATCAGGGGTACCCAGGAGACAAGGTAAGTTATAACTGCATTGCTTTACAAAATTACCCCATTCCAACAACTTCATCAGGCTTATGAGTCTCTTAAAATGCAGCAGGTTGGTTGCATAAAAGTAGAATGCAGTAGTAATACTGCTATCACTGTATTAAGATATTTTTAAGAAATTCTGTGCTAATTAAAAGTCAGTTATGGGAAGTGCGCACAAAGCCAAGTAAAGGGCACAAGCAGAACTCCGGCAGCTGTGTGTCTAGAGATGCATCAAACAAGGACTATGGTGTGGTCTCAGTCTGTCTAAGGAACTGTTGTAAAAGGTATTTTTCCCTTGACCCTTGAGGTTCATCTGCAGCTCACCTGGACCTACTGTGGTTAGCAGCAGCACACAGTCTGGCATGCTCCTTCACATCATCAGACTGAGATAAATAAGGATCTTCTTTCCTGTTTGGCTAGTACATCAGAAGTCACTGAAATAGCACATCCTGTGAGAACTCTTTTGATGAAAGTTGAATGTTAGAAGATAGTTTTCAACCTGAAGAATTCTTTTGAAGCCTGTTTCAGGTGTCAAAGTATAGCAATTTATTGCTTCCAACATAACACAACAATTTTTGTGTGCATTTAATAGCTTTCTTTTTTCAGGGTGCTCTTGGTTTACCAGGACCTCCGGGGATCAGAGGAAAACCAGGACCTCCAGTAAGTTTACACATCAAATTTTGTTCTCAGTATATCACTGTGTGTTGTTGATATTTTTTACTACTGTTGATATTTGACACTTTTGTGTGATTGTTATGTTCACAGTGCATGTAATCCCCTAGAAGTGACCTAATTCAAAATGCACAAAGGATAAGGTCTAAGCTGCTTTTATTTCTAGTGACTGGTGTTAATGAGCAAGTCAGATCCTAAAATGTGAAGCTTTATTACCAAGATTAGTATATGTGTCAAATTTTAATAGAGTGCTTAGGATATTAGATATTCTGGGACAATCACTGTGGGGGGGAATGGACATGTGGATAATATTTGAAGCAAATCCACTGAGAGCTTTGGGAACTTGCAGATGACCTTTTGGACTAGCTGAATTTGCAGAAAATGTGTGAGATCTCATTAATAACAGCCAGTCATTTCTCAGGGATGGGAGTAGTCACAACTTCCTGTATTTACTGATTGCTGTATTTACTGATTTTTAGCAGCTTTAAAGGCTTCTGTGCACTGCTGCCACTTTTGCTGGGTTTTTAGATGTTGAGGCAGAAAAGGCATACTGCACAGGGTTACCTGGCTCTCCCTCACCTATTTTAGTTTTTCCTAATATCTGTCTCTTTTCAATATAAAATTAAAAGCTGCCAACACTCACTCTGCTGTCTAATTTTCTTATGTACAATCAAGCTAATAACTGGTAAACCTACTTAGACCTCATGAATGTCATGGGCCCTTAAATTCAATAACACTTTCTTTGTCCTATAGAATTTACAGTATAAACACAAATCCTGCAATAAAATTATGCATATTTGCTTGAGCTTAGATGGGAAAAATCAAACTTTTTTTAAAGATGCAAGAATTTCCTCTTTCAGGAATAGGCTGATTCATACGCTTATCTTTTAAGATAAGCATGTGAATCAGCCTGTTCCTGAAAGAGCTGTGGGTTTTAAGCACAAGCTGAATGTGACCAACCTTATGACTTATGTTAAATTAATCTATGAGATCTCAGTCCTACAGGTGATAGAAATTTACCTTTGTAGAATTAATTTACAATCAAGTCATTCATGTTAAAAATTAGAGAAATGTTTCCCAGGTCAGACCCTAATTTTGCTCAAATGACATCTACTTATGGTGGCAGAAAGATTGTGAAAATGTGGAAGAACAGATATAACTTAGAGAAATTTGGCCCATTTTTAGATGGGTTGAAATTTGTATATAATGAAGCTACCATTACATGTGGATAGGAGCTAATTTTGTTGTTATTAATCACAAAACTGCCATTTCTTTGGCTATGATTAGATACTTAAAATATATAAGTGTGTAAACCAATATCTGTTACAGTTACTTTCTGGATGTTTAAATAATATGTAGTTTTTATTGTGAAAACAGCTATATATTTAATGGGATTTTTATGTGGTTTGTCCCAATTTTCTCTGTCCTAAACTAATTTGAATTTTTTGTTTCTTGTGACTTCAAAGAGGGATGAAGAACTAGTTTTAATAGTATCCAAAGAGAGGCAGATATAATTTCCTATTTAGTGAAATTTCCTATTTAGTGAAAAAGTCATCTCAACTTTTCTGTTGGTCTTTCTGTTAATAAATATTTTTAAAATCTTCACAACCAACTGCTGTTAAAAATATATTATCATCAGAAATCTTAACTGTTTGGATTCTTTTCAAGGGGAAAATTGGAGAACCTGGACCCCGTGGACCATTGGGTCCTCAGGGACCTGAGGTAAGAAATTGCTTGGTAGTGGTAAATTGAATGTTGGTTCTAAACTATGAAAATAAAAGGTAAATGGGTTTGCTTCATAAAATACTGTTTTCTTAGTTGAATTAGGGAAATCTTTTTAGTCAGACATATTTGATGAATTAATTCTCCTCCATAAAGTACAAAAGATTCCAGCTGATATTTTTTTCTGCAAAATATTAATGTACAGGATCTTTGAATACAAAGTAGTTCTTCATTTGCTTATGTGATTAGGATTTGTCTCCTGAATCCTGTTGTTATGGGGTACACCTGGAATGAGACCCATGTGATTTCTCAGGCACACTTCCATTTGTAAAGACTAAAACATGCTTACAAATGGGATTTTCCATTTTCCAGGCCTGGTTGCATATTTATCACTTACAAGACACACAGAGGATAAACCCCACTCACCTGGGAAGGGTTGCCACACATTGAATCTGGAAGTGAAGTTTCCTAAGAACTCCTGAGTGCTATGGAAGTCTGTGCAGAAACTCAGTCTCCAAATAGTCCCATTTTGGTGCTTTTTAGCATTTATACCACAGGCTTTAAGGAAAAATGCTGTGGTCTGTACCAAAAAGACATGTTTCTACACAGACACATGTATTTGCTGGAGAGATGAAAGCAGAAATTGTAGATTGTTCTTTCTAATCAGCCTCCTGCAATGAATGTATTTTGGGTTTTGTTTGGTTTGTGGTGGGGTTTCTTTGTTTATTTGTGGGTTTTCCTTTTTAAAAAAAATATGAATGGAAGGCACGTACTAGGAATGATCCTTTTTCTGCCTCTACGTGAGCACATCTCCTCAAACCAAGGCTCTGTGTTCCTACCTTTCTTATTAGGCAGAAGCCCTCACTGAGAGAAAACTGACTGGAAAAGTGCATTGTAGCAACACAAGGTGGTCTTGTGAGAATAAATCCCTCTCATTTGGCCAAAGGGTGTGCAGAAGACACAAAGCCTGTGCGTGTTGTCCACAGCTGCCACCCTCTGTGGCTCAGGGTTTTAGGTTTTTCAAGACTCTTCATTGCATGATTTCCTTGCACAGCTTCCAGCAAGGGAGACTTGAGGCAGGTTAATCCCAAAGTGTTGCTCTTGAAGCCTGTGTCCTGCTGGCCCTGCTGTCTCTGCTGGTAGTCCTTCATAGTTCCTTATTCCAACACAGACATGCTGCTCCTTTGTGTCTGGGGAAAAGCTCATCCTGGGCTGGAAAAGCTCACCCTCAGGGCAGATAGGGATGGGAATCTTTCTGTCTGAAAAGCTCAGCATTTCCCCTTGCTCAGGAGTGCAGAATTACTTCTGTTTTAATTATCTACCATCATGCACCTTATTTGCCATCATTAGAAGGCAAATAAGGTGTATGATGCTAGATAATTAAAACTAGGGTGTCCAGGCACTTTTTTTTTTAGTAATTGTCTGCAAAATGGTCAGTTTAAAACTGCAAAGCAATGTTTCTCTTAACTTCAGTCATACAAGACAGTTCCAAATAAAGTAAGAGGTTTTTCCACCTTTTACTTCATAAAAATATGGTCACCATATGGCAAAATAGAAACAGAAGGGATGTGGAATAGCAGCATACTGGGATTTTGGACAAATTGAAGATATTAGAAGTTCTGTAATGAAAGGAATTTAAACTAAGCAACTTAAAACTGAAGAGTGTATGCGTCCCTCATGTTACATTGTCTTATAAAAATAAACTAGTTGTTGTTGCCAGAAGTTATTTAGACACAACCAAATATATGAAGTATGAGCAAATAATGTCGATTTTTCCCCAAGAAAAGCCTACTGTCATATGTCTGATCAGGTCTCTTCTTCCAAACCCAGACAGCTAGCAGGTCAGACAGAGCTGCTTTCCTTGTTCCTGTTTCATTATCTGAATGGTCAGACTTCCTGTGACCCCATGCAGAAAACATGCATTACATAGTATACTCAATGTTCCCTTGATGTTTCTGAAAATAGAAGAATGTGATGAATTAGTGTCTTTCAAGGAGAGTACTTTGGATTTAGTATAGATGTGACAATACATACCATATGCCTTCTGTGAAAGATTTCATTTTTAAATCCCCCAAAACTTATATTGGGATTTGTTGGACTTTGCTGTGAGCAGGAGGAGCAAGGCTGCCCAGTGGTAGAACCTCTCAAACTCTGCTTCCAGCTATTCCTGTCTCCTTTTGTCCAACATTAAGACAGTGGGATTTCTAAATGTGCTCTATACCCATTTGTTTTGGGTACATGTGTAATAAGAACCTGGGGATCCTTTGATCTTTGCAGTGACACATTTGAGTGTTTCATTCCCAGTGCAAAGAATAAGTAGTCCTGTCCCTGATTTTCTTCCCGTGGAAACTGCAGTAACTCTGGCACTCCAGCAGCTGAGCTCTGTAACTATCTCTGCACACAGCCGTGGGAGCAGGGCGGGCAGGCTCTGATCATCCTCACGGGGTTTTGTGGGTTGAAATGCAGATCACCAGTGAATTGCTTCCTAAATCTTTCCTCTGCAGCTGTGCAGCCAAGGTACACCAGGTCAGAGTTGAAATAAGCCACCCACCTCTAGCCAGGGTCCATTTGGGACCTGCAGTGCTGCTGGCGGGAGGGCAGAGGGAGGGACAGAGGTCTGGCTCTTGCTCTTTGGGTGGCCAGACAAGTTTTGGCTGCCAAGTGACTCTTTCAGGGCAGGAGTCCTGCAGTGTCAGGCCAAGTTCTCTTCTGGGTGTGCTTCTGGGTGTGCTTCTGTAGAGCCAGGGTCTGTTGTGTGCCTGAGTGCCTGCTGCTCACCAACCACTGGATATACTCAGTGAACACTTCATGGAGTGGATTCTTCATCATTGGGCTGCTTTGTCGTGCATCTGAAAATGAACCACTGAAATATAAAATTTTGGTAGAGCTTTGTTTTATTGGCATGATGACTGGAAAGTGCAGATCTGACTGTTCTAACCCACAATGTCTCAGTTTACTGTGTGCAGTGAAGTATGCAATGCTTATTGTTCATGTGAATGAAATTAGACAAGCCTTTGACAGGCTTCCACATGTATTCAGAATATTTTATAGTTAAATTTTGCTCTAGGAATTGCATTTAATTATCCCCCCAAAATGAGAGTGAGTGATAGTTCCCTTCAGATGTGCCTTCAGAGTGTTATAAATAGGTTTCATCTGAAGCAGGGAGAATTTTTCATTGTCTTCAATAGAACATTTTTCATCTGTGCAGTATTGTGTTTTGATCTGAAGTCATGAGCTTACTCCTTCAGGAAGGTACTTGTATGGGACTCAGCTGAAGTGTTCCATGCTCAAGGCAGCAGCCTTACAAAAGGAAAGGATACATTCAAAAGAGTCAAAAAGGCAAACGTTTTGTAAGTGAATCAGTGGCTGCATTGAGATCTTAATTTAATAAAAAAACTTTATTTTTAGTGCAAGTTTCACGTGCATTATCACATGATTTTTTGAGTTTTTGCAAACAATGCCAGGTGTGCAGTGATAACATAGCCTTCTGTTTCAATATTGCATCAAATGAGTTGCATGCAAATGATTTGTAGGAAATATAGAAATAAAGACAATTTAAAGGCTGAACTAATTTCATGTTCTGGTACATATCTGAGGAAATGCTCTTGTTGTGAAATTGCTCATATTCTCTACTTGCCTTTGCATAGAATCTTCATCTGGTCCTTTCCCAAAGTTCTATGTCTGCATAACACATGCTTTCAGAAGAATCATAAACACTTATTGGAGAATTGTAGATTTTTGCAGAAACCTTCTTTTGGCGACCTGATTATAATAATGTAATAGTAAGGAATCTCTAATATCTTGTTGAAGTTCAGTAGCTGCATCCAGTCAGTCTTGCTTCTGAAAATTTATTCTAAATTCTCATTGAAATTAATTGCAACCTGTTATTGAATGAACTCTTATTGGAGCAGGGAAACCTGGTGACTGAAGGGGCGATTGCACTCCCTGGAGACATTTTCCCTCCATGGTGCCTCTCCTGTGGACCTGTGCTTGTCCTGATCCCCTTCAGGGCAGCCAAGGGCATGAAGATGGGTGGCCAGTGATGCTGGCAAATGTCACGTGAAAATGGTTTGAGGTGGCATTCTGCAAATGAGAGAGAATTCCCCATGGAAATGGAGTGTAATGTTTCAGTATTTCTGATATTCTGCTTCCATATCTGCAGCCACACAGAAAAACAAAAGAAAAGCAAAAGCTTTGGCAGAGTGCTCCTCTCTGGGACACTGAGATATGGCCCAGCATAGTAACAACTTGGTCATCTCTACATTTTTTAAAATTAAACATTATATTGATAAATGAGAGCAATAAATACGTTAATTTTATGTTAAGTGTTCAGTACAAAAAGCAGAACTCCCACAGCAAGGTTAAAGCACTTTTTTGTTAAGATAGTTGGCACTTCAGATTTCTTTGATGCCACATTTCTTTTGATTAAATGAAGTGGATTCTAAAGTGCTTTGCTGGCAAAAGACCACATCTGTAGCAAGATTTTGAAAATAATTTGTATCCTACCGGCTGCTGGGCTTCTGGCTGATGGAAATGAAGAATCTGCATTTCCTTAGAAGTCATAATACCAAGGGCTGGTTGGTTCTGAATAGTCTGTGCTGAAAACTACATTGCAGCTGGAAAGTATACACTAATCTCCTGGCCTTCCACTTATGGAAGAATAATGAATTTTAAATCTGGAGTAACTTCCCATGGAGCTGGCTGCTGAATAACTCATTTCAAATTTAGGCTTTGCCAGAGATTCATCCCACTTCACTATGAGGAATCTGATTGGCAGGTGCCATTGCTGAGGTATTTCAAGAGCTCCTTCCTGGTTCATTCTTTTTCTGAAATTGTCTAAAGTGGCTGTTTGTGTCGTGGATTATTACACTTATTCATGGATTATTAATGTGAGAACATCTTAGAAATGGTGTTCTAATACTGCCATAGCATCTGCCTTTTCTTCATGGCTGTGCTCAAGAAGAAAAGTCTTAATGCATCTTCGCAGAAAAGATAAAAATTACGAGGATTTTAAATTTTTCAATGCATTGTTTAGTGTTGATGTTCTCAGGCCAGTAACCCTCTTGTATCCTAAGACTTTGCTGACATGACAAGATTTCCAAATACCATGTTTGTTCTACCTGCAATAGAAACTACATATCTACCTGTCCACACCTAGATCTCAGGGTCCTTACTGAATTCCCTCTAGAAAAATTTAAACAAATAAAGTAGATCTATTCATTCATAAAAGCATTATGATCTTTCTTAATTACCATTTTTGTGGGCAGATTGTTTTCTGGAATGTTTATTGCCAAGAGGAAGTTGTCTGTGTCAGCATTTAGCACTTGTTCACACATTAGAAATGAGCAAATTTACAGATATGTGAAACAACTCACCCCTTAGTAACTATTTAAGGTCTATAAATAAGTAAATTTAAAATTAAGAAAGGACAAGCAAAAAAAATTCTAAGGAATAGACTTAACTCTTCAATGTATTTCAGCAGACAGCAGTGGCCAGGATTTTAAAAACAACACATCCTCTTTTGAACTGTCTAGAAATCAAGGGTGATGCAAGTGAGTGTTCTAGATGTGTGTCTCAGGGCCTTGGTCACATGTAAATAATATGCTCTGTGCCACCTAGAGGCATGTTGGAATTGTTGCACAGCTCTGCTTGTAATTGCTTATTTATGGCAAAAGAAAGGGAAACCACTGTATTTCACAATATTTTCACAATACTGATGTATTGTGAAATATTGAGTGTTAGAGCTGTTGCCCATCTTCTGAAAACTCAGACCATTTTTACTCTTTAGTGGTTTTCTTTCAGACTCAATAGCATCCAAGTGTTAAACCTGCTTTTAAAAAATTGTTCTGTGCATGTGCTTTTTGTTTCCATTATTGGAAAAATATGCATATATTTTAATCTGGGATGATTTTCTCTTAATGAAGAAGGAAACTTGTTCTTCCTAGTGTTAGACCATGGGTTTGGTTAGATGTAGTAATAAATATTTTGTTCAGAGGAAGTGGCAATCTTGCTGTTTTCAGATGGTCAAAATTTAATGAAATGTGGAAGTTTATTAAAAAAGCAAAATCTTGTCAGGGGACTGAATAAGCAGTGTGCTAACTACAGGGTCAATTACCAATGCTTTGTTTTATCCTACAAATGTAAGATCATGTATTCACTCTGGATGTTTATGAAATTTAACTCACTACTACTTAACTACTACTGTATTGCATAAAGGTTAGTAGCACCATTTTTTTCCTTAAAATACACTCATTTCTTCAAAGCAATCTAGCTGGAGCTGAGTTCCTCTGACACAGAGGCCTCCTCATGGTGTCCCAAGCCAATGCCTACTGGCCAGGAGGTTTGCAGTGATAATTTTAGTTCATTCCTTTCCTGTGCATAATTACTTTTTCTTTACTAACAGCTTGACCTACACTAGAGTGTATTTCACAAAGGCCAGTTCTGAATAATGCTCCATGCTGATGACCTTGAGCTAGTGCCAGCCAGACCTCGATTATCACCTGCTGGTCTGGAGGCAAAAGCCTCTTCCCTTTTTCTTAATCTTGCAGTGATCTTGTCCTTAATGTGGATTCAAGGGCTTCAGCTGCTCTCTCAACTTTATGAAAAGAGTGGTTGAATTCATAAGTGCAGGACTTGGTGCAGGCTGTTCTCTGGTGATTTTTTTTTGTGCCTCCAAACCAGTCCAATGGTTTAATTTCAAACATTGCTTAGCGGATAAAAAGTCTTATCGTGTGAGAAATTGAATCCATGCTGACATCTGCTAAATTGAGTTTAACAAAAGCTGCCTAAAATCTGTCACTTATCCAAGTTCTTTCAAGGAAACATAATGGATTTAGACATTTTTTGGGATGGTAGAAGAAATTTATTTCTTGTTTCTGTGACTCAGGTTTATTAAACGAATGAACAGAATCAAAACAAGTACATTGAAAACATTCCTACTCTGCAAATCACTTGTCTGTATGATTTCTTTAGGGTTTTCCAGGAGATATTGGTGTACCTGGATTAAATGGCCCTGAAGGTCCTAAGGTAAGTTTATATGAAAACCTCTTAAAAATAACAGTAAATAGTGTTAATCTCTGAGGAAAAGGTTCTGAGAGATGGACCCTGGCATTATGAGAAGATAATCCTACTGTCAGAATGCAGGTACTTTGCCTCAGGTATTTATATGAGGAAGTTATTTGAAAGTTTAATGCTGTCCACACAGTTCTGAGAGCAATTACAGCGTTAGGTGGAAGCATGTAATAGCAAAATAAGTTTGAGAAAATGCTATGTAGCTAGAAAATAGCATATGTTTCACCTGTATTTAAATAGAATACATACCAAATGTATGCAGATCTTTGTATTACTCAGATTCCACCTGCCCTAAGAATTGTTTTTAACAATTTTTAAAAGAAATCATATTTGAAGGTGTGGAAAATGTGTAAAATTTATGCACCAGATTAAATTATAGACACAATAATAGATATAACAATTAAGGATAAAATTTATCTACAAAACTGTGCCAGAATAATTTAGCTTCTGCTCTTTAGTATACTAAGATTTTAGACCCAACTTAGGCAATAATTCACATGGGTAGAGTTTTCAATGAAGCTTGGAATAAAAGCAGATATAGGAAACTTCTGTTGAATTGGAAATGGTAGAGACTAATAGAAAAAGTGCAGGTAGCTCAGAAATTAACCCAGAGGAAAATGATTGGATGATATCTAAATATTAACTGCATGTTGAAAGGCAAATACCAATGAAGTTCCTCACTCATCAGCCGTGGGACTATTGTATTATGTACAGATAATGTACAATGTATCTTACATTGTATTTTCTGTGGTGAATAGGCACAAGTATGGCAGTATGAAAACTGTATATGAAACCAAATTGAGCATCTTTAGATTATCTAAAAAAATGCATTTTTTGTTAAGTCATTCCACTTCAGTTATTTCAGATTGATTAAGGCAAGGACCAAAACAATAAATCTCATTATAAACTTAGACCAAGGACATTGCCAGATCTCTTTGAAATGAAAGCACAATAATGCAGTTAGAAATTAAGTGAAATTGTAGAACATATGAGTCAAATGTCTCATTAATGCCACTGCTCAAGCATGAGAAGGCTTTATCTCTTTAGTACATAACTGGGCATTTTTATTCCAGAAGGATTCAGTCAAGTGAGACTAGATGCAGAAATAATACTTGAATGGCTTTATTCTGAGAGAGAGTTTGTTTATTAGACTAAAATGAAGGCCTTTTTTGACCTTCAGGTAAACCAGAGGGCAGAAACTGGTGAGGCAAAAGAACTGTGCAAGACCAACAATATCATTTGTCCAAGAACAAATCATACAGGTTGTCTTTGAATAAACAGACATTTTCAAATAATCCAGTTGCTGAAGCCATAGCCAATGTTTTCTGTATCTCTTCTCTTTCAACCCGGGCAAGAGCCTTTTACCAAAATGGACATTAATTCGCTAGGAAGGCTGAGAGCTGGTTATCTGATGGGGCAAATTGAGGAGAAGTTAAAATGTTTCTAGAGGGTGTCCAGCTTCAATTCTGATTTATTGCTTTACTAACTAGTTTATATGCATGTATGCATAATGTTAGCAGCCTTATGTGAATGAGTTTATCCCACCATTGCAGTGGCAGTTGCTCTTTTGTTTCTGAGTTACCAGAGTGTTCACAAAAAAAACCCTGTGGTGGTGAAAGACTCTGTCTGGGGCCTAGGGAAAATAGTAGAAGAGAAATACAACAATTCTCGTGCTGCAGGTCAGATTTAATTGCCCAAGACTATACGCGAACGATGTAACAGATCTAATCCCTGCTGCCCAGTTCCTTCAGTGAGATTGAGTTGTTGCACATAATATCTGAGGAATTTGTTACAATCCTGTTTCTGTTTAATACATATGTTACAGATTTGTTGCATTTTCACAGATTCCAGAGAAAAAAAGTTACTAAGAGGTGGACTATAAAGTTTGAGACTCCATGTTCCTTTGATACAGAAATTACGCAGCTGAACCAGATTTGGCGCTCTCTAGCACATTTGGTATTAGAGACAAAAAGCTTAGACAGCCTGCCCTAGTCAGGGAGAACTGATGGCTTACATTTGAAAAGAAGGATTACCAAACTGGAAAAACTCTTATACTGCTCCCAGTACTGAGGGAGAAGCTCTGCATGACTTTGGAAATGTTTGGCTTTTGGGATTCCCAGCTGCCTTGAGTTGACTGCAGTTCTAAAATTTTCCTCCAGCTTTTATTTTTAGAAAACTGTTCTCATTATGCTGCTATTTTCCTCATGTTTTTGTTTATGCTTCCTCAGAAGCAAACCCCATTTTAAAAGCCAAAAAAGCAGGATAAGCTTTATTTTTTAGGAGTTGGTGTGGGATAAATTCAACTTCTTGGACATTTAAGCTCTATTGAGTGTGATCAGCTGTCTCTAAATGCCAGTAGAAGTTCTGGATTGTAAATGTTCCCCAAATTAGTGAAATAATCAGCAAATCTGATCTTTCTAAATCAATGTTCAAAGGATTTATTATGTAATTTGGTCTACAGAACATTACTCAGCTTGGAAACAATATTTTAGAAGGTGCTTGATCTGGGTCCACCACTTATTAAACAAATAGCAAAACACACATTTTTTTAAAAAAGGGAAAAAGAATGTTTTTAAGAAGTGCTGAAATAACTTTGTTCCCTATGTTATGCTTTGCAAGTGTTTATGCTCTCTAACCAAGAAAAGTGAGAGGAAAAGATGGTCAGAATATGCTGACTTCTTCTGTAGTTTTTCCAGCAGAGTGTGTTGTACCATGGAAGAAGCTAAGAGCTTCCTTCCCGTTTTAACTTAAGTTTGTTTGTATAACACATTTTGATAAAGTGATTATTAGGAGTTTCACCTCTTCTGGAAGGAATGGTCAACTGGGAAGTTATATATGGGAAATACAGGATACCCCATTTGCTGACTCCTGTTTTTTTCCAGACACTTTGGCACATGTGTATTGACTCCCTTCATTTTCTGTTTTTGCCTGAAACCCCAAGGAGGAGATGGAAATGTCATTTAGTATTAATCTTCAGTTTACAGCCTGGAATTTTTTCTCTGTATTCAGTTCAGTGCAGTGGAAGGGTGTGTACAGTAGCAGTGCTGCTGCCATTTGCACTGTGCAGTTACACTGCACTGAAATCCTTATCTCCTAATGGGCTTTGCTGTTAGAATAAAACAGCTGTGCCCATGAGAAAATGTCATTACTAACTATAGGAGAATATTACTTGTCTAGTAATATTTTAATTACTGCTGAAAGGCCTTCTGCCACTTCTGTGGTGGTGTCCAGCAGCACTCCGCCCCAGCCCTTTCCACACTGATGGGCTCTTCCATGACACTCACTACCTTGAGATGGCCTGGTCCATTTTTGCCTGCTGAGTAAATTGTTACTGGACCAATGCCTGGACCAAAGTCTAGACATCAGATTCATTAGTACACAGTTAATAAGGTTTACACTTTCCACCATGGCTTTCCTCAGAGGATAATCATATCTCTCCTAAAGGGCAGTTTCTTTGTTCTTGTTGCTTTATCTGATATTGTTAAGCTTAGGTTTCCCAGATCATTAATATGTTTACACTTTTTTTGGTTGTACTATGCCAGGTCAAGTGCTTTTCCCAATTATCCCATTGTAATTGGAGTGCCCAATGTTTTTGATACACTGCTAGCTGCAAAGTCTTTTTAACAAAGTTTTGAAAATGTTGGTGTGAGCAGTCATGAAAACTCTGAGCTGGCAGAGGTTAAGGTGCTTTATCTCTGGGTAGCTGATTATAATCCTAATAGAAAAGTAGGGGCTGAATATCACAAGTAGTTTTGGACAAGCTAGTGGTTTAAATTCACTTTGTAGTTCCTTCCCATTGCAATGTTGTCAACATGTGTTATTCTGAAGACTTCCCTAGTACGAGGTCTGCACGTTGATAATGCTTTAATCTTACTATGGTAGTGTGCTTTACCTCTTCCAAAAGAGAGAAGTTGTTCTATCGTGTTCAAATATTTTCTTATTTCCTTCTCACAACACAAAAAGAATAATGCTTCAGCAAAATCTGTGTAGAAGTTTTTATGATGCTTGGTTTTCTGCATCTTTGCCTGGCTTTCTATGGGAAACACTATGAGCAATGGTAAGACATTAGGTGTGCTACCTCAGTTTTGGGTTTGTAGGAGGAGAGAAACTAGACCAACATGATGAAAGTTCTCACCGTGTTTGTTTGGATGTTTAGGGAGCTCTGGGTGACCGAGGGCCTCCAGGGCCACAAGGCCCCAAAGGAGTTGAGGTAAGGTGAAAAAATTATCCAATTAAGAGATTATGTTTCAAAGTTGTGAGGGGTTAAGAGGGTTAGACAACAATGGTTAGATGTGCATGGTGTTGTCAAGCAAAATTTGAAGTTTTCTTTTGCATTTTGGCAAGCGTTTTAAAAATTTTTTTAGCAGCCTTATGGGGATGTGCATCCATTATGTGGTTTATTTTAATTTCAGTGGAATCTCATATAATGTATGTCCAGAGCTGTATGTGGTTGTTTTAGTTAAACTGGGGAGATGGGAGGGAAGGGAATGGGAGCTGTATGGAAATAGAAAACATATACTAATTTGATTACAGTGTCCTAGATACTCTTAAGTAAACACTTAGACCCCTATTAACTGAAAGGGGAGAAAGGCAGTTCCTCATCTTATAGAGTCATCAAGTATTCTTAATTCATCATCATAAAAACAAAAGCTTATATCTTGAATGCTAAAAATAATTAAGATCAAAAATAATTTAGTTGGTGATTCTGAAGAAAGATCTCTAGACTTCTCAGGGGCTAAATGATGGGCTTCTGTGCCAGATACTGAGTGAGTGAAAGCTAACAGTGGCACAATGGTCTGTTTCCAGGTGCTTCTATCAGACTTGGACTCAGGCAAACACACATGAAGCTTAGGATGATGTAATAAATACAAACAGTTAGCTGCAGACTTTCTTTTTTAAAACTGGACTTGTCATCAAGATCATTGAAGCCCTGATTTCTTTTAGGGAGAAGTAGGACCAGCTGGACCTATTGGAGGAGTCGGCCCAAGAGTAAGTATGAGGAATTTTGGTAGGGCAGGCTGTTTTTCAGTAGGAATACTGCTTTGAAATGTAAGTTTTCTGTGAGAAGTGACTGTGATAAAATGGCATCTCCTGAATAAATGTGTGTTTTTCCTCAGAACATGCTCAAACGGGAAATTATTTTCCATATAAAGGGTTTGAAAGGAAATCACTGCTATAGTGCACAAAATATAGTGCTCCTCTGAGACAGATGAAACTGCCATGCACCTCCTAGGGATGAACCAGCTGATATATCAAAATATTTCTACTGGGGAAGAACCTACTCAGCTCACAGGGAGCGATGTAAAGGATGTATACTTTAAGAAATCTACCAGAAACCTGGCAGATAGTTATTGAAAACAATAAAGCTGGAAGGTCACAATGCTGTTTATGCTGACATCTTTTAAAAGTAGCTGTTTAAAACTATCATCCAATTTTTTTGTTAGTTATAAAAACATACTGTTGTCTAAGAGTATTTCAGTGAACTTGAAGCTTATTTTTAGAAAATTTCTGGGCTAAAATGGGTACTAACCTGCTCTAGGGATTACAGGAGTGTCTCTAAGTTTATTGAGTGCAATTTGATCTTCTGCCTTTACGTGATTTGATTATGTGTGGTAATCACTGACTTGGCTTTCATTCTGGCTGACTTCCCATTTCTTGCATGAGTTTGAGAGTCTTTTCCACTGTTTTCTGCTTTTGGAGTGGATATATGCATATGTCATTTTTCCTGTTCAGTAGCTAGTCAAAGCTGGGAATTTGCTTTCTGTTAAAAATTATATTAAAATATTTATTTGCCACATAGATTAGGTGTTAAGACAAACAAACCCATACCAAAACAAAAAAAGGCAAAAGACCAAACACAAAACCTTCCCACAAAAGTTTCTTTGTTTTTCAGCTGAGGAAAACATGCAAAAAATTAAACAGAATTTCAAAACATTCTGTAACTTAGTTCAATATTGAGTTTAATCTCTCTGAGCTTCTGCCGAGAGCCTCATGGAAATTTTTATTTTGGCTGCATCATCCTTTGAGTCTCCTCCTTGGGCAGGGCTTCATGGCTGGACAGCAACTCCCACGTGGTACTGTGGCAATTGGAAAAGAAGATGCTGCAGTAGGTGATTCATGGGCAGTGAGACACCACCTTCCATCCCCACGTCACCGGGCACGCACAGGCCACCATCAGCCGCTGTCAGAGTGACCCAGGAGGAAACATTTTTGTGTAACCTAGCAAACTGAAATATTTTTTATCTATTTTGTGTCAATTTGACCTAAATCATTTAGGATTTTATTTCTCTCAGTGGGAAATGTGCACACCACTGGCATGTCTTATGGCTCTCTGGCTTCTCTCTCACAGCAAGCAGCTGGGAGCAGAGTATGAAGGGAGCCCCAGGGTTGCTGGCTCTAGACATTTTTTAGTAGCTTGCTGGCTAACATACCTCCTGAAATGAGAGATAGGGCAAAAGGGGATTTTGCTTGATGGGCAGCTCTGCCTGGTTTTCCTCCTTGTCCAGGGGCCCAGAGGCTCTTGCCTGGATTCTCTGGCTACTCTGGACTCCAGCTGTTTCACAGCTCCAGGCCAGCTTGTTTGTGCTGCTGCTCTGCACTCTGCTCCCACCTCTGCTTGTCCTTGGTGCTGCCTCCCACATGTGACACACACTGAGTGGGTGAGAGTCACAGCCAGGGCTGAGATCTCACACAGTGTGGCAGGACTGACTCGATAAGCTGCTGAACACATCTGTCTTTTTAAATTATGCTTCCTTGACTGCAGTTGGATGTTCATTTGATTTACATAGCTTTTGCTTCCATCTCCCATGAAAGGAGATTTAGGAAGTGGATGTTACACCTGAAAGTAAACACTGTCCCTACTGTGTTGTCACTGCACTCATTAAATAGCCATGGGGGCAGAGGAGGGACCTGAAGAAGGGGTCTGGCCATGCATGGCCCCAAGGCACCATCAGCTGTCAGCTCTGTCTTTAGTTGACAGATGTGTTTAACTTGTGTTTTGCAGCCTCCAGGAGTGGGAATTCATTTTCCTCATCAATCTGCTTCAGTTGTTTGCCTGGTTTCAGTCCTTTTTTCTAATGTCTAGCTGTTCTATCTGGAAGCCTTGCCTGTGTTTTTCTCAGTACAGCCTTGCTTCCTGCCCCACAGCCTTTATTTGTGGGCAAGGTTAAATAGGTTCCTCCTCTTCTCAGCCACTGTTACCTTAATTTGCTGGGGCTTGTCTGAGGTAGGTGAAGTACCCTTGTAGGTGATGTACTGTAAACCTTTCATTATTCTTATGAAACAATAACAGCAGGTTTCTAGTGCTTCTGGCATCCTCATCTCTTTTACAGTTTCTGGTCAAAATATCCAATCCCTAGTTCAGGTTTGGGCTTGTGGCAAGCTGGCAGCCATAAAACCTTGTTTTTCTCCCTCCTCCCTTCCCTGCTCTTGTTTCTACCATTTGCTTTTAAAAACATGAAAGAGACCAAAGACCCCTGAGACTCAGCTGAGCAGTGCTGCCATCAAAACAGATCATCTTCTGCTGGAACACAAGTGAATTTGAACCTGCACAGGGGTTCTCAGTCACCACTCAAAAAAGCATCTCCAGGTGTCTAAAGCAACTAGAGACAAAACTGAGGATGTTCCCCTGCTTACTCAGGATATATCTCAGTTCCAAAGACCTCAGTCTGTCTCAACTTTGGAAGTGTTTGAACTGAATGTGATCACATCATTTGATGTGATCACATTTCATTCGTTTCATTCGTTCCTTTCCAAACCTTCCCACCCATTCTATTCCAAAGTCAAATACTTACATTCTCTTAAATTAATCCTTCTACATTTAAAAAAAACTACCTGATTTTTTGGTGTTTGCTTATTTGTCCCATGAAACTACAGGAGTTGCCATACTAAAGATGTGAGTGTTTATTCAGTGTCCACCCACTTAACCCTCTCTCTCAAAGGCTATCCAAATATTAACACTGTAACTGTCAGTGCAGCTCAGCTCACTCAATGCAAGCATTGGCGTTTTTTTTTTTTAATTTCTTCATTGCTGGAGAAGAAAATGCCTTTAAAAGAGTGGAGATTGTTTAAACCAGAAAATAAAAAGGAACTGTTGCAAGCTGATTCCTTTCTGAGCTATATATGTTAAACAGAAGCTGGAATTTATGTAGTCACAAGATGAGCAGTTTCTCCTGTTGATAGTGGAAAATGTTCTCAAATCTGCCCCACGCCCCCAGTGCAGTATTTTTTGGAAGTGCCTGCCTGTGGGCTGAAGGCATGTGGGAAGCCTATGGAAGGATTGAAATAGAGTGATAGTGAGAGATATTTATATCCACACCTGTACATACCAGTTGTGAGGTGAAAGGAAGCACACTTGGTTGCTGTTTCCTGAAAGAGAAGGGTAGAACTTGCAGTTAATATTTTAGGAAACAGACATTTCCTTTGGGATTACCCTGCCCTGGAAGAGTAATTTTCTCAGGGGTTTGTGAGTGGAAAAGCAGCCATCCCTACTTTAACCTTCTGTCAGTGGCTTTTCCTCCATGTGTAAATGTATTGTATTTCTGTTTAAAGCCAAATCCATGTGTTTCAGATTGCTTTACCAGTTAAATCCACTTGTTCCATTTTCTGATCAACGTCCATCTGTTCTATGTCCTTTGCAGCTAGTATATAGCTGAGGAGTGACAGCCAAGAAACCTTTACAAGCTCTAACTCCAGTTCAGCTCTCATAAGGCTTAAAATTATCAAGGCAGTTTACAGGGGCCACTACTTTTCTTTTGATGAATTTCACTTAAAATATTTTTATGTTACAGTCTTGCTGTATAGAAAGACCTTAAGTTTCTTTACAACAAAGTAGTCCAACAGTATGTAGTGATCTGCAGAAGCCCATCACTTATTCTTTGTTAAGCCTTGTGGAAAGACATGACTTGCTTCATCTGGTTCTCTCAGAACTTCTCTTCATGGTCTTTTCTCCCTGCATTCTTGGCTTTTCCATATATTAGTCCATTGGCAAAAACAAAAATATGTTCCTAAAGTGATTTAATTTGTTGGAACTTGTTGGGCAGAATGAAATCACTCAGGTGGGCAAAGAGAATGAGAGTTATAGAAAGGGATTAATGCAAGAAGTCATGGAACCTGCTGAAACAGTTTAATACAATTTTAAGCCATATAGACAATTTCTTAGATGCTCAGGAACTAACACACACATACTCTGAAATACAGGAACAGAGCAGCTGAAGCAAAAGAGCCAAATGAAAAAATGCCATCTCTTTTTAAGAAAAGTTTTATTATCTGTTGCTTTACTTGCTCTTTTCTCAGCTTATGTGGAATGGAAAACTCTTATTACAGACTCTGGTGATTCCAATTATTCAGTTTGCTGGAACAGCCACTGGTCATTTCTTTTTAGGACCCATCAGCATGATTTTGATACTGAATCATTAAAATATTGAATTAATTTTCTTTCTCCAGTTGTCAGCCTCCAGCAATCTCATCAGCAACTTGCTCAAGAGCCAGGTCCAGTCCCCTGGACCTTTGTTTGCTGGCCCAGGGCCTTTTCCTCAGAGCAGATGGGGAAAGTTTGTGTAGGCAGGGCTGTGCTCTCCAGATAGACAAATGGTTAGGCCATGTTTTATGTGGTTGAGGAAGTAAAGTGTACCAGGAGGGAAAACAATTTCTTAAAAGGGAGACATAGTTACATTATAAACATCTAATTGAAAATTAAGGGGGAAAGCTTTCTGGTTTGTGTGCCTTTGTGAGTCTGTGTGAGTGATGACAGAGGGAGGGATGCATGTTGTCAAGTGCTTCAAAGATCCTGTCCCTCTGTGATCCTGCTCTGATTGATGTTGCTGTATTTCTTCTGGCTAGCAGTGCTGTTACCACAGTATCACAGCAACCAGATCTGTCAGCAGCAAAATGCTAGTGGACAGAAATGAGGCTCAAAATCATCAATTTGCTGAATAAGGAGAGGGTGTTTGAGCTGATTTTGTCTGGTTGGGGAAGGACAGCTATCACAGCAGTCCCTCAAGTCTAAGCATCAAATTTTATTAGTGTTGAGTCCCTGTTCTGCTGGAATTAACCAGGAGAGAACATTGCCTTGCCTTTTTTTTGTCTCCCTAATATGTTTTTTCAACGTGAAATTGAAATGTGTTTCAATCTTGGATTGTGACAGTTTTTTCTCAGTGTTAACTGCTGTAAGACTTAATACAAATTTTGCTTACTGTTCCAGTATTTGATGAAATATTCCACTGTGTATTTTCAGATACAGATTTCTAAATACACTTGCTTAAATTTTTTATATTAATTATTACTAAATGGTACATTTTTAGTGCATGTATTTTGATAAATGGATAAACTGGGATCAAATTATCTTTTTGTAATAAAATATTTACAATATTTTATTCTAATCTTTACTTTAGGGAAAGCCAGGGCAGAACGGTTATGTAGGTGATCCTGGACCAGAAGGTTTGAAGGTAAATGATGGTTTTATTATGAAATAAATAGAATGTATTTGGAATAGAGTTATACACAGCTATTTACTGTGACATACCAGTGAAAGCACACATGCTTCCAAAGACTATAAATGTGTATCATACTGATGATTCTGTTTCTTGCAAGATCCCATTTTGAAAAAGGAGAAAGTTGTGCAGGAGACAGGATTTCTAGGAGACAGGGATGTGTGAGCAAAGACTGCACCTGCTAAAATGAAATTGAACAGCCTGGGAATGTGAGGGTGCCTGGGCCTGGGGGCAGCGAGGGACTCGGGGCAGTTCCTACACTGGCAGGGTTTTGGAAGTGTGAATGGGGATGAGATGAAGTGCTGCAGCTCAAAAGAGGAGCTCCTGGCAGCAGAATTTCCCAGTGCTGATCTACAATCTGTGTAATACAGAGTGTGCAAATAACTGTTCATCAGTTATTAGATAACTGGATTATAGTCCCAGCCAGATAATCAATAGTGCTTACACACCCAGCTTCCACCTGTGAAACACACAGCAGAATGTTCCAGTTATGTAACAGTGTTATTTTGGAGAACAGAATTAATTTATACCTAATGACAGTTTCAAAATTTTGGGGGAAGGGGGAGAAGTTTGTTAAAATGTCATTCAAATATCAATTTTCCTAATATTTCATAACAAAATTACAGTAATCAATAAACTGCACAGGCAATATCTACCTTTAAAGCAGTAGTGAAATAGTGAAGGTAATTTGCTGAAAGATTTAAATAAAAATAGAATAATTAATATATAGTGTTTGCTGACCTAATGCGTTTTGTGAGCACTTAATTGATAGTTTTTATTTGTGCAGGCAAATCCTGAATGCATTAGGACATCATTTTACCAGATCAAAATTAGCCACTGACAAAATTGGTTTTGGTTACTTAATTTTAGCTTTTAAAGTTTTAATTGGCAGATGTAATTTAGAAAATAAAGAGGCTCCTAGGAAAACAGAGGACTTTAATATACACATATGAAAGAAATTACTTTTCTAGTGAACTCAGTCATCTGTTTTCTACATTTAACAGGGAGAAAAAGGAGACCAAGGAAACCTTGGAAAAACTGGTGAAGCAGTAAGCTTGAATTCTCTTTCTGGTTTTTTTTTTAATTCTGTTTTATTTGTAACTGAATGAAAAATTGGTTGTAGACATTTCTGATGAAGTTTGCCTCTATTCGAAGCTGTAGTATGTCAGTTATACCTTTGTAATCTTTAAGATTCATACTATTTAAAGAAATTTCCCATTTTAAGCAATTTCCAAAATTAATTCTGCTTTTCTCCCAGCATGTTGTGTGAATATTGCTGGTGGTTGTAGGGATTTTCCAAGGCATGTTCATGTAAGTGAGCAAGTGATCCTTTTCCACTACATCATTTGAGAGGCTGCATTTAGCCTGAGATGTATTTTGCAGGCTTGTTCTGCCTGTGCTCCATAAAATCACAGATCTCAAGGTGACCTTGTGGTGACATGTAGTCCATCCTCTTCTGCCTAGGCAGGACCTGTTATCTTTGCATAATTTCTGACAAATATTTGTCTAGCCAGTTATTAAAAAGTTCCAAGACCACGGCTTCTCTATTTTTTAAAAAGTTCTTTCACTTGTGTAACCTGATTCCTTTCTGCTGGAAACAGCATTTTACATATGGTGGTTGTTATTCTGTGCCTCATTCTTTCTTTTCAGGCTTAACAGTCCCAATTCAATTAGCCTGTTATGTTTTTGAGATAATTTAAGTCACATTCTAACTCCCCTGCAGTCTGTTTCCATTTCATCCAAACATCTATGACTCCAGCTTACTGCCCAAGCTGCTAAGAATGCTGAGAAAGGAAACATTGCTTCCTACAAGCCTATTTCTTGCATAGACATGCTCCTTTTTACATTGGTGTGTTGTTGTTCAGTTTGAGATCCACAACTTCCTATCCTGCTTTTTTTCAAGGCCTGATCTCTCTCAGTTCTTCCACTGTAGGTGCTTTTTTAGTTGGTAGTTGTCACTGAAACATACCACTTTGGAATTCTCTCTACTTAACTTCATCCCCTGCCCTTCTGTATTTTAACTTTCATCTGGGATTTATGAGCAGATGTGAGCTTGTTGGCCTATGCTTGAGTTACCCAAATATTGTGTAGAACATGATTAAATCGATTTTATTTCTGGAATTAACCTATGCTGAGGAGAGATACCACACCCTGGTTTGGGCTTAGTGCTGTACTACTCGCACACACTCTGTCCAGCTTAGTGGGTAGTCAGAGTTTGCTCCCCATGGTCAGCAAAGCACAGAGCAGATGTACCTGAGGCACCTCATCTACTGCTTGGTGCCTGCAGAGATGGTACAAACTGCTGCTTGGTCAGGTCAGCTCCACTGGGCACTCTGGAGGCTGTGCTCTGGGGAAGGGCACTGAGGAGCTGGACTCTCAGTCTGTTAAAAGTATCTGCTGACACAGGAAGGAGCAGTGCCATGACATGCCACAATGTCCCCTTGGAAGTCATCCAGTGTATCTCTAAGTGTGGCTTTTGTTACGTGTGAATTCTGTTTTTCAGCCTGTGACATGCTAGGGAAAACTGATAGAATTTACTGTGTTTTACAGTGCCACATGCACCAAAACCCCCAACAAAAGACAAAGCTGGGCTCAATCTTGAATCATTACATCAATACTAGTACATGAAATAGTCACAGAACCTAGTTACTTAACTTTCTGGATTTGACATAGAATTTTTTTTTTTTTTTTTTTGCTTCACAGTGAGCTTGAATTCAGTGGACAAATTTTGCACAACTCAGATATTTTGTATAATATATACCACTAAAAGAGCTCCATTCTATGTAGCAATTACTAGCTCAAACACATAATCAATGATGAAACATTGCAGTGATGTTAAATAAAATCCTCATACCAGCTACCTGACTATAGTCAGGGTTAAGCTGCAAGAATTAAATAATATTTTCTATGCCAAACAAGCCTTGTTACAGTCTTGTGAAGAAAGATAATTATGGCCAATCATTAATTGCCATTTCCTGCATGTGTTATTTGGAGAACTTATGTGATACAGAATGGCACACGATACCTGAAAACCAAACTAGTTTCTAAGTTATTGATAAATATTTCTTATTTTTACCTGTGGATTGTAGAATATCTTCTGCTTTATGTACATTTATCTAATCAAATGAGCTTCATAGGCCCTTGATCTGTTGTTACCTTTGCATTATCTGGCAGCAGAGCACCTGTGCCCACTACATGATTTTTAGGGGGATAATATATATTTTGTTGTCATTGAGGCCAGTGGTGAAACACCAAGAGGAGACACAAGTACACTGAACTCTCAGACCTTTCAAAACTCCTTTCCTTCCCCTTATTCACCACTGCAATCTGTGACAGTTAAGCTTTTCCAAAGAGAATTGAAAAGTGCTAACAGGAAGGTGGTTTTTCTCATATGCATAAAATGCTTTTCCAGACGTGAGCCCTGATGCAAAATATTCACTTCTGTATGCTTTGGACACAGACTTTGCTTCCAGCTTCTCAACAGCTTCTGTTTGTAACAAGTAATTTCTCTTTCCCTTGGTGTGCACATGGAGTATGGACTTCTTAATTCACAGATAAATCCACTCCCTGCTATTCAGTATTGGCTCTGGTGGCATGAGGACATCTCTGGACTAAAACATGCCACATGCAAAACAAATAAACAAAAAATTTGAAAAACAGAAGAAAGTTTGAAAAACGAAGTGCAAGAGCAAAGTACAAGTGCTACCAACCACTGGGACAGATTTTGAGATGGAGTCAAAAAAAGGGGCATATCTGTCCTTACTGATGCCTTGTGCAGTTTGTGTGCTACCTGGTGCTTGGTGACACTAAATATAGAAAGGAACTGTACAAATAGCAGTAGAAAATGTACAACTACTGTAAAGTTTATTTAATATTAAAGGCAAAAGGAAAAAGAAATTGCTAAAATATTGATAATAAGCCCAATGTCTAAAGAATGTTGTGTATTTGGGTTTTCCCTTCTGCACCACGACCTCACCAGCTTCCCTTTTTGGCTTGTCTATGGTTTTCTGTTTATTCATTACATCTATGGACAGACTTCTTCAAATTACAGGATGTAACACATGTTTTCAAGTCCATGGTTAAAATATATTATACTGGTTCTTAGCAGTGGGGAATCTATCATAGCATTTCAGTGTTCCAAATGACAACTAGTGCATTTCCTGAATAAGCTGTCCAAAGAAGCAATTTTGCAATCATAAATCCTGTAAATGGTGAATTCATTGAAAATTATGCCATGACCACATGTGCCTGTCTGCTATTGATACCAAAGGGTTGTACCAATATTTTTCTTCTGTTTCTTTCAATTTGCTTGCTTCCCCTGCTATCATCCATCTCCTGTTATTGACTAAAATGTCTGTAACTGCTGTTTGAGGTGCCAAAACAGTTATTCTTTTTCTGTAGCAGCTTTCCCAGGTCCTGCTTAATACCTGCTTTGAAGAGCACAGATGGCAACTCTGCACAAGCAGGGAAACTTCAACAGCAGGAGATTGGACTGTAACACTTGGCTTTTCAGCCTAGTAAGGTGGAATATGTGCTGAAATTCAGCTCTGTCAATAGGATAGAAGCCACAGCATCCAACATTTCTTAGGTCACATGAAGCTGCTGATTCTTCAGAGCACATTTCTGCCAAAATAGTTCTGGATGCTTGTCCACTGTGGAAACAGAGTAGACTAAATTTATAAAATGTTTGCTGTGCTCATAGGCATAAATGACACACATTTAGGAGTAGACCAGGAATGTGCTTAAAGTCAGACTTCAGACACTATTCTTTAACCAAGTCCTACACCAAAAACTGTTTTTCTGGCTACAGCATATGTTGTGTTTGTCTAAAGGGGAAGGGAGGCAGATTGAGGTGGGGCTGCTTGGTTCAGCAGAGCCCTGAGCTGAGGTAGAATCCAGCAGCTGTTCCTTGCTGCAGGATATTTGGTTAACTGCAGGACCAACAGGTCCAATTGAAGAGGGATTGGGTAAGATAGTGAGAAGCAAGGGAACAGCAGACAGAGCAAATGTACACTGCTGATGAGACAAAATCTTTTGGAAGCCATGCCAAAAGAAACAACCCCTTCAGCTATTGAGAAAATTCCCCTTATATTTTGGGGGAGGAAATTTTTTTTTCCTTGCTGACATGTGCAACTGGATTTTTTTATGCTTAGATAAATGTAGTTCAGTGATGGGGAGTAAATATTTGAAACTGATTTCAAGCATCTCATACAAATGATCTATTTGCTAAAATTTGTTAAATTCAGCCTGTACACTTCTGAATTAGAAATCCTTGAGGTTTATACACACATTGAGGCAGAGTAGAAGGGGTAGAACTGTCAGCTGTAGTATGTGCAACTGGTGTCAAAAGGCAGAGTTCATGAACACAAATCCTGGAAAAATAATCTTCAGAAATTACATGTCAGCAAATTTCCCTAGTTGCACATAGTTTTTGAAACAACAGAAGGAAACCAAGCTGAAATAAAAAGTGCTTTGCCATGAAAAAACCCTTACAATGCAGCAAAGGAGAAGCAGTGATGTTTGGGCTGTGGATGACAGCTCCAGAGCAGGCTGCAAATGGTCAGTCTGCAGGAGTCTGTGAAGGACAATAAAATACTGCAGACAGGCCATGTGCCTTGTAGCCGAGCTGCTTTTGGGAAGAATTACCATAAAGCAATTACCACATCTTTCAGAGGGGTAAAAATTAGCTGAATTAGGCACCAGGGATGCATAATTCAGGGAGAATGGAAACTGCAATTCCTTTTGCTTGAAGAAAAGATTAAGTGAACTTTAACTGATGTGTTCAGGATGCTCAACAGAAGGAGTTGTTTGAATTATCCTGAAAAGTCTGGGCTTTAGGGATATACAAAAGAGAATTTTAAACCATAGGCTAAAAGATAAGTCAATTGAGGAAAGCCTTTTTTTTTTTTCAAAGTCTGGTGAATGCATGGGACATTGCCAAAGAAGGAACTGCTCCAGCTGCTTTCAGAAAGCAGTTGGATAGAGATTATTGTGGGTTCTATGAAGGACTTCACAGTGAATGGCAATAAAGGTACTTCTGTGTTTTACCTTGTGCTTCTTGTTTATGCCCCAGGTGACCTGATATGCTATAGCTCCTGCTGAGAGGAGTGCAGAAAGTGGTTACAGTATCTAGAGATTAGATTTATCAAGCTGTTGCTCATTTTTTGAAGGATTTTTTGCTAGTGGTTCTTTTTATCCTTTGGTTTCAGCTGTTTTTTAGGGTTCATAATAGTGCCTGCACATGGTATCTGCAGTTCAGCCTCCAAGGTTTTGTCAGTGAGCACATCCTACCCCCACTTGGTCAGGCAGCTTCCCTTAAATGCAAGCATTCCTCTACAGGTGCTATCAAACAGAATTACCCTCCTTGACACCGGAAGCAAAATTTAATCTATTTATTTATTTATTAAAACTGCTGTTGAGCAGGTCATTGGTGCCAGTACATTTTACCTTTCAAATATTCAGATACTTCTGACCTCTGTTTTGAATAGAGAGGTGGAAGAGCATTTAGTTAACTTGTCATCAATTTCTTTCCCCTTCAGACCTTCTGAAGTCCTTGTTGCTTTTAGCAGTTCACTGGCTTCACTTCTAGTCATCTTGACTATTGTTTGCTTTCCATGGATATTCAGTACATTTTGCCTTTCAAATATTCAGGTAGTTGAATTTTGGAGTCCTCTAAAGAATGGAGTGAAATATCAGCTGCAAGGTACAAATATGGTGCATCTCTGCTCTTATTCATTTCCTCCATTGACCATAGCAAATCAGAGATTTTCACTCAGATTATCAACTCTGGTTGATTACAAACCAACTTTCTCAACAGACAGGAAATTAATAGAAAAATGTCATTGTGACAAGATAGTATTTTAAATGTATTATGTCATCATATTAAATGAATGTTGAATAAAAACATTTGAGAATGCTGAACTGTAAATGAAATAGCACTGGATTGGAAAAATTTCAATTATCACAGACGAGCATATTAAAGTACAACCTGGCAGGTAACTGCTGCCATGGGAATGTTTGGAACTAGCTGTATATTCATTTCTCACTACCAGGTTTTTCAATGGATTACTTCATACTTGAGTTTGCATTAAGTGTACAATGTGTTTTCAATTATTCAGCTGCAGTCCAGTTTCTAACACAGAGCATATGCCCCGGCAAGATGTTTTTGTCTTTCTCAGGCATGTGTTAGTTGTGAGATCTGGTCTTTGATTCATTTTCTAAAAAATGCTCCTGTCAAGAAGGTTTCTAAAATGCTGTTATTATGCTGTTATTGTCACTGGAGACTTTTACACAAGTCCTTGTAAGTGAAAGTTGATGACTATTTTTTTAATAAGTTGCTGATTTCTTTTTTTAATCACTTCAGGATTTTGCTTCACTTTTTTGTTTTCTAATATATTCAGTTTTATATTTGGAATCCATCAGTGCTCCCCAGAGGATTGAAGGGATGCTGGAAGACATTGATTCAACAGATCTGCTTTGGACTGTATTCATTTTCTTACATAAGATGGAGAGAGTTGAAACCTCAATCCAGTCCTAGTAGCTGGTCTTTAGAGCAAGCCAGTCCAAATCTGGGATTTCAAGAGACACACGATCTTACAGAAAGTCTGTCAGGAATGATGTAGGGGAAACTTCACTTTATGGTTAATATGCTGACAGAACAAGATGTTTTGCTCTCTGTACTTTCTTTTCACTGAATACTACTAATTGTTTGAAATTCAAGATTCTATCCTTAAGCAAGTATTTTGGCTCCCTTGCCTGTGTGCATACCAGCCCTAGCATTTTCTCAGTCTCAGACACTTGACCTCTGTTTTCAATAGAGGGATGGAAGAGCATTTAGTTAACCTGTCATGAATTTCTTTCCCCTTCATACCTCTGAAGTCCCTGTTGCTTTTAGCATTTCACTGGCTTCACTTCTAGTCATCTTGACTATTGTTTTGCTTTCCATAGATATCCAATTGCAGGTATGCCAAGTTTCTTTTGCATCTTTTTATCAGCCTTCTTAGTTTTTTTACTATAAATTTTCTTAACTACTTTTGAGAAATAGCCAATGTATAAGAAATGTTATGTTTAATAGCCAGTTTCTGTCCTTTCTCTGGAGGAGTCCCTTGCCCTAATGTGCTAGGGACTACAAGAGCACATTCACAGTCACTGCTTCCTAGTCATTGCTGCTCTTACAGCCCAGAGCAACCAAATTGGGAAGACAGTACTTCTGAATTGAAAAGAGAACTTGAGCAGAGCTGTATATTAAATGATTCACTGCTGGGGCAAGGCACAGCTCTCCATCCTTCTGATCAGCATCTTCAGTCCTGCAAGCAGCATGGCATTGGGTGGGATATCAGGAATGTCTCTGTGGGAAGAGAACAGTCTGAGTTTCACCTTGGCTCTCATTATGTCTCCTGTTCTTTCTGGAGCAGGGGAATCAAAGTGATTAATCTTTAGCGTTTTGAAACTGTACCTCCACACCTCTTACCTTGATAAGCAGGAGTACAGGGTAATTCTTTGTCTCACAGCTTTCTGCCTGCTACTGTTGGCTCTGACTGGGAGCTCTCACTCTCAGAATCCATCACAAAAGTCCCTCGTTGCTGCCAGTGATGTCGGGGCCATTGCCTCAGCACCCGTATCACCAGGACCCATCTTTGGCTGCTACCAAGGCAAGAGACATCTCAGTTCTGACATATAATACACAAGTTCCCACACATCATATATCAGTCCAGTGGCCATAGAGGTGCCTGCTTATCTCTTTAGTTCCTTACATAAAGTGATTTGTGCAGTATTGTCAGCCTCAAAAGTAGCTGTATCACTGGCTCTTTGCCATATGGTCAAACTGTGGGATTTCCAGCATAGCTAGCAGTCCAAGAGAACAAGTAATCATAAAATCTCTACTTACTTTGCACCTGTTTTGTTAAAGGACTTGAGGCTGAACTGTATCCAGATTCTACAGATAAAGACTGCATTTTTAATTTAAGTAATGCCTTTTTATTTTCAAATTGTACTTCAGTGCCAGTGTAGTGCTACTAATGCTAGTTCCTTCTTGCACACAAAAAGATGGCAATGCCAATGTGTGAATTGACATCACTTTCTTTTTTTTTTCCTTTTTAAAGTGATACAGGCATCATACAGTTGTGTGTTATATCACTACTGGAGCTTCCACATTTCTGCCATGTTCCAAGAGCAGTCTTGCAGTGTACTCTGAGCACTCAGTGCTTTTTCTTTGGGCTCATTGTGTCATATTTTTCTCAATTAGAACCTTGTGCTATAATTTCTTTTTCTTTTAGCTTTCATAATAAAGTAGGTATTGTAAGCACTGGGAATAAGGTTTTTAAAAGTACTTCCTCTCCTGTTTCCCATCCCATATGATCGTACTTGTTCTGTCCAGTGGAAATTTGTGAGAAAGCCTCAGGAGAGAATTATTTCATTTTTGAATGGCTGAAAGGCTCTGATCCTCTGACTTCAAAGGCATTGGGGCTACTGCTCTTGAAGGGAAAATTCTGAAAACACCTGATCCAATATACGTTTGTTTTGACTGCATTTTACTTTGTTCCACTGAATTTATTCCCTTTGAAATTTGTGGTCAGACTGAAGCACTAGCAGAGCAATTATCACCTTTATTTGTATGTTTGTAAAGCTTTTAGCAGTGCAAGGTAGAGCTGAGTGGCAGATCTGAGTTGGCAGGGTGCTATTGTGATGAAGTGGATGCAGTTTCCCTCTGGCAGTAGCTGTTTGCAGTTGTGCTGAGATGCAGGGTCCCTGTGAGCCAGGAACCCCCTGCAGCCCCCACTGTCCCAAGGTGCCCTTAGGCTGCCATGGGCTCTCTGTGAGGGAGAAATGGGCCCTGCTCTGTCTCACAGGGCTCTCTGTGAGGGAGAAATGGGCCCTGCTCTGTTGCTGGAGAGCAGCTGGCCATGAACTAGAAGAGACATCATGCAAACAAAAGTCTCCTTTCTTTGTATACAGGGATCAGCTGGCTTACCTGGAGAAGCTGGGCCATCTGGAAACCTTGGTGAAAAGGTATAATAATGGATCTGACTGCTCAGCAGCTTTGAAAACCATTGGGGTGGTAAAGTACTGGTGAGAGATCGTTTACTGACCACTGTCAGAGTTAATATTCCTGTAGCTATTTCAGAGCATGGGGATTTGATTACTTGTAATCCAGATGTTCCTATATGAGGTATATATCTGATATCCTTGATTTTACTTCACAGTTAATTTGGAGTTGACAGATTTGATACCTTTCTTATATCACTTTATTATACTGCTATTGTTTCAGAGAAACTGGCATGAAACTTGTTTTATACAGTACTCACTGGTTTTGCACTACTACATAATGAAGACAGAAGTAGAAAGCTAAAACTTGGCTGTATACATGAACTGAATAAAAAAGACAAGCCTGAGTTTTGTCTGCTGTGCAGTAACAGTTGTGTTTGTGAAAGCAAAGCCTGGCAGACTCAATGTGACTTGAACAGTATAAACAGCTTAAGTGTATTTGACATGCTTTTATTTAGGTGAAGTATTTTAAAACTGAAAACCAGGAAGTTATTACTGGACTGCATGTCAGCTTCAATTATGATAAAAACATAATTGTTTGTCAGAATGATGCAGCACCATTTGTATTTCTTTCCTGCAGGGCTGAATTATTTCACCTAGACTGGTGTCTGCTATTTAGATATTTTATTGAGGAAGTCTTAATCTACTACTAGAAATTCCATTAAAAGCTGATTATAATTTATATAATCTGTGAAAGGAAATACATCAGTGGAAAGCCCTGCTTTCGATTTAGACAAATCTCTTATGGTTTTAGTGATAATATCATCTTAGAATTTCATGTCAAAGGATTCTTGTTCTTCATAATTACACTTGGCCCAAAAAGATTACCTTGTGGTACTGCTGCTAGTTTAGCTAGGAGGGGAAAGGCAGTAAAAGACTAATTAATTTATCATCAGCAAATGGAAGGAAGCTTCTTCATGGTGCAATAACTGGCACTGCTATGCTGTTTCTATAGAATTTATTCTTCCTCTCTTATGGATTAAGTAGTGCAAGGGTAACACATGCTATGTGGATTTAAATGACAAACGCATTTCCAGCATAATTACAGTATGCAATATAAATGATAGTGTTATTACCATGTCATGTGCACTATTTGTAATAAAAGTATAATCTTCTGAGGATAATCTACATCTAAGTCTGATATTTGGGCTGGATGTGACATGAATGAAAAGTGAAAAGGTATGGAAGACCAGAAAACACCCTTCCTGCTTCCCCTACTGAAGTTGCTTCAGCAGCTCTTGAAGGGCTGGCCTTCCTCTATGAGCTGTGCTTTCCTAACATGTACTGAAGAAAAGAGGAAGAGAGGAAAAAATTGTCTTTTTTCTTTGTTTGCTATCCTGAATTTTATGGATTAAGGAGCATACTATAAATATGATGCATGCCACAGAGAGGAAATGTCTAGCAGTTCTCAGAGACTGATGTAGCCAAACCTCTTCTTCAGTCTTCTAGGAAAAGAGAAGACAGAGAAATTCAGTTTTATCATTTTTTTCAAAAGATGGATAGGCTTGTAGGAGGAAAGAATTCAGAAATTTAAAAAAAGAAAAATTAGAAAAGGTCTCGGCACTGTTTCTGAAGGGCAGTTTCTCAACCAATAGTGTCATGCACTGACAGGTGTACTCAGTGGACATTGGAAAAAGGGGAAGGATATTCAATGTTCTTTTCTTTTTCTTCTCTTTCTTTGTTGTTAAAGGGAGAGCGAGGCAGTCCAGGACCTGTAGGTCCTCCTGGAGACAAAGGTGTCATGGTAAGTTACAAGTAATGTAAAATCCACAATTATGTTACTTAGAAAGGCACTTTAGTCTCCAAAATAAGAATAAATTCTCACTCTTCTAGCTTTGAAGACCTTATGGGAGAGCAGTATTTATGATGCATAGTCCCTACAAAGTTTCATTTTATGGCTTTATCCCCTCTGCAGCAGTGATTGCAAAGTGATCTGCTGAATGAATAGCAGAGCAACTGCATTTCTGAAATATGGCTCTAAGCAGGGAAAATTAAAAGGAGGGAAAGTAAAATAACCATTTCCTGTGTAAACCAGGGTAACTCAGGTTATTCTAGTAGATAGACTAGTAAATATCATCACCTCTGGTTCCACTGCCCAGCACTGCCCAAACAGCTCCTGGCTGCCACTCCTGTGGGTTCCTGCCAATCCCCCTCGTCCTAAGGCAGGACACAGCACTCCATGCAGCCCAGAGGTCACTCCCTCCATGGAAGGCTGTTGGGGTGCAGGAGTGACAGCCCACACATGTGCCCATGGCCTTGTTCTTGTTGAGGTTCTCTAGAAAATGTGCTGCAGGCTTGGCTTTTGCTATCATAGCAATGTTGATAAAACTTTTCTGTCTTTTCTATGTTTATTTTACTTCTAGGGCTATCCAGGACCTCCAGGAGGCCCTGGACCTGTGGGGCCAGAAGGATTACCTGTAGGTATAGGGTGGTGCTTGGGTTTGACATAAAATGAACTATTTTCAAATTGTCTTCTTGCTTTGGTGAAGCTAAGAATGGTTTCTAGTTTGTATTGCAATCTATCAAACTGTCATGGAAATGCACCCATCCGGACAGAATCTGTTCACTTTGCCAGGATGATCTATGAGAGAGGGAAAAATAATTATATGATTTACTCATCCATTCAAAAATCACTCCATTGAGACGAGTAGGGAAATGGAATTTTGCAAGGATGGTTAATAATTGCATAACATTTTTAAAATTCATTGGTGCCTAATACAGTATGAATAGATTCATTATGTGTTTAGTTTCATTGTTAATAAAAAATAAATTGTATTCTAATCTGCTGTGTATAATTGATACAATTTATCTACCATGGGTCTTCAATACAGATAAAAAAATTAAACTTTTTTCAGAAAATATTCATGCTTTTTAACATAATATTGCTGAAATACAAGTATCTTCTGAAAATTTTGGGATATTAGAAGTAATCTATCCAACAGTCACATCAGTGTTTTGTAAAAATAATGTTACATAGAGTCTGTTAATTATATTTTTCTACATAAATTGTACAAACACGATTAATTGAATTTGAACCATGAGTGAAAGTGATTGATTTGTTTTTCTTGCATTGGTTGTTGCTCAAGGTGCATAAGCCTTGTAATTTTGAGGAACCTGTGTTTAGAAGCCAATGAATAATAAGTTTGTTTGACATGTAGGGACCTTCAGGGGCACGAGGACCTTCAGGGCCACAGGGACCTAAGGGAAGAAGGGTAAGTACCAATGCTCCTTTTGTTCCTTAGAGCAGAGAGTGGTGTGTTGCAAAGATGAATCTGGAATATAACCCATTTACAGCTGCTCCCTTTGTCCTCTGGACTGAACTCCTTTGTGCTGAAATCAGATAGATTATACTTATATTTCCATGGAGGAAACAATATGAATCTTCATTTCTCCTCACAGTGAAATGGGCTTTGCCATTGGTGTCAGCTGAGAGCAAAACTAGAACCAAGATGGCCACTTGACTCTTTTCTGTACACATAAACATGCAAAAGTTGTCATTTATAACTACCACTGGACTATTTCAATGTTTTAAGGTCAATTTTCTTTACCTGCATTTAGTTCTTTGGAAATACAATCAAAGTCTCTCAAAGACAGTTTTGAAGGAGACAGAAGTGTAATCAGAAGTTACTGTGTGCTAAACTTTGAACCTGCACTTGTTAGATTGTCTTTGCCATTTCACTTTTATCAGGGAAATGGAAACCCTTTTTTCACTGTATACAAAACCCTGATCCAAGGCCCATATTAGTGAAGTGTCTCTCACCTCACCTACCAGTTTGACAGCATATCCACGATTCCTAAGAGACTTGTACCGCTCATACCAGGGGCTGGATCAGAGTCTCTTCACAGCTCCATTTATTCCTGATAAATATGTCTCTATGATTTTGGCAGCACATCATGGAGTACAGTGCTTATAATTAAAGATCACTCAAAATAAATCCCAAATATCCCAAGCTGTGTGAAAGCCCAGTTTTGGAATTGTGATTTATGCCTTTGCCTCTGCCCAGCATGACTGGGAATGTCTCATGAAAGAGGCTCTCAGAACAGACCCAGGTCCTCAGGATCTGAGAACAAACTCCCACTGAGGCCACTGAGAATTTTATCTGCTCTCAAGATCAAAATGTCAGATCAGAAGTGGAATCTCACATAAGGAAAATATCTGAGGTGCCCTGAAACCTGGGGTTTGTCATCTCTGGATTCAGAAGGAGAAGTGTCAGAACCCAGAGCTCTGTGTGGAAGGCCTCAGAAAATGCATAACACAGTCAGATACAGCAGTTAAATGGAAGCATATGGAAATTTCCCTTCACTGTGTGTGGAAACAACAATGTATCCTGTCTTCACAGCTGGAATCTGTGAGAAGCCTTAGAAACACTGACCCTCTACTTGTGCACTGTCACAGAATGGAATTCATTCACATCATAAATTCTGGACCTTTCAGCAATGGTTTTGCATCCAAGCTTACCCAGCAGTTACTCCTGTGTGAGAGTGTGCAGCTGTTCACTCTGCAGTACCCCAGGAGCTCCGGCCAGCTGAAGGCAGCCTGTCTAGGAGCCTATGGACTCTCTCCCCCTGGGGATTTCAGGGAATATGCCACTGAGCACAGCACTCAGAGCCTCCTCAGCTCATGCCTGGGACTTGATGCACCTGGCTAGAATCATGTGGAAGGTTTATTGCACTTTATTTTTTACTGTTAATCTTATGAAAACACCGAGGGAGAGCACCATTTTGTAGATACTTCAATGGCAGAATGCCACTGAGGGTGAATGTATCAATATGTAGGAGAAAGAATTTCTTTCCATGACCAGAGGGAAGAAATGCATTAGTCTGGAAGCCTGGCAGTGTAAGCAGCCATGAAGTCATTGTTGCATGATCTTCTGTTGTCTTTGCTAATGTGTGACATAAACTACAACATCAGAGACTGCTTTCACTTCATGCCATAATCTTGGACTAACTCAACTGTAGTTCCTAGTTTGAAAGGAAGAGATTCTGTATCATTAGATTCATTTCATAAGTGAGACCTGGGCAAAATTCCCAACAGGTGCTAAAATTCTTGACATTTAGTATTCTTCAGATTGGCATTTGGTATTTTAAGGCTCAAAAGAAGTAATTTTTCTGCTCTTAACTTTCCTGGAATGCAGATCATGAAATTTGGACTTGAAAATGCAGATAAATGACACAGTGAACTGCTGTAAATTTGGGGTCAGGCAGCAGCAACTCATGTCTCTAGCAGCCAGTAGGGTTGTCCCTGGCTTAGTGGTGTCTGTACTGGCATGAAGAACCTCAGCTGCCTGGGGACATCTGTGCTTTGTTTTAATGAGTGATATCTTTCATATTTCTCACAGGGAATATGGAACTTAGCAAATTCTGTGCAGTTGTGAAACAAGTGTCCAGTATCCAGGGTGGTTCATTGATAGCTGAATGTTTATGTCTCTTAATTGTTTGAAGGAAGTGAGAGTAAATTGATGTAGTTTTCTAATATTCTTCCATATCAGCCTCAAAAAGGGAAGTAGCTATACATTGTGTTATTTCTGCTTTCTGGTATTTTGGAGACAGAACGAGAAAGAATAAAAATAGTTAAATTGTGCTTTTTCACCTTCTTGGATGAACTTTTTCTCAGATTATAATTCTAGAGTTTTCATTGTAAAATGTTCCATTTTAGAAACAGAGCTGAACCCGTGCCAAAGAAAAAAGCAGTAGCACTCATTTGGCAGCCTCACTCCCCAGCTCTTTTGGAACCTAATTTAAATAACAGCAGGCAAATCAAGTATATCTCTCATTCTGTACTAGCTATAGTAAGAAATTGTACAATCCAATTCATCTCTGCCAATAAGGAGTCACACCATACTATTTATAGGAATGTTATTGTGTGCTTTTGTCAGGATATTAAATTGCCTTTCCCTTGGATTCCTGCCCTTTGTTCTGTGGCTGGCTAAAGGAAGGCATGGCCCAGAGGATCATGTTGCTTTCTGTTACTTTGCTTTTAATTCAGAGTTATATAGTAGAAGATTGGTGTTTTAAATGGTAGACTTTTTTGCTTAACTATTCGTGATCAGATCAGTTGTCATGGGCTGCCATGAACTCCAAGGTGAACTCAAGGTGAACTCCACTGAAATGGAGATCTGTGTGAGTGCCAGAAAGGTTTTGGTGTGTGCATAACACAGAGTAAGAATCTTGTGCAGTCTTCTGACAGGCCTGTTTCTCAAACTGCAAGCTATCATCCTCTTCATAATTAAAATTATGTCGGAAGTGTTGAAAGACTTTATCTGGTAATTCTGAATGATAGAAGATAAAACGTAGAAAGACAATTCCTTATTACACAAATCTGTAAAATGGAAACCTGTCCTTTTTCTTCCTTGAGTATCTATTCTTGGGATTCTATCCTCTGGTCAGCCTCTGGTCAGCCCTGTGGAGAACACACAAGGAGACAGGTCACATATCTAAAAAGTCTGAGAAAATCTAAAACTACCCCACAATTGCTTAACTTTATGCTGTCAATTTCCCGTTCCTTGTGTTGCCATAGGTGGTTCCTCCATGGGTCTTCCTTGAGCTTCTGTCCCTTCCACCCTCACAGCTCAATGACCTGTCCTCACCCCATCTCAGTTTCTTCTTGTCCCTTCTCCTCCTGTTCTTTGAGACATTTCAGATCAGGGAACAATAAACCTGCCAAATCTGCCTTGAATTTTCATCACAACTGATACCTGTGTTACAGATAGCAGTGACAGAAAAAAGTGAAGAGCAGTAACCTGAAATTAATTTGATTGAGACATTTAGCTTTCTTTTGAATTATGCTATAGAGTAATTCAACAATTGAGTTACCCAAGTGCATAAGCTCAACATGAGTCCCAATATAAATGTTTTTATAAAAGCCCCCTTTGAAAACACCACTAGTGTTTCATTTCTAATTTCTGAGGGCACTGAAGTCACAGATTTTTTTCCATAGATCTTCAGTATTGTTTGGTTTGGGACCTTTCACATTGAGTGCCATGTGGCAGCTCAGTGTTGTCTTCTGTAGCCTCTTTTCCTCTCTAGCCCAAAGAAATGCCTGTAACTGCTCAGTCCTGGTTTACACCAGAACAAAAAAGGTGGCCAGACTGGGCCAAGGATTGCCTCACAAAAGCTGTGTCCCAAACTACAGAGTATTTCATACAGCTCTCCCTGCCTGCCCTCTTTCCTTTTCCTATGCTTTCTGTGTTCCTCTGTGCTGGCCAGAAGTAGCAGTGCTGAAATGATGACAGATGAATTCTCATGGGATATTTCTGGCTTTGCCAGGGGTTGTGGTTATCTATCAGCTCACAGGAAAGGCCTGTTCCTGAGAGGTTTTAATTTCAGGAGAAAAGCCTAAGTGATTCTGGATACACTCTGGTCCTGAGTTACCAGTCAGCCATTTTCCCTTTTGCTCCAGAGAAAAGTGTTCCAAGAGAGGTTTTGATATTGATCAGTCAGCCCGAGTCAAAGACAACAAATTCTGGTATGTTTTTTCTCAAAATATTCAAGAGAGATATGGAAGTCACAGATATTTTTTGGAGGGAAAGTAAACTAAATTAACTCAGATGTGCTTCCAACAAAGTCATTTTACAAGCCCCTATTATTATCATTTAGAACAGTTATGTGATTGAAGATCAGTCATGATTGGATGCCCTTCACTATAAAACATGACCCAAGATGTCAGGTTCTCTACAATTCAGAAATTCACCATAGAAATGGAGACTGTTTTCCTCCAGGCACTGCCATAGTAGTGTACTAACTCCTTCTGATGCCAGCCCAGCAAAAATGCCACCAGGAAAGTTGTTGTGTCTTATCCTCCCAATGCACACTGCTGTAAAGAGCCTGTCTTGATACTTATCTAGCTCTTCCTAGGAAGTGGTCATTAGTTTTAAGTTGTTATTAACTGATTTTAAATTAATGTTCCATACCTAAACAGTCATGGTTTTTAGAATTATGGAAATAACTTCCTAAGTCAGCATGGATAAAATATTATTTTCTATTTTGCTCATGATATATATAAGGATTTTTCATTTGCTTGTAAGCTTTTGAATTTGGATTCCCAATCTAAATAATAAAACTCTGAATGTTTTGGCAATAGGTATTTGCTATATTATGCTACAATAATATAACAGGTTATCTTTGTTCATCTATTGCTTATAAAAAAAAAGGCATTTTAGTCTAACAGCAGACCACAATAGTTCACAATTATAAATTTCTTCTAATCTTGCCTCAAACTGGTTTACTAGTGGAAGAATTTTATCTGCTTTTTTTAGTCTTACTAGCAAGATTAATTTTTGGATATACATCTTATAATGTGCTCAAAAGCAACTACTCTATATATGCAGTGATCATCTAAATCCCTCTAAGTCCATGTCTGTTGCTTGAGTACAAGGTGGATGAAAAAAAGCAGAAAATATCAGCCTGCCATCTGGCTCCAGCAGGGACACTGAATGTTTTGTTTACATACTTTTTAAAAAAACTTTTCTTCTTAAGTTCATAATTCAACAAACCAGAAACTTATTTTATTCTTCGAAGCTTTATTTCACACTTGACACATAATGAGAATTGGTTTTCCTGCTAACAAAATGTTTCCCCTCTCCTAAAGCTTATGTAACATCTCCTTAATGACAAGCAAAAATAATGCATAATTAGTATTCCAAATCACTTGTTCAATATTCAGGGGCCAAGAGGTCTCGATGGTCCTCCAGGAGAGCTGGGAACAGAAGGTGTTAAGGTGAGTGTTTGCATTGCTCAGTACTATATAAAACACTGAAGCAGACCGTAACAGATGAAAATAAACAAACAAAAAAACCTCCAGCCCATCATGGCAGAAGCCAGAGAGTTCCATTTAATCTAAGATATTTGCAAATTTCTGGCTTTTCCAGGTACATTGAGGGATTTTCTGTAGTTACCCAGCATTTAAACTCAGTAACTGCCTGTAGCTTATCAAGAAAATGTATGTAGAACTTACACATTGTTAATAACAATAAATAACATTGTTTGTTATTTATCAGGGAGAAAGAGGTGATCCAGGAAAGAAAGGAGTCCCTGGGCTCATTGTAAGTATTGGAGCCAGTGCTTGCAGTAAGCTTTAACACAGTAACTGATTTCTGAGCTGCGTTTGGAAATTTCTTGAAGCCAGCATTGTCCTTTGATTTTTCTCTTTAACCAGGGTAAAGCTGGAAATCCAGGAGAGAGAGGAGAGCAGGGTGCACTTGTGAGTATGAAATTCACTAGTACTTCTACCAAAAAGAAATCCAGAAAATCTCATACATTTTTGACACTTGGGTATGAGGAAGTTTATCTATTTCAGAGCAGCTGGAAAACTTTGACAGTTTGCAATTATTCATACAAAGAACCAGGGACAGAAGTGCAGTTTTAAGGATAAAAGTCTTTGTAACATAGAACAATAATTCTTTGATAGAATTTGGGGTAGGTGTGTGTTATCAATGTAGGGATAAATGTAGAAATGTGTTAAATGAATATCATGTATAGAAGAAAATTCATTCTTTTAGTGCTTTTTTGAATGGAAATCTAATGTGTTCTATTTGAGGCTTTTTTTTACAAAGCAGGTTATCAGTCAGTCCAAATTGTACTGGACTTTCAACAAAGAGGGAAGCAAAAAAACCAAAAATAAAGCAGGAATGATGGTGATTTTGTTCTGCAGTTGAAACTCAAAATGTTGATTGTCACCATACTTCTCTTGCCTCTTCTGCTCAGATTTAGGAGCTTGTTGCCTCTCACATTTGACACAAGGGGTTTTCATTTCCTCTTCATTCACTAGAACTTTTAGATGTATTTATAAACACAGAAATAAATGAAGCAAGACCTCATTAGGCTGAAATGATGTCTAATAGCACATTTATTGCAAAGTACAGGATAGTGATCTATTACTCCTACAGCTACAGTTTCTAGAAGACAGTGTGAGAAAGAAATGCTATGAGAAAGGTTGAGCAGAGAGAAAAGTGTGCTGTGAACCTTCCTGATTATCTAAAATGCAGCCCCTAGGGCAGTTTGGACACACAAGCAGCACATGGATCCACAGAGAATTACAATGAACTGGTAAATGGTGGTTCAGCTAAGATTCATTTGTATGTAAAAGAAACTGAGGAAGGACTTACTCAGGACTCCCTCACCTGCCACAGAAGCCAGTGATATGTCAGTGCATGTCAACCAGAAAAAAAGGCCACACATACTTCATGGGTGTTTCTGTGTTAGTTACTGTGTGAGCAAAAACAAGAGAGGAAGTGGCCTGCTCAGAATATGAAGGAGCTTCTTTCCAGTGATTTTTTATTTTATTTTAATCTCCAGGGTTTGCTTGGGCCTCCAGGAGCCACAGGAGACAGAGGACCAGTGGGAGAGCCAGTAAGTTGATCCTTATGCCTGTTCAAAGTTTTTCCATGTATTTATTACACAAGCTCCCTGACAACTCAAGCTCCATTTTACTGAGATCCAGTATTTCCAGCTGTGGTTAGGTAGGAATTGTGGAGTGATTGCTCCAAAACTGCAGACCTGGAGTCTGCCTTCCTTGCTTAGTGTAACTTGTTCATAGAGACCTGTTAATCTTGTTGGGAAGCTCTGTAGTAAGGGGGGCACAACACAAGAGAGCATAACAGAGCATAGACCATGATATAATGTGGCTTTACACCACATTGAGGTAGAAATCTGTGTTAAGTATTGGGTAAATGTATGTGGCAATACTTTAGTGGTGTTTTTTTAGGCAAATCTTAGGATTGTTGTTCAGGAACACAGGGACCACATGCATTTGGCAGGTTAAATTTTCAAGAAGAGCCTGATGCAATAAACCTCAGACATTCCTCTGCTGGATGGATTCTTGTTACTGTGTCAAAGCCACGCTCACTTTAGTGTGGCTGATATTGTTACAGAAGATCAGGGAAGAACCTGAAGCAAATAAATGCACTGAACTGCAAGATATAGCTGTGACAGGAATAGTATTGCAGCACCATCTCTGGGGGTAGATCAGATTATGTAAATACAGTAAAAGAATATATGCTGTCTAAGAAGAATTTGGGAGAAGGCTCCCATTTTCTGGTGCAGAAATCTAATAGAGTTGTTAAAAATTGTGTGTTTACATTGCTTCTGGAGAGTCATTTTGCACAGTAAATTGCACATAGGTAATTTAAATCTCGAAAGTGAAATGTTGATAAAAATTGCATTAATTTTAGTATTATTAGTATTTAGTATTTTTATAATATTATTTCTACTAATCCATGCTTACAGAAAGTAATTGCACATTTTGAGGGCTAGAAAACCCCCAACAAATTTTCTTTAGGATAGAATTGCATATTTAACTTGAGCTCAAAATGGGAATGGCAAAATATTTCACAGAAAATGTGTTTTTCCCAATAGTTATCACTGGATTCTTGTTACTTCGTCTCTTTCATTTATTATAGCTTATCTTCATGTTGCAGCATCTAAGAGCCTTACAATGAAAGGTTTATATGTCAAATTCCTGCCATTTTCTGGCCAAGTCTGAATTTTCAAATCCAATAGCATGCCTGTCTGCCTTACCTAATCTAAGTGGTCTACATTTCTCTGTGCTCACCATCATAGAAACTACATGTTCGCTGTCAGAAGAAAAATCTTATCCTGTGAACAAGGTATCTTTTTCTATCAAATGCTGAAAGAGTAAAATGTCTTCAGAAGAAGGTCTGTGGAGCTAGAAAGTGATAAAATGACAGAAGATATTGCACAATAAAATGCATGGCTCTTTTTTAGCTGCCTGACCAAGCAGCTTGATTTCATCCTCTGTCAGCTGGTCACTGTGTGAAAGCCAGCTGCTGAGCTTTTCTGGCCCTGTCACCAGTTCTACAAAGAGCAGAAAAGCCCTAATTTTTGGTGGAGGAGCCGAGAAATGTGAGCAATTAGAACTATTTGTATTAACGGGATTGATCTAAACTGCACTCAAACTTTATCTACTTGTCAGACATTTCAGTAAAATCCTTTGCAAATTACCTGATAATAATGGTTAAAATGAGTTCCCACATTGCTATAAAGTTATGGCTTCTGAAAGTCTCAGGAGAAAGATACATTTCTGATCCAGCAGCCTTATCTCCATGGTAATATGAAGAAATACTTGATTTGTGAAGCAAACTGAAGCTTTGTGACACTTGCCTAGTGGAATTCCATGGAGTTTCTGCAGATGAAAATCAATTAACTTAGTTTAGGACAAAGTAAATTATCAAGTAACTGCAGTTTTAGTTGTTCATATTTAAATGAAGATAAAAGGTAAAATAGATGCATCTGCTGGAATTCTGATGATAAGATGCAATTTACATTGTTTTTACAAGGGAAGAGAATATTCAAAGGTCATCAGGAGGAGCAAAACCATATGCAGAGTCTGTAAGAGGAAATGAGACAAAATAAGAGTAAATATTTGTTTAAATGGCTTCTGTCATAAATAGAAGCAGCATCTTTCTTTTACATGAGAATTGTAGATCAAGAAAATGTTTTGAATTTAGAATGTGTTTAGACACAGATGAGTCCCAAAGGGATAAATAGATATGAACTTCAAGGAAGTTCAATGACTGGTTACATGCAGAGAGCTGATTTGTCTGGACCCACATTCCCAGTGGCTGTGGAATCAGCAGTAAGCTGTTACAGGCAGCTTCTGCTTCCAGCACACAAATCCTGCCCTCTGAGCTCAGATCTTACATGTGCAGAGAATTTGAACATGCCACTTTGGGAAATGATCCCTGGCTTTACTGCAGTACATTTACTCCTTACATGTAAGGCTTATCATAAAATGCTTATGCTGTAGTTATCAATATTACTAAGAAGGCTCCAGCCTTTATTCTGTTATGCCTCAGTGACTGTCCTGTCCATGGTGAGGTGGTTGTTTTCAGTTAATTCCATACCAGACTGTAGGCTTTTCCACAAAGCAAACCAGACAGTCTAACAAACCTTAATTAAACAAAGTCTTAGCTAGTCAAGAGAAGAGCTTAGTTCAGATAATAATTTATTTTTGATCTAAAAGAAAAGACATCTGTGCTATTATTTGAGATGTTATTTCAGTGCATCAAGGTTGGTACTGTATGCCATCATGGGACTTTGGATACACTGTTGGATTCAGGAGGAAGGACAATGAAATACATTTCTTTATTCCAGTTGGAAGAGTTGTGAAGAGACAAATTGAACACACTACAATGTAATTTAATGTTAATTGAATAATGCATCCAAAATTTTGTTTCATACCAGGGTCCAAGAGGACAACCAGGGGATGCTGGCCCTATTGGAGAAACGGGTTTTGAGGTGAGATTTTAATCACTAATATAGCAATTACAAATACTCAAACAACTGACTAATCCTGGACAATATGTTTATAAAAAATTTTTATAAACCTGCAGCTGACTTAAATATCATGAGCTTATCAGAGACTCTTACTTAAAGCTGTTACCAAAGAATGTCTAAAATAAGTAGCTTGTTCTGTTGTAAGCACTGTCTTTGAGCATATAGTTACGACATTTGTCATAGAAGGTGAATGCTTAATTGAGCAAACATTTTTTTTTGAAAGCACTGTTCTCCTTGCAGTTAGCAGTAAAACACCATTAATCATATGTTCTTTCAATTTGTAGATAAAGGAAAGCAGCTGTAGAAATCCTTCTTGCTTACTTCTGCTACTGTTTTTTGCTTTATTTTTAATATTTCATTGAGAGAAATGTGACAGAATGTATTAGCAGCATTTGTAATCAAGTACCTGAGGGATGAGCTCACTTAGAGCAGTAGGGATTTGGCTTATTCAAAGTTCTTCCTCAGTCACCCAAAATCCAGACTTCTGATTTAACTACCAAAATGTGTAAACTACAAAAAGCAGTCTGATATCATCAACTCATTAGGGGCTGAGGCCTCCAAGAAGGGTTTAGTTCTCCAAAGGCTGTGTCTACTTGGCTCCAAGCCTAAACAGAGCTGAAGTTGTCAGTCAGATTTGCAGAAGATAGATGCTGGCTCAGCAGTAATTTATGGTGAAAGGTACAGGCTTAGGGGTACTGCTGAGTCTTCAATATATTCCTGACCCACCCTATATTTCCTCTATTCTTTCTTTTCTGTTTGTCTCTAGAAAAAACAAAGAACTATGTTGTCTTGATTTGATTTTTCAGACATTCATCTTTCCCAGTGTCTCAGGCCATTCTTCTGCTTCAGTTTTGGGTGTATTATTTAGTTGTTGCAAAATTATTATTGGCGATCATGTAACAGTAGCTCTTGTACCATGCAGGGACCTCCTGGCCCTGAAGGAGAACCTGGTCTGCAGGGGGAACCGGGCACAAAGGTAAATGTTGAAATCATTCTCTCTTAAGATATTTATATTTTCAAATTCTCATAAAAGCAAATCAGAGACATCTGATTCATTAGCCAAGTAGACAGTGAGGAACCATTAAGAAATACTGTTATTGTCATGATGACTCCATCAGCTGTAAACCCTCTCATTGTTACAAATATTGTCCTTTAAAATTGAATGATTTTCCTTGTGATATCCAGGGAGACATTGGACCTGCTGGGAAGGCTGGAGAACCAGGTGACCAAGGTTTGAGGGTAAGCTCTGGATGCAAATCTTCTTCCACAACAGAGAAGTTATGAACAAAGTGCAGGTTGAGAAATCTTGATTTAACAGAAGAATTCAATAAGAAGCTATTTTCTTCAGCCTCTTTTTTTAAAAGAAAAAAAAAAACACAGCGTAATATTGTAGCAAAATAAAAAGAGTATTGACTGGGGAAGGGTGGCTTGAGAGCTGCTCAGCAGAAAGGGACTTGGAGATGCTGGTCAACAGCCCATCTGAACATGGATCAGCAGTGCCCAGGTGGCCAATGAAAAGAAGGCCAATGGCCCCCTGGCCTGTGTCAGCAATGGTGTGGCCAGCAGGGCAGGGCAGTGAATTTTTCCCTGCACTTGGCACTGGTGAAGGTGCACCTTGAACTTTGTGTCCAGTTCTGGGTCTCAGTTCAAAAGAGGACACTGAGGTGTGGAGCATGTCCAGAGAAGGACAATGGAGCTGCTGAAGCACAGATTTTGAGAAGCAGTTGGGAGAGCACAAGTTGTTTAACCTGAGGAAAAGGAGGCTCCTTTCTCTCTACAGCTACCTGAAAGGAGGCTGTAGTGAGGTGGGGGTCAGTCTCTTCTGCCAGCTAACAAAGGACAGAATGGATGGCCTTAAGTTGTACCAGGAGATGCTCAGATTGGAACCTTCAGATTAGAAGGAAAATTTTCACTGAAAGAATGGTTAGGCATTGGAATAAGTTGCCATGGGAGGTGGTGGAGTCACAGTGTCTTGAAGTATTTGAGAGGCATCTGGGTGTGGCACTTGGGAATGTGATTATGGTGGTGCTGGGCTGATGGTTGGACTGATGGTCTTGAAGCTTTCTTTCAACCTTGATGATTCTGTGATTATAATGTTGAAATATTTCTAATGGTAAATAGCCCTACAGTAAACATACCAATACAGTAGTTACCACATAAACATGGAAGTTTCAGGACAGAACTGGTATATTTTTGAGGTTACTGTAATTACATGTTATATACTCTGAATCCAAACAAAATCTCAGTGCCACTGACGAAATCTCCAGGGTTATATGGGCATAGTATTGCTTCATTTTTCTAATGCTGATCATCTTGTATGTTTTCTTGCATTGGATATTCATGGGCTATGACACTGAAGATAAATAAACTGTAACAGCAACTAAAAGTTGTCTAAAATATAATAAACATATATAAAACTAGTCAAGAAATATAGGCAATAACTTTGTTTTCAACTGCTTTTTTCTATAAGGGTGAACCAGGGCCTCCAGGAGAAGATGGTGTTCAAGGAAAAGATGGCCCAAAGGTACATTAAATTTTTGCAGCAGATTTAAAGTACTCTTATTAGCCTAAGGACCCAAATCTCCTTTTTTATCCTAGGTCAGCACCAGATCAACTAAGCCCATTGAGTGCATTTAGTTTTAACATAGGAGGTCCTGTAAAGTACAGGCTTTTCTGTATCTTTTGGGTACATACCTAGCTTGAAAAGGCTGCAAAGCTGAATGGTTTGACAAAGAAAAGCAAGTTTTACCTGAGTACAGCTTTTGTCTGTGGTGACTAAAGTGCTGGAGGAAGCAAGCCCAAGGCTGCTCTGCTCCCCAAATTAGATCAGTGCTGTGCCAGGGACTGTGACAGGTGCCAGCACAGGGGGTGTCATAGAGAACAATCTCAGACACTTGGTGATGGATGAGGCAAAATGTGGCTGTAGGAGTGTGGGAATGGGATAGAAAGGGCTTTACCCTAACTTAGAGCCTGATCTGAATTTGACTAGTAAGGTTCACATCAGTTTCAGTGGGCTTTTTTTCAAACTCAGAGATCCAGAATTCCCTTTTCTTATGAACAAGTAATTCTGTAGAAGCAGGCTGACTAAGGGATTTTGGGGTTTTTTTTTACTGTGTTTTAGGGAGACCCTGGAGACCAGGGACTTGTTGGAGAAGGTGGTGAAAAAGGAGAGATGGGATTACCAGGAATTGCTGGGCCCCCTGGTGAACCCGGCCTAATGGGAATTCCTGTAAGTGTTTTCTGGTTGAAATGGACTTCTTGCTTGTTTGCTTTTAGTAAACAAAGTTAATTTTTCATTCTTCCTTTATTTTTGATTTTTTCTGGTTTTCTATGTAATTGGAGATGACTGTATTTAAATAAGCTTCCAATGTGGTTCAGGATTGGTAGAGAGAGGAGACAAATGCTTTTCCTATCTTAAATATGGGACCTCTTGGCAAATAGTGATTCCTCACCATCTGTCATCCAGACACATGTACCACACAACCTGGAGCCTCTCACTTCAGCTCTCTCCTCTCCAAACAATGTGGCATCAAACATACACAGATCAAATAGTAGACAAGCATTAGAATTCACAGACAACATTGTTAGATCAGTTTGCCTATTTGTTCTGGCATCACTCCTAGCAACTAAAATCCATCCATGAAACTGCATACAACTCCTTCATGAGAACAATTTTGGAGCACAGCTTCCAAAGCAAGTATTGTAGCTTTAAATCAGACCAGTTTCCCTTACCAAAAACCATCATGTTCTCACCTGCACTCCTCTGGCTGCCTTCTGTGCAGCTCTTGTGTGATGGTGGGGTCTGACAAAACATTGGTTGGAGCTCCAGCTGTTCATGGCTGGTAGCACTGTCCACTCTGTCCTCTAAGCATCAGTGCTATGTTCTGCTGTCTTTTGTCCTGGGTTCTTCACTGTGAATTACTTTTTCTAGGAAATGAAAAAAGTGTTCTTTTGGTTGTTGGCACTCTTAGTGCGCTGCAGAACAAGTTTTGTTTCTTTGACTCTATTTTGAATTGGTAGTTTTGGGAAACATTGGAAGTTTCATATGTTGAAATTATTGTAAAACAGCTCAACCCTGGCATATCTACACTTTATGTAATTATACTTGTGTACAATAATGAACATCAGCAGTGTTTCTGTGCCTCAGTGAGACAGGCAGGTCTGGCAATTCGATTTTTGGGAGGATGTGGGTAGGGAGGGATTTTTCATGTTTTTGTTCTACATGTTCCAAAGGCAGCTGTAGAGCTGCCTTCTCCACTTGTCCTCCCTGGCATCTGGGAGTGTACACATCACAGTTCTGGTTTGACCTCATTCTAGGGATGCAGACAGTCATAATATCCTAGTCTAAACATGGAAATCATTTTCCTATAGCCCATTGTCTAAGTGTTTCATTGGAGGTGAGAGTAATACTACATTTTCCTTAAACAGTAGCTTACAAAACAACAAATAAGCTTCACAAATCTGTAAAGAAACATTTTCTGTGTGGACAAGATTTAATGGTTTTTTTCACCCTTATTTGCAGTGCATTTCCATTACTTTTATAAATAATCCCTGAAACTTGCCTACTTGTTTATGCTATAACTTGAGACAGCCCTAATAACTTGCTTGAAGACACAGTTAATGACATTTTTCCTCCCACCTCTCTGCTTTACCAAAGCCTACTTAGTTAATGCATTTTGGAGCAGAGGTTAAACATGTTTCTAGGCCCTTCTCAAACATTTCTTTTTCTCTCCCTAATAAAATCTATAGGGCCCTGAAGGAACACCAGGAAATCCAGGTCAGAGGGGCCGTTTAGGAAAGAAGGTAGTATTTTTCATCTTCCCCAGCTCCCTTCCTTTTATCTGAAACTCAGATTTACATTACAGAATTCCATTGAACCAAAACTATCCCTGTTTTGTGTCATGCTTCAAGCCAATTTTTTTACTTGTTAGCCATAGCAATTAGAATTGTCATCATTCTGCAATCAATAACATTCAAGGTCTTAGGAAATTTAAATTTGTATCAAGATGTGGTTTTGCAACTCAGAGCAGTTTCTGCTTCAAAGCTTTGACTAAAAGAAAAACAAAGATTTAATGGGAAGGCTTTAGCAGAGACTCTTTTATACTGCAGAGTTCTGAGCTCAGACATTCTAATAACTACAGTAAATAACATACAGTAAATGTCATACCTGTTAAAAAATGCATCAACTTCATTTTGAAACTTAGTGTCAATCTCTTAGTATTTTTAATACAATAATACCAACAGGGGGAAAAGGGGCAGCTTGGCCCTCCAGGAGAAGCTGGACCTGCTGGTGATTCTGGCCAGCCTGGAAAAACTGGTCCTAAAGGTGCAAGAGGAACTCGAGGTCCCATGGTTAGTACAAAACATTCTTATTTGCAGAGGTCTTTCAGCACCAGAATGAGACCTGTTCACCTTTCCAGACAGAAACCTGGGGCATGGACCTGGAAGGAGCCACCTCAAGCTTTTGGTCATCTGGCAGTTATGGGAGTGGGATGGCAGAGCATACCATGGAACATTCATGTCTCACACTCCACATACCACCTCACTGCTGTGGGTGTTTATAAACCTTCCCAGTTCCAGGAACAAAAATCAAGGGGTTTGCTATCACATACCTTAGCCATGGCTGAAACAAAGCACTTCAGATGAAGGCTGCTACTCCTATCAAATAGGAATCTGGTCCAAAGCCAACTGAATTAAGTCTATATTCCATTAACTTTTAGCTCTTTTCATAGTAAGCTCCCCAGGCTTGCTCCATACTGTGTGGCAGATGCACAGAAGCATCCAGGCTCCCCACTAGAGAGGCAAAGTGCCTGTCTCAGTCCGGTCCTGTGGCCGCTGAATGCAGCAGTGTGCTCTCCTGAGCTCATGAAGTACAGAAGCAAAGTTTGATGTCCAATGGCCAATATTTTCAAGAGTAGGAGTCAACTTTCTGAGGTGATGACCACCCTCTTCTTCCCTTAGCATGCTAGTACTTATAAAGAGAGTTCTTCCTCACCTCTCAAAGCTCAGATCTATTTGATTTAATTATGCACAAAGACTATAAGGTTAGGACTCAAAACATTGACCAGTTTTTCCACAGAAGAATGAAAAGCCCAGTATTCTTTAATAAATGAAGTAGGACCTACAAGAAAGTTGTCCATGGTATCAAATGTCAATATTTCAAGATTTTTCCAAGTGCTTACTTTATATAGTAGGCATTGTTGTAGTACTCTACAAAGGAGCTCGTTTCTCTCTCTGATTACTGCATTTAACAGGGACATCTAGGAGGAATGGGACCTGAAGGAGAGCCAGGAATTCCAGGTTATGGGGTATGTTTTTTACTGAATTCATATACACATACATCCCAAAGTAGCTCTGTGGTATTCCAATTTCAAATATCCTAGGAATCTGTATCTAGACTACACAAATATTTTCAGGACTCACGTATGTTTATGTGGTGTGTTTGCCTACTCAGAACTGTTAGCCTTGAGCAAGGATGCCTGGCTTTTGTTAGTTTGCTCACAGGGGGGTTTTACCATAAACTTTAAACTGTTGTTTATCCAAAGTATCTCATCCCTCCTGAATAAAGTTCCTCTAAAGCTAATACAGCTATTCATTATAAAGAGAGCTCAGCAAGCACCACCACCTCTGCTTACTGTCTGGCCATGTAGTTTCCATTTAAGTAACAGAAACTGATTGAATGATGTTAGTTGAAGGACATAAAGATATTGTGGCTTTCACTGAAAAATGGCTGTGAAAATCATCATAGATTGAGTCATCCTCTTACAGAGCAGACTGTCCAGTCTCTTTTCCAAACAAAAACACCCATCACTGACCCCAATCTTGAAGCAAGAACCAGCCCAGCTCCCATCAGCTGCATTAAGCCCTATCAGAACTTGTAGTTCCCAGAGCTTTTCCTGCACACAGTCCATTTTCTGCCATTGATTTTGTTGTCATAACATGATTTAGAATAATTTTCAAGCAGAAAAAGAAATGTGGCAAGTAGCTAAAAGAAATTTTGGAATTAATTACTTTTTTAGTTTTTTTTTTAATACTTTGTGTTTGGTTTGTTTCTTTAGGGTCACCAGGGTCCTCCAGGGCCCTCAGGGCCCCCAGGCCCCAAAGGAGAAAAGGTATGAACATGGGTTTCACTGATCTGATTTGTGAAGTTATAAAGGGAGGAAATGTTACTGCACACCCACTGTTTTCCACAGCAAGCAGCAAAAGCCACCATTTGCAGTATTTGTTAGTGTTGTCAAAGACTAGGAAAAGAAATGCAAAGTGAGGAAATGGGTCATTCAGAGCTGGAGTCCAAAATTATACTGTTAAAATGTTTGAGGTTTTAAAGCACAAGGTACCCATTGTACAGAACACAGTCTATTGTATCAGACAGCACCACTGCCCTCAGCGAGCACTGCTGACAAAAATAATCAGTGCAGAACCAGCTAAATATTTACTTAACTCTGAGCCTGTGAGTACACCCACAGATTTGCCTGAAAGTCCAGCTAGGATGGACAAATGTCTGTGGTTAATATAAAATGTTAGGGACAGGATGTGGCCTCAGTACTGCTATTTTAGTGTCAAATTTATTGTTTTTCTCTCAAGTCTCAAATGCTGAAAACAGATTTGTATGCTCACTGAAACCCTTGTGATCTCAAGAGGGCAGGTACAGGGATTCACTTCATGAAGATTGGATTGGAGCTGCCCTTGACACAGAGCTACAACCTGGAGCGAGTTGTGCAATAAATAGTCTGAATAGGCATTTAGTGGCTGATGTTGTAAATAGGTTTTGATATGATTTAAGAAACAAAAACTGAAAACTGATTCGTTCACAGCTAAGTGTTTAGGTTGCTGGGTCACTTCTGAAAAACTACTTTGATGCACTGTAGAAGTCCTTAATCATATTTAAATTGTGAGTCTCTTTGCATTATTATTGCTAGGTATCATCTGGAATAGATAATCTTTTGTTTATTAACTTGGATGGCAGTTATTTCATATGTGAATTTTAATCCACTTCAGACTTAATGTTGGAGTCTTCTGTACTCTTGTTTTTCTTTCTATTACATGTATTTCTCAAAACAGTGGAAGAAATTTTCTTTTTTCCCCCTTGTCAAATATCCTGTTTATCCTTTTTTCATTAAACAGAGACATGATTGCATGGATATTGTTCAGTTAGTTGGTTTTTTTTTTCTTATAGCTGCCTTTGAGAATAAAGCAGATATTAGGTTTTTTTAGTCCTTAATGTCTTTGGGACATGTAGGTGAATGTCAAAATGGAGTTACCATATCTACTATATTAAACCATAAGGATCATATTCACTTTTAGCATCTATGCAACATCTTCTCTGCTTTTTATCAGCATTTGAACTTATGTGCATGGTAGATGAAGCTGAACTTCCAAGTTAACATTTTTTAATACTTTTCTTTGCTTTAGGGTTACCCAGGTGAAGACAATACAGTCCCTGGACTACCTGGGCCCATAGGTGAACCAGTAGGTCTTTCTTTCTCAAAAAAATTATACTAGTGCATCTCAAGACACGAGCAAATGCATTTATTTCTGAAGCTTTATATCATTGTCTCAGGAATCAGTACAAAAATATAGAATGATGGTCCTTTAATGAGTAGTCTCAGTCTGAAAATGCTGTTGTGTGCTCTTTCCTGCTTAAACAGCTGTGCCCTCTATTTAATTACATTAATGCCATTAGTCTGTGTTTAGATCAGCACATTTTAAAAAAGAATTTTACCCTGTTTAACCAGAGTTACACTTGATTGCTTTACTAATCAAAAATATGTTTTGACTTATTTCATTATCACTGCAAACTAATTCAGCTGATTTAGAGAACTGCATTTTGTAACCATTTTTGTACTGAATTCATATGTGGAGTGTATCTCTGCAGCATTTATGAGTCTGTCAAAATTATTAGTACAAACTTCAAAATTATTAGTACAAACTTCAAAATTAAAGCAGATTTTGAGTGCAGCAAGTCATTTCAGGAAAGGATCCAATTTTTAATGGATATGTCTTACAGAAGCCATAAGAGAGTTTTCCTTGCATGTCTTTCTTGAGACCAGAGTCACTTCATTTATCCATTCTAAGTTTAAGATTCTAAGTTTATACATACACACACACACACACACATATATATATATATACACATATATGTATATATATATATGTTTTATATATAAGTATAAATCTGGGGAAGTTCCACTGAAGTCAATTCTCCCTCCTGTTTCATTAAGCACCATCTAATATTTATCTTTTAGCTTCTAGTCTTCAGTTACAAAAAATTTTAGACTGTGGCTACTGTATGACTGCAATGCATTCTGTTTAGAAAAATATCATGTTTATTCCTTTATCCAAGCTACCCTTTATGTTTGCATTCCTCAGTTCCCTCTCAGTGGATAGTTGAAGAGAAATCCCAGCTTTCTGTTCATATTTCACTGCAGCATTATATTCAGTTCAGCTGTTACAGTTTGCTCCCTGGTTTGCTCTCTAGGGTCGAAGTGGTGAGCGTGGAGATAGAGGAGAGCCTGGTGATGAGGGCTACAAGGTAATACCTCTTGGGTTTTATCTTTTGATTTGAGCTTGGCATGCTCTGCAGACATGTGGAGTAATGCAGCAGCAGTGTCACCTTCCCTCACAACTGTGCAGGGATGCCTGTGCTGGTCCCTCACTGCTCTGCTGCACTCCTGAACACCCTGAGCATCTTTCCTGGGGGGACATGGGAGCTTCAGCTCCTCAGCTGGAGGAGACTCCAGTGACCTTAGTGTGTGCAAGTACCTGATGGGAGGAAATGAAGATGAGGTAGACAGGCTTGTCTCTATAGTGTCCAGTGACAGGACAGGAGGCAAAGGGCAAAAACTGAAACACATGAAATTCCTTTTGAAATGTTTGGTTTTTTGGGTTGTTTTTTTTTTTTGGTGGTTTTTGTTTTTTTGTTTTTTTTTTTTTTTTTTTTGTTTTGTTTTTTTTTGGTTTTTTTTTGTTGTTGTTGTTGTTGTTGTTTTTTTTTTTTACTATGAAGATGACTGAGCACCAGAACAGGCTGCCCAGAGAGGTTGTGGGGTCTCTATCTGTGGAAATACTGCAAACTTGACTAGACATGGTCCTGGACAATCATTTCTAGCTGGGCTTGCTTGAGAAAGAGGCCATAAATTATCTGAAAATGCCACTTTTAACTTAAACAGTTCTGTGTTTCTGTAATACTGTATTAGTTAACATTTTTCCCTGAAATTTAAGCACTACTTATTTAAAATCTAATCCTAAAAATGATTCATGAATTATATTCAGTCTTTCAGCAATAAAAATTGGATGGTAACTCATGCTTATCACTGATGCAGTTCACTGAAATACGAGACAGTCCTTGACAGGGAATATCCAAGTTACACAGTAGTACAGACAGACATAGTAATTAATGAATGAACCAAATCTATGTTTACAGAAGTGCAGACATGTTTAAACAATATGTAATTCCCACTTGCAGCTTGGAGTAGAAAATGTAAAGAATAAAAACTCTGTAGAGTTTGATCTTGGAGATCTGACCATACTTTATGTATTTATGTAGGTTGTGTCAATGAATCTAGGTCCACCTGACTCCTCCCAGGATGGGCTTTACAAGGAAGCCTGCAGCTCACTAAGCATGGCAGCCTGAGTTACTCTGCTGCAATATGTTATATTTTCTCTTTCCCAGGGTCATACAGGTCTTCCAGGGCTTAGAGGACCTATTGGACAACAAGGACCTCCAGTAAGTATTTCAAACAAGGGAGATTTCTCTATTGACTGTTGAAAATATGTTTTCATTTGCATTCAAATGATTCCTGGAATTTATTTAATGTATGTTCTTTTCAAAGGGAGAGCCAGGTGAATTGGGAGAGCAAGGACTAAAAGGAGAAAGAGGTTCAGAAGTAAGTAGAAAAAAGTAAACCAAAACTGCACTTACCTGGAATTTGTAGGGTTTTTGTTGTTCTCTGGCTATCTTTGGAAAACTGTTCCATAAGGCTAAAACTGAGTGTTTGGGTTTCCTTTTCATACCTGCAGGGACAAAATGAAATATAAAGTGGAAAATTGCATAATGATCTTGGTTAGTAAATAGGTGTTATTTGATAGGTAAGTAGTTTTACTTTGGAGTGATATCAAGCATTATGAGAAGCTCTTTTGGAAACATTTGAATGATATTTAATTATCCCCTAAAGTGGAGTTTCTTGTGTTTAAGTAGCTCTGGAGGCCAACTGGGATTTTGCTTCTCTGATCTGTAAATGAAGCCTCCTGGTACTGCACTGCACTGAATTCTCAGAGACCTGGGAATAAGGAATTTGCTACAGAATATAGAGAAATAATGACAGAGCAAGTTATGACAAAGATCAAAGACCAAATCTTTTTCTTTAGAAATATTAGCTCATCTTGGTGGTGTGTTGAAAATTGCCAGAAGTGTTTATGTTCTTCCACGGACTGAATGTCATTGGCTTTTGAGATTTCAAAAGATTTTGGCTATAAGATTTCTTAAAATACCAATTACCATTGCAATTTAAATGACATAGTTTGTCTGAAAAGTTCCATGAAGCAACTCTGTTAGAGTTTCAACATTTTGTAGGTATCTACAAGAATCTGTAGTAGACTGGAACTGGGGAGCAACAGGAAGGAAGCCTGGTGTGGAGACGTGAACATGTACTTCAGCTGTGAACTTGGATATATTGCTCTTACAAACTACTCCCATCCCAGGACAAAATCAGCAGTTCCTCTTGAAGAAATGTTTTCTTTGTCTTGCAAATGCCCCTCAGATCAATACTGCAATTTACTAATGTAGAACCAATACCCAGCATGGGGCTGCCCATGAGAGCTTAAAGATTTCCACAGAAGTGTTAGTAGTGAGCACAGTGACAGCCTTACCTGCAGTGCCACTGCTGGTGCTGCCATAGCAAGCCTTGCAAAGCTAACCCCACCAACTGCAACACTGAATCAGCTGGGTTTTCTTTACACGCATCCAGAAATCTTAAGGAAAACAATCTTAAGTAATTTGAATATGCACATTCCAGTTCTGACTTGTGGACTTCTTTATACCATTCTTAACAAAAAAGGTGTTAAATTGACAATAGAACAACATTTTGCTGGTTTTGTCATATTTGCATAATTAGAAAACATTTACACTTAAAATAACCTAGGCTTTTTCACTTTATTGCATGTTGTGTCATTGCAGCATGGTAGTGATAGCATAACTTTTAAGAAGTGTTTTTGAAATAGTTAGCCTAGAAAATCTTGGAAAACTTTTTCTACTTGTTCTATGCTAAAAAGTGTTATACTTGTTCCTGTTCTTCAGTGGTTGCATCTTTTAGAGGTAGGATAAAATTGATGCTATAAATCTTTATATTCTGTGCAGACTATCCTATAGCAAAGTTCTCTGAGAAGCTTTTGACCATTCTGAGCTTTTCTTCCTTGGTGCATGACCTCCTGTGCCACTAAACCACTTACAAGAATGTTATCTGCTCAGTATCTCTCAGTTTTCTAAGACTACCAATTTCTAGATCAGTAAAGATGAAAATAATTCTGGTTTTAAGCAAATTTTATCTTTTTTGTAGTTAGATACAAACAAATGTTCACATCTGTGATATATGACATTATTGTTTTCTAGTATTCTCTTCCAGAGATATTCAGTGCATTTACATTGCCTACTTTTCATGACTTCCCTTTTGAAGAGTACAGGAAATGCAATAAAAGTGCACTTCCTCACAGAGGGGGGGCTGATTCAGGGGAAATTACCAGATTCATGATGAAAAACATTTTATGATTATTGTTGGAAAAGTTCTAAAAACTGGTTCACAACAGGGAAAAAACATACACAATTCTGCCAAAAATGTATTTGCTTTTACTTGAAAAACTTTCTGCTGTCTCCTGAAATGAGAATAATCTGGTCCAAAGCCAGGCAATGTGAACATGAATACTAGAGGGGAACAATCCTCAGCTCCTCTTAGGGGATTGAATTTTAGACATTTGTCAGTTCACAACTATTTGTGACTTCTAGGGACATACAGGGAAGAAAGGAGCAACAGGTCAAGCAGGCAAAGCTGGATTTCCTGTAAGTAACAAAATTCTACAGCCTATTTTCAAACTATAAAACAAAGAAAATACTAACTAATCAAACTAGAATTGAATCATGTCAGGGTTACCAGAAGGTCTTGTGTTCACTCTGAAGAACCTTTTTATTTTCCATATTCATTTTTGAATATGAATGATTTTTGAAATTTTGTTAAATTATACTGAATTATATTCAGTTACTCAGCATATGGAAGTGATGTGCAACTAACAACAAGGTCCTTACCACTTGTGAAGTTATTTAATTGGCTCATTTGTGGAGTCTATTTGGAAGTTACCACATTATATTGCACAGAACTGTACTTGTGTTCACTTCTGACCCCATCAGTTCTTTGATCCACTGCAGCCTACAGAAGTTTGGATCCTTATGTCCATGATGGATACATGTGGTAGATGCCTTGAGGTATATTTATTTCTTTTGCTTGCCCTGAGCTGAAATTTTAATGTTTTTTACTTGAGTAACTGCAGAGGAGCTGACTTGCATGCCCTTCTCCCTGAGGGAGAAACCAGAGCAGGAAGCAGTAGGTGTCCTGTAAACATAACCAAGAACAAAATGCATCAAGGTTATTTTGGTCCCCTAATAAATAACGCCACACAAGCACATATTGTAAATAACTTTTACAACCTCACATCAAAACATTGTCAGTAACTGGAGAAAAGCAGCTGTTGCACAGAGCTTGTACCTGCTGGGCAGAGTGCAAGAGGAGCCTTTTGAAGACAAGGAACTGTGTGTCCTTTGGAAATACTCAGCATTTTCTTTTGGAGGGCTGCAGGGATCATTCAGCAGGCAAAGGAGAAATAGGAAAGTGGGACATACAGAGAAATGAGGATACAGTAAAACTAGAACTTGAGGAAGCTTCAAAGCACATCCCAAATGAGGCCTTTTTTGTGCAAGTATAGCAACAGTTACCACAAACTTGCCATATTACAAATTTGTATTTTTGATATGTTCAAATTTGAGCAGCATAAATTTGTGAAAGTCCAGTACTGAGCATTTAGTAAAATAAAAGGTAAAAAGGTGTATGGTTGGGTTTTTTCCAGGGATAAATAGATGACTTTATCAGGATTCCTCACTTCATTTTAAGAATTGACACTCTCAGGCATCTTCCAGGCTGGCACATGAATCAGTCCCATGATTTCAGCTGAAGTTGCTCAGATCCCATGGCAGGGCAAGTCTAAGGTTAAACCAGTAGAATTCTAAAGCAAACATCCTAACTCAGAGCTCCCTCAGCAACTACTCATTCATATCACTGGGTCTGTTGTTATGTGGGATTTAGGAACTACTGTGACTGAAATCCAGTTGTGGGAGGGTGAAGATGAAAAGAGCAAACTGTGCTATATTGGATTTGAATTTTTTTCAAGGGAAAACCGGGGCCACCAGGGCAGAAAGGAGTAGTTGGGTACCCTGGACCAGAGGGCATTCCTGGGAACCCTGGAAAGACTGGGCTGTCGGGGAAGCCTGGCCCTAAGGTAAGTTGCTTTCCACATTTCCTCAATGTCATTTTGCATTTTACAGAATTTTCCAGGGTTAAGGTATTTAAAAGGAAGAGACCACTCTCTGTTCCCGGAGTATCTTGGAAATTAGACCAATTTTTTATTTTCCTTCTCTTTTGCTCCTAATATTCCAGCCAAGATATAAAGTTAGTGTAAGGGAAGTGTGCTGTGAGAACAGTTTCATTGGAATATGACAGTAGTAACTATAGCTAAGTGAAAGTCATTTCTTAGAGAGGCTGCACAATTCTGGTCCTGAACATTAGCTTAACTGAGACTATTTCCTCTTAGGGTCTGAGATAATCCCACATTTCTTTATTGACTCTGCATTTGTAACCTATGTCTCTCCACCTAAATAATTATGAAGCTATGTCCAAAGTCAGTGAAATAGAGTATTAGGTATGTGAGGTATCTAAAAGCATTCTTGGAAATGGGTTTTTTGTCTGACTGTTTTTTGCTGTGGGCCAAAGGTGGTGACTTGCTGCCACTGGGAGCAGTGACACAGATCTTCAACTAGTCCCTTCAGGGAGGGGGAGAAGATTCCTTGAGTAGTTCTCATCATTGAAAGTCTGACCATTTTGATTTCCAGTATGAATTTCTCAGTAGTTCTACCCAGATGGATCAGTAATTGTTATAAAATATTACTGAGTTAGACTTGGAGTTAGGAATTAGCCAAGGTGCTGGATGAGGCACTGTTGTTTCAGGTATGAATTTCCAATCTGGTTGAGTAAAGAGAAAATTAAACAAGTTACCCGTAGGGGGCAGGTGCACCCTACTCAAGCTTCTCCACTCTCAGGTCATGAACCTCTTCCAAGTTCTTAAAATTCTTTGGAGCTGGATTTAGGAGAATCACCCCAAAGGATTTTTACATTTTTGCCTTTCCACAGAAAATGTCATACAATCATGGTAAAGACAACTCCATTACCCCATTACAGTTTGTACAAAGAGAGGTTTATAACTGATTTTTGCCGCAATGAATAAAAAGAGCAGAACTTTTGCTATGTAAGTTTATCAGTCCATCAATCTATAAGCCACATCACCATATTCAAAATCAAAAAAAATGACATTTAATACAAAAATCATGTTTTATACAACCTTTTTATTTCTATGAGTGCTTAACTGAATGTCATAGGAAATAAGGAAGATTTATATATGCTTATATTTCTATTAAATTACACCACAGAAATATTCATTTGTATGGTAGCAAATTTCCATTTTGTGGCATGTCAAAAGTGGCTAAACTCCACCTACTCACTAACAGGTTTTTTCATTTAAAATAGTTGCTTTTGTTGATAGGTTGATGTTCTCATACAATTTCATAACAAATGTTCTGGTCTTTCTTCATCTGGTAATGTTATTGTGTGTGAATCTTTACAGAGTCCACACAACCATACTAGTATTACCAGCATGCCTGTTCCTTAGAAATAAACATGTTGCATTTTGAATATTTCTTTGGGAAGGTAGTCTCATTCTGTTTCATGTGGAGTTATTTCTTCTTAAAAGATGAATACTGAGAAGTTCAAACAATTTTCAGCCTTTTAATTTTGGAATATTTGCAGAAATCCACATGATACCGCTGATCATTGTCTTTCTATATATTTTGACGTACTACCATTGTGTGTCCATATATACAGACAGCATTAAGTGGTTTTGGCTGATTTTATGTAATTTTCCTGTTTCAGCATACAATGAAAAAGCATGCTTGACTGTTCTACATGTAACCCATTATTTTCAATTTGTTAAGGGCAATAAAGGAAACTCAGGCTTACCAGGTCTAGCAGGTTATCCTGGAGCTCGAGGTCCCAAGGGATTGCCAGGCATGCCAGGGCCCATGGGAGCACCTGGACTAAAGGTAGGTACATACATGGGATCTGGTTGTTTAATTGCAGTTTTGCTGATACTGCTTATTCTTCATGCTGCATTTGGTGGCTGTGGAGCCACCACACTGCTGTTAATCATGTGAGTAAAAGACATCAAGCCTTATTTGAAGGGTAAGATTACAAGTTGTGTTTACAACATTTCTATAAACTGTAACTTGAAAATAGAGGTCTCATCCATCTGAATGCTATTCCCAACTCCAGAAGCCATCAAAACACTTAGTATTTGTTCACTCCAGCTTTAGGGTCAGATGTTTCCTGACTTATTTCTAAACTTCGGTAGCTACTAAACAGTCAGGATGATTCAAACATTTCAGCAATCTAATAGCAGAGAATTACCATAACTTCAAGCCTAAGTTTCAGGTTTGGGGGCTAATAAGTATATCATTTATCACAGGACTTAAATTGGGTTTTTTTAGGCCTTTCAGAAATAAAGAAATCTGAGTGTGTTCCATTTTCCAGGCAGTTCCAGGTATCTGATATCAGCATATCCTCATATAAATTAGACTCATTTCAATTTTAAAACAAGAAAACAAGTAACAATTACAGATGATTTTCTTAATTTTGAATAGAATTTTCTTTATTTACAACAGAATTTTTTTATCTAAAATCATTATTTTTATCTTAGCTCATTTTCTTTGTGAGATTTTATTGATAAGCTGTTCTTTAAAACCTTAAGTTACTTGGAAACTGGCGATAATGTCTTTGTTATCATTTTCTTTAGTATAAACTGTGTTCATTATTTGCAGTGTTTATTGCCAGTGCCTTCAGTCTGAATTTTACTTCTTTGCCTAGGCAATGAGCTGTAGGAAGTAATTCCTGCTCAGAAGTGCCTGCAATCTGAGAAAGGCAAGGAATAGATGAGTTGAGGGCAAACTGTTGCCACATATACTACAGAATAAGCATTAATAATGCAGATACTGACTCAAGGCAAGTAACACAAAGGTAAAACTTGGGAAAGAGCATCAGCACAAAGCATGAAACCTGTATCTTCACAGCTTTTATTGCACCTCAAAAACCTCCTGAGCTAGACATGTCTTCAGTGTATTTGATAGTCCTCAGAGGATTTCTCTTGCAGGAACCTGTCTAGTTCCCATTTGAATCAATGCGGATTTTTAGTCTAACAGCAGGGACTTCAACAAGCACAACTGTGTCTTGCTCAGAGGATTATTTTTAAAATTCACTTTTAACCTGTCTGTTCTGTATTTAATTTTGTGAATTTTACTGATTACACTGAGAGATACCATACTAGAATTGATCCAACATGTATGGTTTTTATATTTCCAAGTCAAGGAGCAGTCAAGTCACTGCTTTTGCATTTTAGTGTATGCTTAATTATTTTCCTGCGGGAAATAAAATAAATGCAGTAAGAGTATTTCTTAAGGGGAAAGCAAGTTCCATGCTTCTGACAGGAAACCTGTATTTGCATCTGCAACTTCCATAATTCTATTAAAATATATATTTTCTTCTTATTGGCAGGGTGAGAAAGGGCTTCTAGGTCATCCAGGAAAGCGAGGCACAAGAGGCCTTCCAGGATCAGCAGGTGACCAAGGACCAGCAGGAGAGCCTGGGCTGAAAGGACAGATTGTATGTAATCACAGTGGTTGATGCAAAACAAGCAGTTCAAGAGCTAGCAAGGTGAACTAATGCTAAGGATGCCTGCTCCTATTGCAGGGAGAAGATGGAGATCAAGGTTTAATGGGGTTTCAAGGATTCCCAGGTCCAAAAGTATGTGCTCGTTCTTTTGTCTTAGATTGTAAGCTATTTACAGAGTGAGAACATTATGAAAGCATGGAATTAATCAGCTTTAACACTAATTTGTTCAAAATATCTCTGGATTGTTGGAACATGGTAGGCAGAACTGTGTACTCCCTGTCTCAGGACAGACATTCTGGGTCAGTGCACTTGATATTTTCACTCTTACTGCTCTTAGAACTTATCTTCCTTTCACTGATTGCAAGAGTTTGAAACAAGTGGGTAGCTAATGTCCATGTTGGATTAAACTGTTCCTTTGCATTTTCAGGGCCCTGCAGGGGACATTGGCTTAGTTGGAATTCTGGGCCCGAAAGGTCCAACAGGCCAAGTTGTAAGTGTTTCACTACATGAAAGAGATTGTTTGGATGGTTTGAAAGTGGCACATGCTTTTAACATAGAAAATAATCCTTTTTCTTATTAACAAGGCCAGAAGTCTCTACCCAAACCTTTCTGTCTGAGTCTAGAAGCAACACTGCTCTGGTTACATCGTGCACACAGACACACAAACAGAGCTGGGCCCTTAATCTTGAAAGCAAAAAGCAGGCTCTGCTGACTAAGTGTGGCTCTCCTAGTGTAATCTTTATGACCTTGTATTTCTTTATCTGTTGAACATTCTTCTTACTGGCAAAACTGCCCATTGTGTAACTGTGTTCTACAGCAAAAGAAAATAGGGACCAAACTTTCCCTGTAGTAAGACACAGTGGTGCTCAGGCATTATTGATTAATAGTAGGTAGTCTTTTTTTAATGAAGATTTTCATTTTATCTAAAATGTTCCTAACCTCCACTAGCTCATTCTTCATGATATTCTGCTTTGCTACTCACCCAAAACCGTGGAAGCATCGTGAGCATTTTTTGCATCCAGTGTGGGATCAAGTGTGAAAGGCTGAACCTTGGGAGGCCTTACTACAGCATGTTCTCTCACTGCCACTTTGCCATCACAGAACTGAATTTTTCAGTTAACCAGGTGCAGAGCAGCAGCTTTTCTAATAGCTACTTTATTTTTCTAAACATTCCTATATGAGATAAACACTGGACACGAGCAGTTTGCTCTAAGTGAAATGGAACTGAAAAGTGGCATTTTAGCAGCACTTACTGGCAGCCATACAAGAGTCCTCATGGGCAGTAATATAGCTCAAGATAGAGTTGGTTGTAGCTCAATAAATATGTGGTCTTTTGTAATCAGAGTGCTTAAGTTTCCACTGTTTTTAGTGCATCACTTTTCACATTAAAGAATGTGTGGGGGCTTTCCAAGCATAAGTATTACAAATTACCAAAGTATTTACCTTACTGATTTTGTTGTAATGTGCACTCAGTATTTAGAGAGTACCACCATGATCTTTTGGATATTTGACAGGTCTGTGTGCTGAGCAACTTTAAATCAGGACATGTCATGAGGATTTTCTTCATTTTGGAAACATAGTCAACTAATAAATTCTTTGCTTGTTTACAGGGATATATTGGCCCTGTTGGTCAAGAAGGCATAGCAGGCCCAACTGGCAGACCTGTAAGTTTCCCTTCACTTTTGCATAATTTGTTTGTTTCATTACCCTTTGATTTAATCATCTTGTTTTTCAACTAGCAACCTTCTTATTTTTCTGTTTGTCAATAGCAACATGTTACACCATGCTGGTAAGTTAATGTATGTGACTCTAGCATTTGTAGTACAAACAAGAAAAAAATGACCAAAACCAGTAACAAAAAAGTAATTGCAGTGGCCTTCTGCCAAAGTACAGCATGCAGACAGCACGTGTACAGGGGCAGTGGCAAGCCAAGGTGTAAAACAGCGCACAGGAATTGCCACCTGGATATTCTTTTTCAGCCTTTGGTCTGAGATATATCTACAAAATATCCACACTCAGTTTCAATATAGTTTATTTTTCATTTCTTGTGGGCTGAACTGTTCAGAGTGCCCCTCTAGACACTCTGGGAGTGCCTGTGAGCCCTTGTAATGCTGTTCCAGGTGCTGATGAGGTCCCTGTTACACTTCAAACATCATTGTGGCCTCTCTGACAGCTTCCAGTGCACCCCAGGCTCCCTGCACTGGGGGACCTCTGCCCTCATTCCTGTTTCCATCTCTTGTCACACTCATGGTACCAGAGCCAGATTTGTTTTGCAAGAGAACCCCTTGGCTCATGTCTCCAGACCACCAACCATATAAGGCAGTTTTAGAAACTCTTTGTACCATGAATGTTCCTCTGCCTGATCAAGTAAACTTGGAGTAAATGAGAATGTCTAAAATTCAAAATAATCATAAAAATAGTAAATATGCAATAAAAGTAATAAATGCAAATATTTACAAGGGAAATAGAAAGAAGTGGAATGTCTCTTATATAATTCTTTCCACTTGTTGGAAAAATCAGTACTTTGTCTTGCTCCATTCTTTTCAATTGCACTGAGGAGAAAAACTTTACAGCTGTGTGCGCTTGTATGAAGGCTTTTAACAGACTTCATATTGAATGTAAAAGTTTGCCATTATCATCAAGGAAGCATTTTAGTTGAAGTTTGCTTCTACATGTTATGAAACGCAGCCATTAAGATGCAAAATTTTTCCAGAGAAGAACTTTTAGATTGTTGCCATCCTTGGGAACATAAGTGCAAAACCAGCCACAAACAGGGACAGAAAAATAGCATCTAATCTGATTATGACAGTAGAACTAATAACATAGTAAAAACATATGTGATGAATGGATTTCTTCAGTGATGGAGAGTATTGAGTTTTGTTCTCTAAAGATGTTGAATGTGGATGAAATTGTGGAGAACACAGCTGATTGACAGACAACAGATAAAATTACTGAGAGTAAACATACTCACAAGCTGAAGAACACAGCTTTCCACATATACGAATCACAAGATGTTTTCAACTAATTTCAATTTCTAGTGGTACTGGAAAATTAAACCCCCAGAGCTGTAAATACTTCCACAGATGAGACTGGACTTTTCATGTGAGCAGTATAATTCTCATGGATATTAATCTGCTTATTTCAGTCCTAGGCAGCTAGAAAGCATATCAGATTAACAGCTGCTCTCTTTTACAGGGACCAAGAGGTGAAAAGGGCACGAGGGGTGAAATGGTAAGATGAAACGACTTTTGTGCTTTCATTCTTTTGGCTGTGTAAAATCTATTTCTGTGTTGGGTTGAATATGCTCTGCATGCCAGGCAGTCGTGTTGTGCTCCTGGAGAGCACTGCCCAGGAAAGCTGGCAGCCTGGGTTAGAAGTGTGACCCTCTTGTTCAAGTTGACTTAAGCAGATATGCCCAGTGGGTGTGAGCTGCTGGGCCCTGGTCATACAGCAGTTTGGAGCATACTTCAAATCTGTCTATGTTCAGATCTAAAAGGAAAATCTTGAGTCCTATTTGCTGTCAAAGATCTAGTGGCTCACAGCATGCACATGGTCCTAGATCTGGATCTTCTTGTCTAGAAAGGGAGAAGCTCAGGAGAAGCCCAGACCTGCAGGTGGGTGTCCATGCAATGCATTCCAGCTGTAGGAATTGTGGGCAGCACTGATGGGTTATGAATTTGCTGTTTCATTTTTCAGCAAGAGTTGTTCTACGTTCGTGAATGTTTGATTTAATGTTAAATTTTGTTAGAGCCAGTAAAGTCTCCAATTAATTATGGCTATGTGAAAAGTCATTAAGTTATCATATTTAAAACAAATTTATGAACACAAAGTTGATAACTATATTACCTTCTATGACAGATGTATAATTAGTTCATTTTCCACTAACTAGCAGATGTGATCCTGTTCCTGTTTCTCTTACCCTGCCTTTCACCCCATCTCATTTAAAATTATTTCGTTTCACTTATTGTATTTTGCTTTTAGCAGCCACCTCCAAAAATTCAATCAAACTGCCTTATAAAATTTTGAAAAATGAATCTGAAATATTCAAAACATTTTAAAGAGCTAAAGCTTGGAAAGAAGCTTCTTTCTGCATCTTGGAGAACTCCCCTCTTTAATTCTAATGCTCTTGAGGCAATTGCTATCTCAGAATAAGAGGAAAGCTGTTTTCTCAATTTGCTGCTATCCATCTTAGCTGTCTTTTTCTACTGTTTGTTCATAAGAATTGTTATGACAGCATAAAGCTAAAAATGCTGACACTTAAAAAAAAGATCCAAGAATAATCCTTAAAAAAAACATCCAGAATGGTGAACAAGAAACATCTGTTTCCATTATTGGTGCTGGTGTTTAAGAAGTTATTTCCTAAATAAGTTCTTGAATTCCTCATGATGAGTTAATCTAGTAAGGCTGTCTTCAGAAGAAGAATGTTTAATTTTAAGTCATATACAGTGACATTACTTTCCCCCAAAAAAGGGATTTATTTCCAACTACTATTTGGTCTCAAAGGAGACCAAATTTTTTTTTCATCCAACTGTGTATTCTGAGCTTTAATTTATACCTTTAAAATTTATATTGGCATTCTTCCTAGAATCACATAGATTTTAACCTCTTTGTAGTATATTTAGTTAGATTTTTCAGTCTGTCAGGGTTACAGAGTTCAGTACTTGCAAGAAATGTCCTTTTATCCCCAGAAAGACATGGAATGCAAAATCATGTCTTCTTATTGAGGCCAGTGGTAAAGCACACATTCTTTGTTAAAAATACACTCCTCAAGAATTTAAAAATTCTTAGAAAATATGAATGTCCTTGGGATTGCTCATGCTTTCATAGTTAAGTGTATGTACTATTGTATGTAAAGTCAGGGCCTCTCAGCATTAGTAAAAGATTGGGATTTTGGCCTTTGAACTCTTCTGTTCAATCAAATGGAGTGATTAAAGAATTAAGAACACCCTGAAACTAACTGGTTTAGTCTCTGCTTTTGTTTTCATGGACTGGAATTACACTTTTCTCACTTAAATTCTAACGCGACCAAAGGTTAAGTAGATTTGTAAAAGTAATCCAGTACATTCCAGTAAAACATTTAGCAATTAACTTAGTTCATGAAAAGTGTAATTTAGCCTCATTTTTCTGCTCTGCAGCAGAAAGAAAGAACATTGGTAAAATCCCTACTCTGTGCAGTATCATTATATTTGAAAGATTTGTAAAGATAATTGCTATAGCTCTCTGAAGTTTAATGCATTTAAGAAATGTGATATTCCACAAAGTAGTTCACAAATAGCATTCACTATTTACCTCCTTTTTTTTCCCATGGGTTTTACTGGCAAGGAGACAGTGGATCAAGACAAATGACATTCCTCTTTTGCGAAATACCTTAAACTCATTGGAACAGTGCAGGTTTTTATTTTTAAAACATTCAGTTCTATCTCAGAAACCACTATAAAATTGAACCACTCTTGTCCCAAGACTTCTTGAGTCTTTTAAAGGTGACATATGCCAAGAACACAGAACATTAACTGAAGCATTCAGTCATCTGAAAAATATACTGGAATGTCTAAATCTCAGCATTCAGAACAAGGACATCTATTCATCCAAGAGCAGTGGTTACTTAGGGACAAACTGTTGAAGACTTTTTACCTTTCCTTGATTTGGTATTTGAATAATCAAGTCCTGAACCAAGATAAACAAATATATCCTTACAATGTCAAATTTGTTTCTCAAGATTCTTTTTCACACTTTCTCTTTCATTTTATTCTAAACATACTTGGCCAAGCATGATCAGACAGGCCAGTAATATATTCACATGAGACTGAAGGTATCCTGGAGCAGTCTAACAGCACCTGACCTGATTAATTAAATGTGGAGTAGGCCTTCCCAGCTGGCATACAACAGTATAGCTCTGAAACTCAATTGATTTGCAACAGCTGAGGAACTATGCCAGAATAATGAATGTAATCTGTGTAGACTCGGAACAGTTTTCTAATAATGAATAACAAAAATATTTTATGCATATTTAATAATAATAGGATCTCAAAGAAATTTCAAGCTGGGCAATAAGCAAACTCAGAAAAGTAATGACAGCTAGTTACTTCACACAGAACCCACAGGGATATCCATACTATTAGTATGGATATCTACATACTACATATGCTAAAATTACTTGTTCTTCTATTTTCTTTTGCCAACATTAATGATTACCATTTTTATAAAGAAGTTAATCATTAAATATCTACTTAAAAGATGGCTTCCAGTCCCTTCTGTAGGTGTAAGGGGATGAAACATAAATAAATAGGGTCAGGATCTATCAGCTGAAAAGCTCACAATAAATAAATAAATGAATAAAAAAGCTCACAATCCATAGACCTTATCTGATTAAGGTCTTCTCGGTTAAGTATCAGAAAATCATCTACCTAAACATCCAGAAATTGCTTCAGTTTTGAATTTCCTCTATTCTCCAAGGAACACATACAAGACATGGATCTTCCCTCAAAGCCATTTGAGGCAACATAGCCATCAACATAGCCTTGCATAGAGCTGGTGCTTGAAATTACAGGATGGCCCCAGTTTTTGCATCCTTCATGATGCAGCAGCTGAGCCCTCGGCACGGCCAGGGCAGGTGATGTGCAGACACGCTTCACTTGTGCAGCTGCCACTGTAGCCCCCAGCAGATGCATTCCCTGGCACCACCACGTGCTCTGCCTCAGGACCTAAGTACTGATAAATTTGCAGCCTCAGTGACTTAGGTACATTGCTCCTATCTGGTTTGAGATCCTATTTTAAAATATGCATGAATTAATATTAGATTTAATCTGGTGTTTCTTTAACCATTTCCAGCTTCCCTTGCTTTTGGCAGCTTGAGCACAACCCAAGTTCAGCAGTTGTAGCATGAAGTGACACTCACAGAGACCTTGCTTGCTGTGAAATCTCACAGCAGAAACACTTGTTATTACTTTATCAAGTGATTTACAGCTTAATTCCTATTTGACTAGATCAGTTTCACAACGTTTGTCAGCGTGACCACGTCACATCAGATTATTTCACTTTTGGCAGAGATTTTGTTCTAGCATGACCGTCCTGACGTATGAGGGCTTTGTTGGAACAGCTTATTGTGCTCAAGTAATTGGTACAAGCAGCACTGACAAAAGAATGTCCTGCTTAAATTGACTTAGCTGTGTTGAAAGGGTTTTAGTAATTTAAGGTGCAGATCTAGCCCATGCCTTTCATTCCTTCTCTTTTTCTCTTCTTAAGGCACTGCCACCTATTCTTTTCCTTGTGATCATTTGTGCCATTGTTTGTTACAATAGCTCCAAGAAGATTTGAGTATGTAGAGCTTGAAGAACCTAACAGAGACACGATTGTCACTGCATATTAATAAATGTCCAGAACCAATTCTAGCTCAATGTGAATAGTTGAATAAATATTTGAAAGAATGATTAAGATGGGTTTATTGTACTGGAAAGGTCCATGTTCAATCCTAAGGCAGCCTAAAACACAGATTTACGTGCATTGTAGGCACTGTAAGCTAGGGAAAAGCAGTTCCTTCTCCTCCTCTCCTCTGCAATCATCCTACACACTAAAATAAGGGCATAACTTCTTGAATAAAGAGGAAGTTTGCCATATCACTGTAAAACAATGAACGAAACATGTTCTGGCTGAAAATTGACACTGCTGATAAATTAAACTGATAAAAGCCTGGCACATACTCATGGATTAAAATGGATCAGTTAGTTTTTTGCAGTTACTGATAACATTATTTACAATGTTCTTGTGATTATTTACCCCTTCTAGTACTTATCTTCTCAGCATACATATAACACTGGCACAATGTATAGCACATTATATATTGATACTTTCTATGACCTTTAATGTTCCCTTCATATCAGAAGTAATTGGAGAAACTAGGAACCAGACAACACAGGAATTCCAACACAAATATTCATATGGTAAATACTAATAAGCCACAACTTTATCACAGCTGATATCACACCTTCTTCCTTATACACAATGGGACGTGTTTGTGATTTAATAAATACATAAATATAAAACCAGAGACTTTAATGTATAACTATTGCATTCTATATCCATTTCTTCTAGGGGCCTCAGGGACGGCAGGGCCAGCCTGGGCCACCTGTAAGTGCATAAAAAACTCTGCCTGTATTTTTCCATTTTGATTATACTATATAAAGATGTGAAGCACCTAATATATGTTTTTTCCCATTTTCCAGGGACCACCTGGACCACCAGGACCAAGGGTAAATTCTGTAACAAGCCTAACCTACCCTAACCAGTGCTTTATTGAAAGGGAAAATAACAGGATCCTCTTCAAATGTACTCCTTGTTCCACTGTTCAAAGAATTTACCACCTGCACTTTTGTATATTCTTTTTCATCACTTTATATTCTGAAATACCTGTTTTTTAGAAACAAGTGGATCTCAATGCTGCTGTTCAAGCTTTGTTTGAGTCAAATGCTGCCTTGCAGATGGAGGTATATATTTAAATGTATTTACATTATCATACAGGGAATGCAATTATAATTTTATTTTTTGAGGACATAACAGTTTCTTTTCAAAGACTTAGTTTAAATTAATAACTGATAGCAAGTTATAGAATGTAATGAAACATGCTAGGATTTACAGGATAGAGTTGAAATGAAATTAAGACAAGCAGCAAGATTTCTACCTTTTGTGATAATTGGTAGTAGTGAAAATTTACTATCACACATAGTGGACTGTATCTGTTCAGACATAGATAACAATAGTAGCATTTAGGGTTTGATAAAGAAAAATCAACATATAGGTATCTGGCTGCATTGGTTGCATGAAAATCCCTTATATGGGTGAAGTCAAATAATTGTGCATATATTTTTTAGGTTAAGTCCAAGAGTAAATTTCGCTATTTCAAATCTGAAATCTCTAAGTTTACTTTAAAAATGCACCAAATTTTTCCTTTTCTTCCTTGTATCCATATTTTTATGTCAATAGATCATAATGACAAATTTGCATGACCTAAACCTGCCTTAATGTCACCATTCTGTCAGTTTTAATCAAATGTCCTGATTTGTCTATTGGGATATGTTACCCTTAGGTGGTTTTACATGGCTGACTGCATTCATATAAACACTTGGATTCTGGCTGGCTATTCAATGGCCGTTTGACATTTGACTCTTACTGCATATACTGTTGTTGTGACACTTCCTTGTGGTAACACATTTGCTAATGGCCCTTGGCAGAAATACCAGAATACTGAAGTAACTTTGCTAGATCAGAGTACAGAGATATTCAAAACGCTCCACTACCTTAGCAATTTACTGCACAGCATCAAGAACCCTCTTGGCACACGGGATAACCCAGCACGCATCTGCAGGGATCTGCTCCACTGTGATCATAAAGTGGCAGATGGTGAGTGCCACTTTCACTCAAGTACCTTTGAAAGGTGCTGCTTCCAAGTGTGGCTTTCTGCATGCAAATTCTGATCTGATAGATTTAATGTTTTTATTCTTTTTTATTGTATTCTCTTGCGGTGTGCCTGTCACAAATAGATTTATTTCAGCTTTTAAGACAAAATTTCTGAATTTTGAAGGTAGAAGTATGTAGCTATCTAATATATAAATATGAGACAGATAATATCTATTAGCAAACAGATGTATCCAGAAAATTTGAAACAGAGTGCAATTTTGTGATTTGAAGTTTTTCAAATATTTATAGCTAATCTTGCAAGATTCTAGATTCCTAATGAAAAAATTGCATACCATACATTACAACTGTCAGGTACACTGACAATCATTGTATCTCACAAGTTCCTGAATCAGTATTTCAAATTAAAAATCCTTCCTATTTAAAGCTGTCAGTGTAATTGTAGTCAGAAGTGGTTTATTATGGTAATTTTTCTCAGTATCTGTTATTAGCATAATTTTAATAGTGAGAACATTTTCATGTTCTTTTTATTTCCTTGTGAAGATATAGTGATAACATATGTAATATTTGCCAAGTGTTAATATTTTAGCAAATTAGTAGTAATTATATTTTGGTTTTATTTTCTGTCTGGAATTATATACTAATAGGAAAATACTGGATTGACCCAAATATTGGATGTCCTTCTGATGCCATTGAAGTTTTCTGCAACTTCACTGCAGGTGGTCAGACATGTTTAACACCACTGTCTGTGACAAAGGTATGCATTGCTCCTAGAGACACTGTGTCTGTGCTTGAACTCTAAACAAGTGCATGCTTATTTATTTAACTCATTAAAAGGAGTTAGGTTTCAGGGGGGCATTATTGTGCATCTTTGTGGAAGGACTTTATATATTCTGGTACAGAAGTTACAGATTTTCTGGACACTATATATGTTAGTAATTCTCACTGTGTGAGAATCTGTCCATGCTGATAGAATTATTTTGTTTTGCTTTATACTTTCTTTTACAAGGAATAAAAATAAGCCTGAAATACTTCTAAGCTACATTAGTATCTCATCACTCAGGACATTTAAGTGTTGAGATGCTGAGATCATTAGAAAGAAAGAAAGTTATTACTGCTTTCCAATACTTAGGGACTTTTTAATGCCATTAGGGAGGGACCAGTTTTCTGTCCATCAATAGTTCATGCTCCTCTTTACATGTAGTTCTTGAACCTCGGGAATAGAAATTTTATGTTTGTGAAGTTCTGTATATACACTGTAGTCTTTGAAGAGCTTCAGAAATACTGTGAAGTTCACATATATGTTCCTACATTTGGAAGATCCCTGACTATGGAATAGTCTCAGAGAAATTCTTCTTGTATAATGAGTTACTATATTTTCTGTCTAAAATCAAAGTATACTTATGAACTTTTGCATTTTAATGGACTATCAGTATTGCCAGAACCTGTGGTCTAAGAAGACTAAACAGCAGTCTGATGTGGCTTCAGTTAAAACACTGCTGCTGATAATATCTTTGTCTGAATCACAAAAGCATTTGTTTCAGTTTCCTTATTTAAAAATACTGTTTTCTGACCAGCTGTGTTTCAGCAGTGTTGTAAGCATCAGCAAATGTTTCTATTTAAGCTTTGAACATGTCCTATGGAAGCTTCTGTTTATAGTAATGCCTGTAATAGGACCTAACATCTCCCTGAGGAATGCAGATGGTGCTCTTTTGGCATTGGCCCCAATGTACATAAACATGTATACATGCTCCTGTGCCTGAACACCATCCTGCCATCTCCATGGCACCTTGTGCTGCTGAGCCATTCAGCACAGTCCAGCTGTAAGCCTAACAATGCTTTTCTCTCGGAATTCAGCTGGAGTTTGGTGTTGGAAAAGTGCAGATGAACTTCCTTCATTTACTGAGCTCAGAAGCAACCCACAGCATCACAGTCCATTGTCTGAACACACCCATGTGGGGACTGACTGCAGCAGGGAGCCGGAAGACATCAGTTACCTTTAAAGGATGGAATGGTCAAATATTTAAAGCAAATACTCTCCTGGAACCTAAAGTGCTTCTGGATGAATGCATGGTAAATGCCTTTAAGCATCATACTATTAAAGGGAGGACAGAGGTACTGTTTAGACATTACTAACCTCCTGCAAATAAATAACAATCATTTAGATTCACATTCCTTAAAGCTTGCTTCTTTACATAGCTCTGCCTATGCCAGCCTTTAGATACTGAATTCATCATCTCTTCAAGGGTATAAGCAATTGCAATGATACAGGGTATCTATACTTGCTGTTTGCATTGTGTCTCGTGTATTTTGAGAGTGTACAAAGACACTGCAGAGACATGGGCACAGAAATAGGGAGGTCCTCCAGGAAAATTTAGGAACAGTTGCCCTCAAAATGAAACTTCAGGCTTCAGAAATGGCATTTGTTAAATTACACTGTTTCTTTAGGAACTGCTGAGAGAATAAATGTTTCTGTGCACTACTTCTCTTTCACTCTGTAAGCACAATTTTCATTTGTGTTTTGAAGCTCACCATTTATATGACTCTGATATGTTTCTCCTGTGTGTTTCAGATTGAAGACGGCAGCTGGCATAAGACCCAGTTCTTTTTCCACACTCAGGACACAAATCAGCTTCCAGTTGTTCAAGTTAATGCACTTCCTCACCTCAAACCAGGCCAGCAGCATTTCATAGAAAGTGGCTCCGTATGCTTCCTGTAAGATTTCTGTCCTAGGTTTCTTGTTGCATCCATATGGAGTGCTGCACAGATTGAATGAAAAGTAATGATCCATTGCAGGCAAAATTACTTGGAAACTGAAGAATCATTTCAAGTGTTGTTGGTTAAATAACCTCAGGAAGAAAAAGACTTCCTCCTAAGGAGAAATGACATTGGAAAAATAAAAGAAAGAAAGAAAATACTAAAGCGATTTTCTTAAAGTATTTAAAAATAAATTTCTTGGTGCTTTCTTGTATAATTTTCTGGAATGGAGTATCTGAACATGGAGTTTTTCAGGACATCAAGCGTTCCTAGCAAGCTTTTTAACAGCACTGCACAAAAACCATCCTGAGGAAGGCTGGAGACGTGTGATACTGAGGAGCAATACCTGCTAATGCTCCTAAATGTGCAATAGCTTTTGTATGAAAAGTGAATCATGCCACAGTACAATAAGTCTTCTTTTCTTAACCATTGCTTTATTCCAGTCCTTGGTGGACACACATCTGAACAGATGGCACACTACCTCTTTGTGTTTCCTGTCCGTGTTGCCTTGGTGCTCTTCATAACACAGGGCGCTTGTGGCCTTAGCAGAGATTATTTGAGTCCCTTTTTATCTTTCAGACTGTATGTGCTGGTTACATCAGGATATGTTTCTGTTGTGAAGGTGCTTATTTTAAACCGTTGGTCACATACTTCAGATAACTGAAAACATTATTTATGTGGATTTCTTGTTTAAAATATTTTTGTGTACTATTTTGGAAATGGTGTATAAGACAGCATATTGTATATGATGCATATAGTCAGAACAGTTTCTGTTACAGCCATTGTGAAAATCGTTGTAAGAAGAACTACCTAAAGTAGTTTTGACTTTTAAATTTTGCATTTCAGTTAACATTGCTAATGCCAAAGCCATCTTAAGATGATATATTCTGTATATATTTTGTAACTTCTGAAAAGATCTACTATAGTGTGTCTTCTGAATGGCTACTGTTAAATTATAATCAGCATTTCATCCTCTTAGAAATTCCATTTTTTTTGCAAAATTTATTAGATCATTTTGGGTTTTTAAAATTAAGCTTAAAATGTTCAGTGAAGTTTTTGTTTTGTTTTGAGGTTTTTTTTTTTGTAAAAAAGAACAGTTTTACCAATAGGAAAAGCACTCTTTATATTGATATGCCTCTATCTATTATCAATTGAAAGTGTGCTCAGCAGTACACAGCAAGGTGATACCAGACTGTATTTGAGGAGCCTGGGAGTGTTCAAACAACCTGTCTGTCTTCATCTGCAGTAAACCACACCACCAAAGTATAATAAAATAAGCTTCCAAGCTATCTCTTTGTCTTTTACTATTCTGTTTCATATTGTATAGGTCATTCTTAGAAATGATGAAAATCCTCTAGAAGAGCACTTTCCTTAGGTGGCAGTGTTTCCCTTCCCAAGGGGAAATGCATATGCTCTGTGCCAGAGAATACTAACAGAGGGACAATGTTTGCTTTTACAAAGTAATGTATGTCCACATCCCATCTTACATTTTGTAGCAAAGCATCATTTTTGACCACTTTGACAAAAATCTGATAAAAAACAAAGCCAGGTTACAGAAGGATGAGAAAATGTCTCACTTTTTGTATTTTCAAGATCAATACACTGACATCATGATTTTACATTTGCTCTGAGTTTGGCTTTGGAGGTGATATTTTGGCAAATGTTGGGTGTGTTTTCTAAGATTATAATTTTAAAGAAAATGTCTGCTTCATGTATATTTTTATTCGTCTCATTGCCCTATTTTTGGGAGTTTTTAATTTCAGAAAATATCTCTTTTAAAAGCAAGGAGTTTAAAGTCTTATAAGGCTGCTCGGATGTGCATTTCCGTAGCTGAGGCAGAAATGCACACCCCATGCAGACAGAGGGACGGCGGCCGGTGCGGCGGGACACGGACAGGTAAGGAGCGACGCCCGGTGTCACCTGGCGGGGCACCGTGCTGCTGTGCGGCGCAGTGCGCGGCTCGGGAAGCCTCCTCTGGGCTCTGGAAAGCCTTCCTGGCTGGAACATCGGCCCCCGAGCCCCGCAGGCCCCCGAACCCCGCAGGCCCCCGAGCCCCGCAGGCCCCGGCGCGACGGGTCCGGGCCCGCCTCGTGCGGCTGCGCTGGGGCTCGCGGCCGCCAGGCGGCGCCGCAGAGGCCGCGCAGGCCCCGTGAGGCCCCGCGGCGCGGCCATGGCGGAGCGGGACCAGGACTGGGACGGGCCCGGGCGGGCGGCGGGCGGCGGGAAGATGTCCCTGCACAGGTACGGCATGGCGGCGGCAGCGGCCGCACGGGCTTCGGGAGCGCCTTCCGCGGGTCTCGGCGGGTGGCTCTGTGCCCTGCAGCCCCGCGCGGGTGAGGCCCGAGCGAGCGAGGGGCTGCGCGCTGCCGCCGGCCGGGGCAGAGCCTCGCTGGAGCGGTGTGGGCAGCGGGCACCGCTGAGATCCTGTAGAGAGGGGAAGGGGAATCCCTGTTCAGAATAACTCCCCGTTGCTGGTTTGCAATGTTTGAAACCCTTTTTCCCGGTTCTTAGAATGGCTTTGTACTGCTAATTCACAGCTCTCGTCAGGCGATGGTATTGCTGGGCTTGTCCTTCAGGCCCTCGCTAGCAGCAAACAGCGAGCACGTGGTGGGGAGAGGAAGGGAAATGGGTTAGGGCTGGCATTTATCGCCTAGGAGTTGAAAATGGTGCGTTTGTATATTCGCAAAAACTTTTCTGAAGTGGGGGAACTGTTATTTCTCTTTTGTTTGTTAGATTTAAAATAAGAGTGATGATATAGAGACCTTTTTCTTAAGAATGGGAGAAACAGCTGTTTTGATAGCCTAGTTAAAAATGTATGGTCATATTTGTAGAGGAATATAATTTTTCACTGGTATTTATTAGTTAAATTGATAAGTCTTACATATTGTGCCTGAAAGGTTCCCTGACTTTGGAGTTTGCCCTGCTGACAGGCAGAAGTTGTTTGGCTGACCATGTTGTCATGCTCTTTTTGTTCCAGTGAAAAAATGGGATGCATTGTTCAGGGTTTAGTGTGAATCCATGAGACTTATTTTCCGTGTGCCTAAAGCTGGGAGTATTATAAGCCAGCCTGGTATAGTGCACAGTACAGGTGATGCAGGAGGAGAAAAGCACAGGCCACAAAGCATAAAGGCTGATAAAGGCTTGCTCTGTTTCCAGCTCTTCAGTTAGCATGTGGGATTTTTTTCTTTCAAGCATCTACAGTGTTGTAATGTGTGTGTGTTTGGAGATACTCTCCATGGCTCGTGTTGTTTTGTCTGCCACCTTTCCTAATCCAGCATATTTGTATTTTCTCTCTCTCCTTTCAAGGTGCACTAGAATAGCTTTTCCTGAAAATGCTGATGGATGGCCTAGTGCCTGGTTTTTGAGCAGGCACTTCTATAGGCCAGTAAGGTGCAAAAATGCTCCCTTATTGAGAAGTATTTTTTACTTCTTTCAGGTGTGAAACCTGTAGCAAAGAAGCAGCCAAGTACAGATGTCCACGATGCATGAAATATTCGTGCAGGTATCTGTTATCTGAACTAAATAGTTTTGATTATTTCCCCATTCATGTACTGAACATGTTAATTCCTTTTTTTTTTTTGTCATTTCAGCCTGTTGTGTGTAAAGAAACATAAGCTTGCACTGAGCTGTAATGGAGTCAGGGATAAAACAGCGTTTGTCTCTGTAAATGAATTTACTGACTTGAACCTTCTGAGTGGTAAGAACATACTGTGTGTGTTCTAAAACTCACTGGTTTTACTAGGCTGGCACTACATTTTTCTTTGTTCCGTTTAACCTTCAGATTATCGTTTCCTGGAAGATGTGGGAAGGACAGCTGATGCTGCTGCTCGACATTGTATTGTGCATAGTCCAGCAACAAAAAGACTTGTAAGTTTCTGATTCTCCTTTTGCTCTGTTGGAATTAGGGTTGGCTACCTTTGAATTCCCACTGAGGTAGTCCTAGTCCAGATTCCAGAGCTGGTACCTCTCTTATGAAGATATGTATGACCCTGAATTTTAGAGCCAGAAATCAAAAGAAATCTCTAGGTTATGCAGCAATAGTATTGATGCCTACATCCAGTTGCTTGGGAGGAAAGATCACTAACATTTCTTAAAATTTATGTATGACCACTGTTGCTGTTGGATGATAGATGTGTGTTAGGAAAGTCTGTTTCCTTACACCGCCACAACTTTTGAATTTTTAAGTACACGCTTCCCAGGTAAACAATGGATTTAATAATAGCCTAGAAATTGTTATGTGGTTCCCTAGATACCAAATGAAGATAACTAGAGCTCTTCAAAGACTAAGTCTAAGCAAGAGTGACATAAAAGATAGCCTTCTAAGGGAGAATGGGTTTTTGCTTAAGCTCTTTCAGCAGCCAAGCACACTCCCCAAACTAGAACCAATGAACAAACAAACAAAACCCAAAAAAGCCCAACCAACTCTACTCCAAAATATTTTGACTCATTGATAAATCACAAAAAGGTATCAAGGCCATTTTGTTTTCTAGTCTTGTGAAGATACCTTGAAATACAGCCCTACACTCAGGGCTCCAGCTTCCTCTCTGGCTGGAGTAATATTCTGTGTGTGTGTGTATTGAACACTGTGATGTTCTGGAAATATGTGCTGACAAGGGTGAGATGCTGCATGGGTGCCAGTTTTAGGGGTGTGGTACTGGGCATGTTAATGGGATGCTGCCATTTGTGGTACCTTCAAATCAGAATTTGGCAGTGGCTGGGATGGTGTTTGTATGTACATTCTGCCAGCAGGTTTGTAACCCAGAAAGCATCCCTGTGGTGGTATTACACCCAGAGTGGTCACACGGTGACTTTCATGGTATGTTGAAGAACTTCTGCTATGAAAAGGTCATTTGCATGTTCTTTTTTAATAGTAAAGAAACTTACAGAAAAGTTTCAGAGAGTTTTCTAGGTGTAGTTAATTTTTTTCATTCGGGATAGTTTTTTAAAAATTAAGAGTATTTCATTAAATATGGCCTTTTCTATAATATTCTCATAATTCCTGTCAGC